CCCTTAGACTTGATTTCTGAGCACTTAAAAAATAGTTTCAGAGATTTGATACACTATTAGTTTTGGCATCTTGTTAAACCATGGATTGATTAATACCCTGTAAAATCAAGATCAAAACACTGCTGCGGCTGACCCGCAGACAGAAATATACCCATAAAACAATAAGAAAGACGATTTTGTAAACCTACGCACCATGATATAGTATTGGCACATGGGAAAAACCTTGTCAGCGATTTTCTAAACGTATGTATGTTGCCGCCCAGTCTTCAATTTTTTGGCTCAGTAGGTGGCACAGTTTGGCCAGTGCACGGCGGCGGCGGCGCCTAGTCACCATGTTAAACGAGGCTCTGTGGTGTGAGCGAATGTGGCTTGGAGATAGGGCCGCCTTCTCGACATCGTGAATTTACTCCAAGTGCCTACACAGGTTTCATCCTCCCACTTGTTTGTGATATTACCGCGGTGAAACCGGACTTTAAGCCCTATTAACGATGATGGTGGGATTATTCAGCATCAAACCAGGGGAACTGTTTAGTTACAAATCCAACTTGTGTGATAGATATGGTATGGGATAGATCTGAGTTGTGTGAGGGGTATATTTGGTTCATCATCTAATGTGTATTTTTAACCTGTGTTTTCTAGTTATTCATGTTACATATTTGATCTGTTTTTTTAGCCATGAAAAATTAGATATTATCCGAATAATAAATAGGACATAGCTGGAAAATAAAGCACATAGATTTTCTGTTTGCTGTCTAATTTCCATTGATTCCATTACGTGTTGTATTGATACACATGAGGGTAGAACACACTGACATGAATGTAGGTGTACTATATAATATATACAGTCGTTCAGTGTTTAGCTGTTACCATTGTTCCTTCCAGTTTTAAACCTGTAAATGGTACCAGAAAACAATTCATTGTACACTTAACAATGTCAATAGTTAGTAATAACAGACAAACACCTCCAACCCTGGGGATTTACCAAGCAACAGTCACCATATGGTAACCATTCATGGTAGGACCAAGTATAGGCAGTTTATCACCACAACAAAGCTTCATACAACATGTATTATATCTGGTTTTAATAAAAAAAATATATAAATATAGGTCAGAACCTGCACGGCTTATCAATTGTATTCACATTAACTACGCACCTCAGTGTTGAAATTAATGTACAGTTCTGATTAGAATCTGTGAACATTTTAGCCTAGTTTTAAGGAATGTTTAATATACATGTTGGAATTTAGAAAAGGGAAATAAGGGTGAAAGCTCAATGAATCATACATTCTTTTAACACACTGTAAGAATAAACACTTGTTAACATAGGTTCCTCCCCTTTTCTTTATGCTACATCAATTATAAATATTAATACACAAATGTTAGGATAGAAATATGTATACACTAATACTACATGAAGTTGAATGGTTCATTTGGTAAAAAAAAAACATTACTCGTTTTATTTTGAGACTAGCCATTAAGGCAAGGATGTTCAGCCACAGAGCTTACTGACAATAGAGTTTGAGGCTACCTAGAAGGTTCAGGCTCTAGAGGTTACATATATACTAACTATAGGAAGGGCAAAAATGTTATTCCTTTGGTCTATTAAATGTCTGTCATCATAGGGTCCGTTTCCTCCATCTTTAAATATGAAATTGTTGAAATAAAAGATATGACCTCAGAGGCGGATCCAGGAATTTTTGCAGGAGGGTGTTTGCCAGGTTCCTGAGACAATGTATCTCCCCCCCCCCCACCCCTCCCGTATGGTCTCTATCGTCATTTTGGCGTATATACATACACATTGAGCTTTTTAAACAGAGAAATTCAACACCTCGTTTGATATCAATTTTTATTATGAATTAATACAATGACATTGTGATTCAATTTCATGGATGCAAAGCATTAATTGTGAAATCACATAATGTCTATATCATTATCTCGTGCTTTGAGTGCCCCTCCTGTCCCACATCTGACGATAAAGGATAAAGCACACGGCCAAGAAACTTTTCTCATAAAAAGTGTTGATTTACACAAAAAAATTATGTAGCTGAGCAGTGGGGGGGGGGGGCAACCCCTCCTGTAGATTCGCTCCTGGACCTAGTTATATTGGCAAAGAGAAAGTACATTAAAAAAGATTATAATAGACATACATGTATATGTATTTTTAAATTGGCAGAGAAAATGAGGGTAGCCTAATGGGTGCCTTCCATCAGATCATTTACCTCTGTTAGCAGCACAAACTCCCTCAGTAGAAAATCAACCATTCTTCATCGAAAATTGGGCATGAGGAATTTATGACCAGGTAGAGTTAGAGCATAGTTAATATAATTAGGTTCCAGACATTGTTTCATAAATTATTATCTATTGTCCAGTTAATCCAGTAGACATTAATGTATTAAGGGTTATAAAGTTAGGGTTACTAATATAAGAAACAAAGCTAGAGATATTTAAGTCCTGAAAATTGTATATTGAAGGGAGAAAGTGGTAGTTGACCACAACAAGATTGAACATACAATATTAAATTGAACAACTCACTTCTTCTTGGTATAGGTCTCTACTCTAATATATATATACAATAATTACTAACACCAACAGTATCTAAGAAATAACTTACCAGAAAACTGTCCTTCAGTATGTCCTGCTGCCTGCCTGTGATCAACTACCGCCTTCTCCCCTAAATATACAAGTAACTATGCTCTAATTCTATTTGGTAATAAATTACTGTAAGCATTAGCAGCACCACAGGGAGGACTGGGAGAATTGATAAGATCAAAAAATAAAACCTGCTTATCAATATCACACTATCTAGCAAAAACATTTGAATAGATGTGGGTGGAATTAGTTCTTGTTGGATTTTTTGTCTCCCTTTCATTTCGAAGCTTTGATATTTTAAAGCAAAAAAAAAAAAATTATGTCTGAAGTCTGAATCCACTGTGAGCCCCCACCCTCACACCCAGCTGCTGGTTTACTCACAGCCGTAAGCATCTCTAGCATTATAATTGTCAATACGGTTTTTGGGACCTTTGATCATGCATTGTCCTCTCCACTGACTATTAGAATATATGATTATATTTCTGTAAGAATATATGATCATATTTCTAATGTTTCAACAGCTGTCTATGATGAAATATCTATTGGCTCTTATATGTACATTTACTATTATAACTATCCTATCACTGTAGTTCCTATCTGAAATGAAATAATTTTTGTAATTAATTCAGTATGCTTGTACTTTTAAAAAGGAAAATATTGTTGTAATTAGTAAGTGATGGCTGTTAGCAAATGTATAATATTAATGAGTATCAAAACTATGTGTATAGCCTACTTAGTTTAGAAAGACGAAATTCCCAAGTTTGTATTATTTTTGCTGATATGCCACATTTTTGAGATGAATAGAGAAATTTGATGCTTTCCATTTCATTGGTTCGTTAATTGAACATTTCTCTGGGAAATTTACATGAAACATACATTATTGGATATAGTAGAGATATTATAATAATTTCTCTCATGATTGTTTTAAAGGTACTGTCTCTGTTAATTCACAATAATATCACTTTTAAGTTATATACTAGGTCTGAGTTTTGCCTCAGAAAACTGTATTGGGATATTTTGTATTATTTCTACTCACCCGACAGTATTTAATCACATCAAGCCTTGTGTTACTTCACATCCCTTTTGTTCATTTATGAATATTTTTATACTTAGAAAATACACATAGCTCGGTTAAAATACAAAATATAAAAAAATGTTCATTTATTCATTGTGTAATTTTGAGATATTGCAATTGTATTAGAATTTCGTATTTTATTAAAGTTATGGGCATTTATTTTGTAGTTTGAAAATTGACAGATAATGAATAATTATTTTAATTGTAACCAGTGGACATTTTTTATTTAATACTGCAAATAAAATAACTAGATTATTGGTGGCATTGTAAATTTGTTTATTTGTGATAAGTTTTGGTAATCAGTACCTTCTACGGTGATTAAATGTTGTATGTTGTAGAGTCTGAGTGATTTCTTACCAAGCCCATCCTGCTGTAAACTTGCTATAAACAATAACACGTGAACCACTTGAGAAGTGCTTTTTTGGGTATATAGGTCCAAAGCGGTGAGAATATGCATTCACTTGATACATTCACTCCATTGGTTTGACATTTCCTTCTCTGTTCGGATAAGCTGGTGATTTGGCGACAAACAGTATCTGGTCAGCTCTATTTTTGAAATACTGCCCGGCTGCATTTCCGGCAGTCTACTTTTCAAATTTTCGGGGGCTCTGTTGAGGTTCGCAAGTCCATTCATTTGACACTTTCCTCTCTGGGGTCGGATAGACTAGTGATCAGACGACAGACGGTATCTGATCAGCTCTATTTATCTCGACAATCGGTGCCTAAATACTGTCAGACAGCATTTCTGACAGTCTATTTTTCAAAATTTTCTGGGGGAGGTCCCCCATACCCTCCGTAACGATTCCCTACTTTGGCGCTCGTGAGTGGGCTTTGTCGAGGTTCGGTCATTTGACACTTTATCTCAACGATCAGTGCCTGAAATACTGCCAGGCTGCATTTCCGGCAGCCTGTTTTTCTAAAATTTCTGGGGGGGCCTCCCCTACCCGTAGTTGAAGCTCGTGCCTTTGCCCCCTTAACCTTGGACTTTGCCCCAGCTTTGCCCCTCCAACCACCGGCGGCTGGCACCGCCACTGCCTCCAGTACACCTTTAGTCAGTCAGAATGTCTCCAGAAATACAGATTTTACATTTTTTGATTTCCAAATGTCAGGGGATCTTTAACATGCTGCCAATAGTATACAGGTGACCTCTTTTTTTTTATCCCATCCGAACAACACCATGGACAAGAAAAAAGCAGAATAGAAATTAATATCCCATCTTATTTTAATCTGAATCATTCAGACCATTTCCCTGCCATGTATTTGAATGTTTACTCTGTTTTGAGTCTTTTTTGAAGAAGTCAAAACCATATTTACATGTCAATTTTGTTTGTTTCAGGTGGTGTAAATATATTAGATGCTGTTAAGATAGAAGAATCGTTAGGAGTGACGCGTGTAGAAGGTATTTGTTATGATAGACCAAAATTTGATGGAGGACCAAGAGATGAAACTAATCCAGATACTGCCTGGAGGATAGATGAAAATACAGATATCAGTATAGGATTACCTGATGCTTTTCAAAGTATGAAATCTTATATTAATATTACAAATTATATAGGAAATAACATTCTTGTGCAGGCCCATCCCAAACCATGGTCTTAATATCATAATAATATTGTCATGTTCAATAATGTAGGCTACTTAATCCTTGTACTACTATGTCAGGATTCTGTCAACATTCCATTATTCACAGATAATTAACCCCATCAGTTATTCACAGATAATTAACCCTGTCAAGATTCTCTTCCCCACAGACAGTTAACTCTGTCAGAATTTATTTAACCTCTGACAGTTAACCCTGTCACTTTTCTGTTACCCATGGACAGTAAAAGTTAACCCTGTCAAAATTATGTTAACCACTGACAGATAACCCTGTCAGGATTCTGTTATTCAGAGTTAATTAACCCTGTCAGGATTCCGTTATTAACAGATAATTAACCCTGTCAGGATTCCGTTACCTACTTACAGTTAACCCTGTCAGGATTCTGTAATCCACAGACATTAAAACCATGTGCAGATTCCATTATCCACTGTCAACCCTGTCAGAATTGAGTTCCAACACATACAGTTAGCATGTCATGATTGCATTCCAATGCATACAATTAACACTGTCAGGATAGAGTTTCAATACAATTACCCCTTACTGTTTACAAAATTTTTTACGTATAAGTTATATAGATGTAAGAAATATTGATGTGATAACACATAGTGATTACCAGTATATATCTATTTTTATGTGTGGATGTAAAATTTCTAACAGTGGTAGGATTTAATCAAATTGGCAGTTTTAATTTTTCCCAGTTCAAAGAGATTGTGTTCCTTTAAATTCTGAAATTGCCTTCTGTTGACCATAGATACAGGGTAAAACAAATACAGTGTTGGTTGATCTTGATGAAATATAAACCCAGCTGTTCTAAACGATTATATACTTCTAGATATATGTTAAACAAAGCTGATGTTTCACCAAACACTACATGGGAAACATAAATAGAAATGATTATATTTCCAGTACCCAAAAACTGAAAGTAAAAAAAAATCATTTTATTGTTTCAATCGTTATATCAAATTCAATTAAATCATAAAGACTTTTGTTCTTGAAACTTTTCCTTGTTGGATTTGCATATAGTGGGAGAGAGAAATGAGGGTAAACTAGGTAATTTTGGGACTAACATATCATTCAATTCTGTTTCAATAATTTGCTTGCGCATAAGGGTAATTAGCTATGGGAGGCAACCAGAAGCCACAAAGTTGAGCAAATGACCCTACTTCTTTGTCCATGTCACATGACTCATTGACAGACCTTATGATCCAAAGTGCATGCATTAGACCATTTGACCACCAAATTCCCGCTATTTAACATTGAGGTTTGTGATGTACAATGTGACTATGAAACCTGGTCTGCTGAATATGGATGCATTCTTAATCTAATATAATAGTTGGGGAAATTTTTGTCATATTTTCTATATATTGCAAAAATGTCTTATTATGTTTCAGAGGGATTTCCTACTGATTTTTCTATTCTTGCTACAATCCGACCTGATGAGGGAGTGAAAGGAAAATTATTTTCAATTTTAAAAGATTCAACAGGAGATGAAATTATGTCTCTCAGTGTTGGTAAAAAACCTAAATTTAGTTATGCAGGTGGTGATATAAATCCAGGCAGATCTTCACCAGTTTTACCAATAGGAGTGAATGATGGACTGTAAGTATCAAAAAATATGCCTTTAAATTTAGTTATTTTGACCACAAATTTGGAAATTAGGTTCTTAAATAGCGGTATGGATATAATATGATAGTTAATTTTGGTAAGGTGTTCAAATAACATATGTCAAATATCTTCTAAACAAAACTGTCTGCTCTTAAATGTTCTTGAAATAATGGAATGGGCTTTTAAAGATGGGTTCCCGCGTAGGAACTGGGTGATTTAATGGTATATATGGACCAAAAACATATTCAAACTAATTAATTTGTCATAATTATGCTTCAAATCCTTCTCAAACATTGCGAAGGAATGCCCTGCTATTAAAATTCAATCAAACCAGGTCATGTTTACGTCACGTCTTGGGAGTCAGAGGAGAATTCATTGCATACATAAGACGATGTTGTCTTTAATCGCTTACTATTTATTACAAATATCGAATCCTAATTAAATTCTCGGATTTTCCACTACCCGCGTCTTTTTCCGTCATTTTTATCTCAGAAAGTATTGTACGTCTAACTCTTTATAAAGTTTATCAACTTGTACATCAAGCGCTCAATGTTCGCTCGTGACCTTTGACATCACGCGTGCAGAAGTTCCTAATCGTTGGGCTGTTGATTAGGGGAACCCTTACATTTTTGTTCTGTATACGCTCCATGAGTGTTTTTCGGGGAATCCAGTATTTTTCTAGTAAGATTGGATATCTCTACTTTCCATATATACCAAAATTGCCATACTTTTATTGTAAATAACCAACCGATAAATACTTTTCTGGGAACCCATCTTTAATATCTTGTCATTGAAATATGTCTTTTATTTTAAGACAAATATATGGTCATTTTTATTTGTATGTTAATGTATACAATGCAAAGTATCAGAATTTTGCCTGAACAGCAAATCTGCTTGGATTTCTAGTTGTCAAGGGGACTTTTGTGTTACCACATCTGCAAGAACAAGGTTGAGCCTAGGTTTCTTTTGTACCATCCGAACAACTACTGTCTGAGCAATTTTTTAAAAATCATATATTTTTTTTATGAATTTGCAAAAGATTTTTAAAAAAGCATGTATTGTTTATTTTTTCCAGATGGCACCGAATAGCTTTAAGCGTTAAAGGTAAAAAGGTCTCTTTAGTGCATAATTGTGAAGAGAAATTTTCCTATACCTTAAACAGTTCTTCATCTTCCAGAATGCCAAAAAGTGGCATCATGTTCCTTGGAAGCAGTGATTTTGATGAATTTTCATTCACTGTAAGTTATATAGTGTATTGTTAAATAGTTATTTAAAATAGATCGTAACTACATGTCCACATTTAGATGTTCTTAGGATTTTTCAGATTTGTTCAAATGATGATTGATCAGCCTCATAGAGAGCAGGAACAACTGGAATTTTGTCTTTCTTTTAGAGTACCACATTAATTTCAATTGACTACGTATGTAGATCACAATAGAAAGATGTGTATATATGTACAATAGGTTGTAGACAGGATATTTGTCAATTTATTTATGGATTAATATTTAATAAAGTACAGTCCTGGATTTCACACTGTATCCTTGGACACATGTATGTAAGCAAATTGATGTCGAACATTTTAGCTAGAAGTAGATATATAATGAGCCATTTTGAAAACATCACACAAATTGTTGAACTGGATAGTGTTATTCAGATAAATAAGTTTGGGCCTATTGTTGATATATAAGATTTGACAACCCAATTATAGTCACAGTTATTCAGACACTATTGCAAATGCCAGATTGAAAACTTGTTACCAATGATAGGAATGCAACTATCACAGTGGTTCAGATAGCTACAGGAATAAGATAAAGCTGTCATCAAATTTAATTTGCATTGATTATTTACATCAGTCAATATCAGTAAAACTCTGATTCTTGTATACAAAAAGGGTATCATAATTTCAGCGCACAGAATTAATCGATTTTGTTCACAAAGATATATCTGGGATATCTTTAGCTGATTACCAGGCATAAATTGAACTTTTTATCAATGCTACAACAAATTTTGCCGACTATTTACCCCCACTGTAAATAAATAACATGTATTTGCCCTTTTTCCATACATTGATGCCAAAGGCCTAAATTATGTTATTATTTCAGGGAGATGTACAAGATTTATATGTTTTACCAGATCCAGGAGCAGCTTTTGATCATTGTGAATATTATAACCCTTCTTGTGATATGGCATTTCCTTCATTTAACATGTCTGGTGGAGGTTTTGGAGCAGGTGGTGGATTTGAAATGGGAGGTGGAGCAGGTGGTGGTGGTGGATTTGAATTTGGAGGAGAAGGAGGTGGATTTGAAATGGAAGGAGGATCAATGGGAGGTGGTGGAGGAGGTGGATTTGGAATGGGAGGTGGTGGAGGAGGTGGATTTGGAATGGGAGGTGGTGGAGGAGGAGGAGGAGCAGTAAGAGTAAGTTAAATTATAACAAATAAGTTTCCAAACTTTGTCTCCTTGAAAATGGATATTTACATTCACCTTGCAGCATTTTGTTGGAACAAACTAATAACAACACTATAATGAAATAAGATTTTTTCCATCAATCTGAATGCAAACAAATTATTCTATTGTTCTGAAAATTATTTACAGAGCTCAAAATAGCAATTAAAAATTGAAAATGAAAACATACTGCTGTTACCCAAAAATCGTGAATATCTTCTTTAACAATTTCATTACATGATTCCCAGTCACAGGCTTATCACACACTACTTAAATGTTCAGTGTAACTATAATAGAAATGAGCACAGGAGGCTAATGACCACAGAGACCAGGGTTAAGATGGCTTAATCTGCTGGGTCAATCTCCTCAAGCTTTCAAATGATATAGTGTAAATGCATAAGCATAGGAAATTATTTTTTTTGCTAAAACATCGGAGAATGAGAATATATATCATAGAAATATATTTGTAAAATGAAATTGCTTGTGGTTTACATTTTGAATACTATAATACTTAAGACTTCGCACAATAACTTTTGTGGAAAACTCGTTTTACTTATTGATTGGATTATTTGAACTTAAGTGTGTTTGTTGTTTTGACAGGGATTTGGTGAAGTAATATCCACAGATTTAGCCTACAGATTTGTAAGTATATTGACAGCTACTTTATCTTTTTTTTGCCCAGGGCTACAGACTAAACAGAAGTTATAAAATATGCTAATAGTGTTCTTAAAGTTGTTAATTCCTAACTGAATTTTTTCAGACAATATAGAAATTTTCACAGGTTACTCAATTCAAAATTGATTGTTTATCATTTAATTATGAAAAGATCAACAGATCAATACTCAGTCCGTCATATCTTTGTAAATACGGAATTAAATCATTTCTATGCTGATATTCCTTTTAGAGAGCTTCCACAATGTTGTAATTTACAACTGATTCCAAATTGATAATCAGTGGCTTTAATCATTAGGCCCAATTCAGTTTAGCATCTGCATTGACCTTTCTTACCATAGTTAGTCCATAGATCATACTCTTACTTCAGTTGCCTTTCTTTCTTAGCGGGGGTTGGATGGCCGAATGGTTTGCACACGCACGCTGTATCATAAGGTCTGTCATTGAGTCAACTGGTGTTGTTTTGATTCCCCGGTTGTTCGTGACAAGGAGTAGGGTCCCCTGTCCAACCTCATGGGTTTTCTCCGGGTCCTCTGTTTTCCTCCCACTACTAAAGACCCCTGTGCGAAAGCGAATTATTGAAATAAAATTGTACCATATGTTAGTCCCGAAATGACCTAGTTTGTGTTGAGTGGACGCCCTATAATGTAAATATAAAAATTTCAAATTGGTGACTTCACAGTTTAAAAACCACAATCCCTCTAGTTATAGCCGTAAGTGTTGTATCAAAAACAAAATTCTTTGTTACACCAAACAGATATTGTTTTCTTGATTCTTTCATCCATGTTCATTAGCCCAGTCAGAGCAGAATAGTAGGACGTTAAACCCCATTTCATTCCATTCATTCCATTTGAATCGTTCATGTAGCTAAAAGAATGTATGCATATGTCATTGTTACGTCACATGAATAAGATATATGACTTTGTATGTGTTTGATATTGTAAATAATATCGTTATTGTTTTGAATTGTTTCAGGGCCCCCCTGGACCACCTGGACCTCGAGGTCCTCCAGGTCCACCTGGACCTAAGGGAGGTCAGGTAAGAAAATATTTTATTTACAAAGATTATGAAACCCTTAAAATTAATTTTAGCAATCATGATATTTGGGCAGATATACTGTCAATGTGTGCAATACATGAATTTGGAAGCCTGTACACCACTCTATTGCCACAACTTAAGTATGATAACTATTTAAAGATTTTGATTGTTATTGACATTATTTTTTATCTGCTTCAGTTATTAGCTTAGAATTATGACTTCAAGAAATCAGATTGTACAAACATTTATGTGAAATACATATTATCAAACCAGGCTAAGTATTATTTAGCACAAATTTAATAATGTTTCCTAGAAAGTAACATGTAGTATGTATTTTTAGGGTATTCCTGGTCGTGATGGTAGTCATGGTGCTAATGGATTACCTGGACCACCTGGACATGTTTTTGTTATTCCAGTAAGTTGACTTTTTTTATTTAACCTATAAGTTGCCTGAGATTTTATTGATAAGTATAATGTTTATTTATATATCAACTGACATCAATATTATAGTTCTCTTTCTGCCAAAGAATACCCAAAAACAAAGGGCTAGTAACCAGAATATCCCAGGTTCGTTTCTGTGAACGTCTCTCAGGATTTGCCTGTCTGGTTTCCAGCATCAAAATAACAGTAGGTGATAATGCTGTTGTCAAAGCAAATTTCCTTTCATGGCAAACTGAAACTGTACCAGCTGCAGAAATGTAAGACATTAATTATCGTTTTATACTTCCACTTTAAAAAAATTAATTTACACCGTAAAAGTTAGATAATTGAATATTACAGAACTCATTCTACCATTTTCTGTTATTGATAATAATTTGTTTTATTGTGTTTTAGTTGAACAATGATCAGAAGGCTGGTGCTAGTCAAGCTCAAGCATTCCGTACCATGCTCAGTCAACATATGGTAAGATTAAATTTTGGTATTTTACATTTCTCTGATCCCTGAATATCCTACATATTTTTAAATATGATTTTAAACTTACATGTTTACTTAAGGTTTTAAACATTCTGTTACATAAGGATAGGCCTAAAATATATATTTTGATATGGTAAGCCTAGAATATAAGATATGGAATATGGACTAAATTCTGTTATAAACTAAAACGTTTTATATATTTTAAGACTAATAGATTTCACTTAAAAATATGTAACTTCCTGCAATGTTAAGTGTCAAATTTTCCCTTAAAATAAAGCTGCCTTAACTTTTAAGAGTTTAGTCTTTTAGTGGTATTCAAAGGCCAGTTCAAGTGAGAAAAATCAACTTAACTTTAAGTGACCTATCGGAGGTACCTTAAAGTTATGTGAGATTATAATGACTTCTTTTAACCAGAGTACACAATGTAGTAGCAGGCCCGTAATGGCGATTTTAAAAGTTAGAGGATTGAGATTGAAACAAAGACCTGTTGCCGAGCGTAGCTGGCCTCAAACCCTTTTTTTTTCAACATGACCTTTGATTTTGTAGTGCCACAATATTGTATAAGGTTGCTACCACCGAGATGGTCAAAGTTTTTTTTCCTGATCATTTATCATGTTTGTATTGCTTAATCACGTTTTCCATGACTGTCATATAATCAAGTTTGATGTGTTAAATTCATTTGTAAAATTTGACATTGTGATGACATTTCATTATAGATTTCAGCAAATATTTATACTGCCGCGAGAAGCAAGGCATGATTTGTTTTTAACAATTCATTTCGATATACATATTTGAAGTTTTGATTGCAACATGTTCTTGTCTTCTTTTGGATAAATTTACAAATATATGATGATGACTGCTGACCAAAGCATGCCAATAATGATTTACAATTAATTTCTTATGTTACCTATTGCGTTTTAATCAGTAGAATTTATTCGGGTAGAAAATAATGCCACATGCATCTTTCGTACAAGCAATGTACTGTCATGACCAGGCCTTTGGGGTTCTAAAGTGTAGACACTGACAAAATTTCTGTGAGTTTCTCAAATGATAGATTGATAAACTTTAAAGCCAAAAAAGCCCTGCTTATTGCTAATATGTTGTTTTCTATTCATTATACATTGTTAAAATAAAGTTTACAATATCCATCATTATACTACCACTATTCTATAACTGCTATTGTAATCTGTTGTTTTTGAAAAGATCTATGCAAACAACTGTTCCGGCAACGAATGCATACTATCATAATTTATCATAAATTATAGTCATACTATTTTCATGCATTACAATATAATATTTTGACAAACATTTTACTAGTAATGACAACTAAGATTTTAATAGAGTATAGTGGTGTCTTAAGGGGACATAACTTGCGTGTGACGTGAGTGATACATGACTTTTGGCAGTGGAGGTTATTCCATAAGTTGAAAATTCATGCTTTTTGGCTAATGTGGTATTCAGTATTTTAAGTGTGCAGTTAAGTTTTTCACATAGCCAAGTATATGTAAAATATACACTTGGTTAAGTGGTAAAATTAAGTATTTTTACTGAACTTTAAGAAAACCTTTGAATACAGACACTGGTCTGTTTTTGTCTTAGTCAGTCTGATCTGGAAATGGAGATGGTACAAAGAATGTTCTAGTCATACACCCCCAGTATCTGAAGGGATAAATACAATGATAAAACCTTATTCTGTCAACAAAACCTAATTAGCCTTTTATGTTGAAGTCTTTCATAATCTGTTCTTGTTAAATCAGAACAACTGTTGATTTATGATAGCTTTAAGTAATGTTTGTATGAAATATATTTTATAGCTGGCCATGAGAGGAGCTCCAGGAGCTATGGGTATGACTGGTCTTCCTGGTAGATCAGTAAGTATATTTCAACTTATCTAATATTTTAAAGAGTAAATCCATTCAAATTTACATTTACTAGCTAAAATTGATACATATTTTCCTAATCTGTAAACTCTAATTTACTGATAATTACTTAAAGATTTTAGTAAAAAAAATACAGTCATTATTTTTGAAATTGTCAAAATAAACTGGAAAAATAAGTAATGGTTTTTAAATAGTTTCGTTTAAAATATTTTATTTGTGAGGAGTCTGATAAATATTTATTTGTTTTAAAGGGAGCTAGCGGTATTGATGGTGGTAAGGGAGACAATGGAAACCCTGGTGAACAGGTGAGTTCTTAAAACTTCTTACCAATATGCATGTATTCCAACATGGGTTGAGACAGTCATTAGTCTTTGTTCAGATGAAATCACATAACAATTTTCTAACCAGTTATAGATTATTCAGATATTCCTTGTCATTTTATTTAGAATTATTACTGGCATTCATTTTTTTTTATTGAAGCATCATAGGAAAAAATTTAAATGTGATGATAATAATATGGATGTGATTAACTATTTTGTACAAAATAGAATATAATAGATACAAGCTGGTGATATGTATTGTGAATTTGTTCTTTTCATTCTGTGGGCTGCTGGATTGCACTGTCTTTTAAATATGGTTGCTTAATATTTCTCTATTTGATTAAAATGTATATTTATATTTTAGGGTCCAATTGGTCCTATTGGAATGCCTGGTTTACCAGGACCTTCTGGTAAAAGAGTAAGTCTATTTATTGTTATATATATATGAGTGAAATATAATATTATTGCTTATTTTTTATAATCAATTGAAAATCTTTTTATTTTGTTCACTTTTAATTTTTTGTTACTGGCCATCACCAGATTCTGGATGTTTTTTTCTGTGTTTATATGCAATGACATTTGAATCAGAGTTATAAATGTACTTTTTAAAGGGTCGCTCTGGTTCCGATGGAGATCGAGGTCCAGTTGGTGAACCTGGAGGTAAGGTAAGTATTTTATTATTTTTAGAATTACTTATACTAGATTAAAAACAGTGAAGGTATCAATAAGTGATGATTATCAATGTTATTGTTTAAAAACTATTTTTATTTATATAGCCGTTTTTCTTATTACAGAAATATAACTTTTTAAAAATGTACAGTAGTTTGTACATTCAGTACTCATGAATAAAAAGATATTATCAGGTAAAAGAATATAATATGTATTTCAGGGTTTACCTGGTTTCCCCGGTATGCCCGGTTTACCTGGTGAAAAAGGACACAGGGTAAGAATTGTTTTTATATCAGTAATATTCTTGGGAACATGTTATTTGAGTTATTAAAGTATAAGAGTTGAGTAGACTAATAAATACTGCCATACAAACAAGTTAGTTTCTATACATATAAATAAGTATTGTTATCTGCAGAAATTAAATTACAAACTATTCCAGGATTTTTGATATAATTTTTTAACAAGACAACAAACCATAAACGTTTAAATAAAAGTCCAATAAGTGTACAGGTACTATTTAACCAAAAAATCTTGCATGAAGATTGGGCTGGATTTTATGGAAATGATTTCTTAATTCTTAATACCTTTATAAACACAGATGCAGAAAGATGGTGTCATGAACTCATTAGAAGATAATGTAAACTTCCGATGACCAACATTTAAGCTAGTATTGATCTATTAGAATAATATTTAGAATGATATGATTTACATTTTTTCTGACTGATTTTCCCTTATTTGTTATTTGATTTAATTGTGTCCTTTTTTAAGGGCTTTTCTGGTCAACCTGGAGAAGTTGGTCCACCAGGTCATGATGGTGAACAGGTAAATATTTGAATATATACAATATCCATTTTGTTGTGGAGTTTATAAATATGTATGTTCTAATTATATGACATATTCTCTATTTATAAGTTGTTGAGTTTAAAAATATCTATGTTCTATTTATAAAACTTGTATTTTCTATTTACTTGTTGAGTTTATCAAAATATATGCTCTGTAACTTGATGTTATAATCATTGATGCTCTATTGGTATGCTTTTGTGATTTTAAACATCTATGTTTTGTTAAGGGCGATGCTGGTGAACCAGGACCAATGGGAGCTCCTGGTGAGATGGGATTGAGAGGCTTTATGGGACCAAGAGGAAGAGTTGGTGCTGTCGGACCACCAGTTAGTAAACCTTCTGATATTTGTTCATTTTAGTATGCCTGCATTTAGTGAGGACTTGTTGTCATTACTTTTGTCTACGAATTGGGTCATCATAAGTTGCAAACCTCGGTTGACTTTGAGTTTTCCAAATCATTTTTTAACACTGCCAAATTGTTCGTTGGGGCATAAAGAGGAAAAGAAGCCCATCGCAATTCAGAAATTTTGAAGGTTTGCCCTATTTATGTTTTGTATGTCAGATGAATTCACTGGATTTTGTTATAACCTGATTTTATATAACTGTCATAGACGACTGTAATAGCAATAATTAACCATTACCTGAGAAGTAATGACATCTATATATTATGGCTCTAACAAGCAAGATACTTAGTTGGTATTTATAGTTTGGATTCCGTGATAACTTATCATTTATTGTTCTGAAGTACCTTTACCAAAAAAACATTGAGATACAATGTCATTTGTGGCAATTTTGCTCTGGTAAATACTGTCAAACCGTACTAATTAGCCTACAATTTTAACTAATTACCATGGATTATTTTATTGGTGTTGAGGGGGTGTAAATTTTGATGATACTTCTGATTTTCTGCTGTGTATTTGTTCTTGTTATGTTATAGAACTGGCATTAATTTCATGTTCACATTTAATTTTTGTTTTATTCATATTATGTATAGTCAGTAAAAATAGTAAAGATATGTATTATATTTTACAGGGTATGCCAGGATCAGAAGGTCCAGAAGGACCCAAAGGAAACCGGGTAAGTACATATTCACATATCTTTTAATTGTATCTCAAGAAAAAGAACAAATTTTATGGTATATTTCTATATTAAACAAATAAAAAACTTTGTTTTACTGTCTAAGATAATATATAATGCGTAGTAGATATCTCAAGGATTGGAACAAGATGTAGAAGTTTGTATTTCCATTTGTTTTTGCTAATTATCAACACAATGTAATAATTCCACTGCCATTTTGGCTTGGTTCAGTATGTGTGCATCTAATTACTTTTATCAGCTCATCTTCAACAAAATTGACCAAATTACCTTGATTGCTGTAATTTGAACACTTGTTACCTCGTGTGGGTGAACAGGATGTGATTACAGTATTTTGCCGATACCGTTTTTTTAGGACTTCGAATCTTGTCTAATGGTTTGGATTGTTAGTACTTGGTTTTATTTAACTTGTTTTTGCAAACACACCCATTTTATGAAGCAAATATAGTACTAGATAAGCTGAATACTACCAGCTAGTAATTGTATAGTTTTAAAGATACATTATGGGAGATTCGATAACGAGTTGGCAGTTCGCACTATAATAGTTAAAAACTAGATAATGTAAAGGGAATATCCTGAAAATTTCAGACAAATTGCTTCACTCTAAGCCGAGAAAACTTTATTTTAAAATCACTGTAGCCTCGATTATCACGATAATTAACAAAGTCTCTATTATCCATTTTTTTCGGTTAATCATCAATGGACATTGAACAGTATATCAGATTCAAATCTAATTAAAATTGGAAAAATAAGATGGCATCGAGAGTTGGTTATGGTTTTTTCGTGTTAATAAATGTCTAATTAATAGTTTATATAACATTTAAGGCCTAAAGAAAGACCTGCAATTAGCAGATTTAGCTCTTGCATAATGTGTGTTTAAATAAACTGAGCATATAAGATGAATATAACATGTATACTAATAACTGTATGATTTTAAATAACTTGGGCAAATAAGATGAATATTACATGCTAGCAATTATATAATTTTAGGGAAATGTTGGAGCCCCTGGTGCACCTGGCCAAGCTGGCAATGCTGGAGCTACTGTAAGTATATAAGTATATATTATACAAATACATAATAAAGCTTAAGTGGGGCTTTTGTCGACTTTTCAACTCAAAGCAACTAGTTCCAGTAAGTTGCAAGTGTGCTTATGTCCATCACATTAGCAACTGAGGACAACTAAGAGCAACTGACTTCGGAGCGCTCATGTCAACTTGGAACTTATAACGATTACACTTTACACGTGACTGTTAATTTATTCATAACGTGATCAACAAAATGGCGAATATTTTAGACGAAGCACCCCAAAGACATGGTCAGTCTTGCCACAATTCTATTGATACATTATTGTCGCCATCAGCAACATTTGAAAAGTGAGTGTTGACTGCAACTAGTTGCCGCTAGTTGAAGCGAGTTCCAGACAGTTAAACATGGACAACTGACTGCAATTAGGTACTTTGGGTTGTAAAAGGTGCTGAGGTCAACCTTTTTTAGTTGCGTTCAATTGAAGCTAGTTGCCGAATAGCCAGTTGCTCTCAGTTGTAAGGTTGACATAAAGCCCCCTTTAGATGTTGGTGATAGATATTTAGATTGTAAGAAAATATTAATTGGTGGCTAAACTATTTAGAAAGAAAATTCTTTTGTCTTTTTTTAGAAGGGGGGTTGGGTAGCCGAATGGTTAGCGCGTGCGCATTGTATCATAAGGCCTGTCATTGAGTCAACTGGTGTGGTTTCGATTCCCTGGTAGTACGTGACAAGAAGTAGGGTTGCCTGTCCAACCTTGTGGGTTTTCTCCGAGTCCTCCGGATTCCTCCCACTGTTAAATTGAACCATATGTTAGTCCCAAAATGACCTGGTTTGTGTCAAGTGGAAGTTAAACCCCATTTCTCTCTCTCTCTTTTTTTGAAAATAATCTTACTTTACAATATATTTCATTCTAATAAATATTTTGAATATAATTTTTTCAGGGACCCCCCGGACCTGTGGGGCCACTCGGTCCTCCAGGCATTCCTGGTGCTGCCGGTAAACCTGGATTACCCGGTTTACCTGGCCCCGTCGGACCAGTAGTAAGTAAACAATCACATTTTTTTTTTACTTTTCAATATTTTTAAATGTAAAACATTTTTATACACCCACATTGAAATGTGGTCATACATTGTTTATTAAATTATGCACATTTATGTCACTGCTGTTGTAAGATGTGTATGAATACATTGTACCTATGAATCAGTGAAGAAACAGAAGAGAGAGATCACATAAATATTTATCTTCTATATGAGTTTATAAAGTATACTGATTTTATTAGTTGAATATTTGATAGTGTAGGATTTATTATTTCTACAAATTGTGATGTCCAGCTTTTTCTTTCTTTGAATATATAAAGTATACGTACCATTTTATAACTTGAATATTTTATATTAAAGAGTTTACTATAAATAAATTGTACTACAGGGTTTATCTGTTTTATTATTGTACCTTAAGCCTTTAGGTTTATCTGTTGTACATTAAGGTTTATCTTTTTTACCTTTAAGGTTTATCATTTTGATTATTTTATTGTAGGGTTTATCTGGTACTCCTGGTGAACCTGGACTCAAGGGTGATAACGTAAGTTTTATCACTTCCTAATGTCATTTCATCTTTCCTTTTAATAGTTTATTATAACTAACATGTTATAATTTTGTTACACTATTTATTAAAACATATGCATCTAATTCATGAACAAACTTTTAATTCCTAAAGATTTTAAAGTTAAATGATTTTATGATTGAGATGATAATTAACAAAAAAAAAGAAACCAGTGTTCATTTCAAATCAATTTGATGAAATTAAATAAACAACAATAATTGTACATAATCATGTAGGCTAATGTGATTACTTTATTTTGAACAGGGACCTCGAGGTGTAAATGGTTTGGTAGGATATCCTGGTTCTCGTGGTGTTAAGGTAAATCTAGTATTTTTTATTCATTGTATTTGTAACAGTTGGAATAATCACTTTATGATATACTGGTAAACAATTGTATTGTTAATAAATTTAATGATTAATAATGAGACATTTTTGTTTTCTCAGTCTTAATGAAATAATGATTATTTGAAATTTAATTTTTTTTACCAGGGTGATTCCGGTTCTAGAGGCTTAATGGGAGATAAAGGTGATAAGGTAGAGTATATATCTACTAGTTTTAATATTATTTGAAAAGATATCAGAGTTGATGAAAATTTTTACACAGATGATACAAGGTTGATACACAGATGTTACGTATAAAGCGTGTGAAATAGTTAAGAAAAATCAGAGTTGATGCTTCTTGTCCAAGGGTGGTTTTGTCTGTCTGCCCCAGCTCCATCTGATCTGTTTTTTGATTTACAAACATTATTCATATTACTGACACAGAAAAGCCTATAGAATCGTATCAATTTCAGGTTATCACTTTTAGAATTATGGCTCTTGTTCACTTTCTTAAAAATTTGTGAATGTTCTACTATAGTGTCAAAAGTTATTGCTTGGTTGGCTTAAAATTGATACTTATTGTTTAAAGTGGTGAAATACAAAATAGTCACTTTGTCAAATCTTGTGAATGTTCAAATTTTCCTCAATTACTTTTAGATGTTTTATTAAAATTTATATATTTGAAATGATATAAAACATGATAATTATTAATGAATATGTTATTTATAATAAAAGGGTAATCCTGGTCTAGATGGAGAGAGAGGATTTGTTGGATCTAAAGGTGATAAAGGACCTAAAGGTGTTCGAGGTTTACCTGGAATAGAAGGCATTGAAGGACCAAAGGTGAGAGAAAACAGCCAAATTTACAAATAGATATATAAATATACACAGAACTGTTATTATCAGATCTCAGAAACTACAATAGTATCTGTGTTCGAATATTATGAATTGATGGTACTTACTGAAGAGTTTCATGAAGTGATTATAGTGTGTGATTTGATTTCTTACATCATGTGAGTTGATTTACTAGGGATGTTACATCATGTGATTTGATTTACTAGGGATGTTACATCATGTGATTTAACTTCATATGGATTTGATTTACTAGGGATGTTATATATAATTACATTTTGTGATTTGATTTACTAGAGATGGTACATCATGTGAATTGTGTTTAGGACTATTACATAATGTAGGCACATTATGTGATTGCATGATGCTAATTGGCCATATTTATTAAGAAATTAGTACATCATTACTATGAACACTATTGGTGAAGTTTACTAATGAAATACCATGGTAATTGGTGATATTTACAACATAAACTATATCATGCTAATTTACTATATAAACTACATATACATAGATTACTTCATGCCAATAATAGCTATCTAATTGGTTATATTTATTAAGAGTGTTGCATCATATGACATAATAGTGATAACATTGGTTACATCATGTTCATTGATGATATAATTACTAGTAATGCTGCAACATGAGAATTGTTATTACATAAAGTGTCTTGTTTATATTTAATACTGGAGATATAAGTGATATTGCATCATGATGTATTGTATGGTGATTGCATTATATGAATTGATCATATTATGGTGATAGAGATGTTACATAATGTGAATTGGATATATTCACATCAAGAACCATAACATCTTGTGAAATTGTTAGTTTAATGTTGAGATTACTTGATGTGAATCGTTATGTTCATCAGAGATATTAGATCATGTGATTGGCTTATACTGACAATTTAGATTACATCAAGCTGATTACTATCCATGAGGTTTTAATATTGACAATTGAGATTACATCAAGTTAATCGACATCAAATCTAGCTAATTGATTATCATGGTGATGAGATCACACATGTTAATTGGTTATCACATCATGCTAATTGGTTAAAGTTGTTATGTTGTATTTGTAATGAAGATTTACATCCCTTATCAGATAAGTTATTATTATAGGGAATATCGTGTTAGGATGTTCACATTTAAATTCATTGTTATAGATAAAAGAGAGATTTCGTAATAAATTGATAATATTTTCTAGGGAGATTACGGTCCACCTGGTGAAGCTGGTTTGACAGGAGTTCCCGGAGAGAAAGGTCGTATTGGTATTCCTGGTTTCCCTGGTTATCCAGGACCAAGTGGAGAGAAGGTAAAACATTTTTTATTAGATCTGTTTTATTTCCAATTCTATGGAACTGCTGAGTATTGTTATAATATTGTAAACACAGGGATACTACACCATAAATAATAATTAACTAGGAACTCGCATTAAATAATGGAGAAGACAAAAACTCAGACATTTTGTATACCGGGAAGTCACATACCTACACATCTGATATTAATTTTGACATGTTATGATTAAACAAATATCATGTTAAAGATACATTATTCAAGAGCTAAATTTGCCTATTGCAGGTCTTTCTTTAGGCCTTAAATGTTATATAAGTTATCAGTTAGACATTTATTAACATGACAAGACCATAATCAACTCTCGATACCATTGGATGCTCAATATATTCATTTTGCATTATCAATTTTTGAACCATTATAGCAAGAACTGCCAGTTCTTTATCAAAATCTTACATAATGTATCTTTAATATTTGTTTTAAAGAATTCAGAGTTACATTAAGGGGAACCTGTTTACATATCAGTGTTTTGCCTATGATTAAGGCTTTGTTTTCCCAATAAATTCATGCATGAATAAATTTCATAGTTAACAATACCAGTATTTTAAAATGTAGATATGTTTATTTTCTAGGGTGAACGAGGTCGACCTGGTCGTCGAGGTAGAAGAGGTGCTAGAGGTAAAAATGTAAGTATTTGAATAATTATTCAAGTCTATCGAATATGATCTGTTTTTGTCTCATATGAAATATTTACTAAAATAATTGATCGATTTAATTGAATCCAATATTCGAATAGTAAAACCAGTATTTGATGTGATCACCACTAGTACGTATGTAAAGAAGTTTGTTGGTATTGTGTTTTATATTCGATAAGTCAGTATAATAAAATAAAGAACCACTATTGGATATGTCAGTATGATTTCTAACTGTATTTCTATTATATTATCGTACTATGGTTTTGAATGGTGAAGAGTAAGGCAAATTTTTAAGAAAATTTCATGAAGCATTTGAATTGTAAATATGCTATTTAACTTTAAACCATTGTTTTTATAGGGTTTAGTTGGACCAATGGGAGAGAGAGGAGAAATAGGACCAAGAGTAAGTAGTGAGAAAGATTTATGTGTAATATTATTGTAGAATTAAGTGTGAGGTGAGGGTAGACCTATTGGTTTCCATTATTATTTGATATTGAAAACTTTTAAAATTAATGAAATACATTGCTAGATTGTATATGGAATTATATATATTTTATTTTATGCGTAAACTGAAAAATGAAGGCAGTCACTTTTTTAAGCTTCAACCATAATTTATAATAATAATCTTTATTCACAAAAATCTAAGGTCCTTAGATTTTATTTCCCCAAAACTAGACAGTTTCCTTTAGCATTATGGTGTTTTATGGACTAGGAAAATCGGGAATTTTTTCATTTCTAACATTTAACATTAATTAATAATATTGCAACTATATTATTTATACATTTCATTACTAAAAACAATTTACATTTTAAACAAAGAAATAATGGCAATGTATTTTCACTGAATTTACATAATTGTAATGTTACCCTTAAATATACAATAATTCTTTTATTTTAAGTGTTGATGGAAATATGAAATAATGCCTCTTTACATAGCTAAACCTGTAGTCCATAAAGTATGGACACTCAAATAAATCTTGAAATGTTTCTTCTATAACCAGTCTCAATAAGGTTATTCTTGTTTCTTCAAAAAGATTAATCCTTTTTGAAAAACTTGTATAAAAACATTTGTTAGATATGGACAATGTGTGTAATGCATACTTTTTGATTTTACACAGAAATTTGAAAATAAAACTATTTATTTTTATAACAGGGGCAGAATGGAGAACGAGGCAAACAAGGTATACCCGGCCCACCAGGTGTTAAAGGTGATGTGGGTAATCCTGGACCTCCTGGATTTAGTGGTGAAGCTGGTATTCAAGGTCCACCTGGACCACAGGGTAACACTGGACCTCCTGGATCTTCTGTAAGTATTAGAGTATTGCCAAATATTTGTGTCACAGTGCTTATTTTGGTTATAGGGCGGTAAATAACTTTGTTGTTGAAATTGATCATGCTTATCTTAAAATGATCAAAGTACTGTACCTTGACAAGACTTTAAAACCCTTCCCATTCTAAAAGTAAAAATAAAGTAAATGGCCTTTTATTTGTTTTATGTAATGTCTGTGTACTATAAGATAAAAATAAACATGTTAAATTATGTTTAAATTATTTTTTAGGGTTTACCTGGTAAAGATGGTTTACCTGGACCTTCCGGTGATAGAGGTGAAGCTGTAAGTTTTGTTACAATTCTTAATGTGATTTTAATACAATTTTATAAATATGTTTGCAACTGGATACTGTTCATATATAGACATATCAATGTTATTCAATCTGATTAAAATACACATCTATATTTCGTTGTATTGGAAGGTTGTGTCAGAGGTCATACGAGCGGCTTTTGACCCTATGCCATCAGACATTCGTTTAACCAATCAGCGTTGATGTTTCTAGTGGGTTACCCACAGTTCCGTGCACCTCACGCCAAAAACTCGCCTTAACAGACCATTTCATTAGCTAATCCGTCACATTATCCAGAACATGGGTTATATAACAACTCTTCCAGATCCTAGTGTAGAAAAGACAAGTAAAACGAAATTTTGAACTGTAAAAAACGAAACGAAATAGATTGAATGATATTTGTATGGTTTGGGAATTGGACTTGCAACTAGCATCAAACACATTGGTAATATCCGTAAGATGTTTTGAATCCCGGGTTTCGTATAAGTAGTGTATGTATGTAAGAAATTGTTTGGCAATTTGAATTTAAAGAAGAAAAAGGAGACATAAGATGTCAAAATATATAAAATTTCCTAAAGTTGTTCCACAGTATATTAAAATTTGTTAAATTACCTTTTGGTGAAATAAATAGGTAAATATATATTTCAGGGACTACCTGGTAATCCTGGTCAACCTGGTCCTGTGGGTGTCATGGGTCCACCTGTAAGTATTCTCTTAATCTCTGTAATTGCAAAAGTGATTATCAAGCTCACATTATAAAATGTGTCATGTCCTGTCATGTTGGACAAGAAGTGCTGGAGCAGGAGGTTGAATGTGTGCAAGGTCCACTTTTATTGGAGATGTTGTAACGATAATATCAGTATTCTTTTAGATTTGCAAAAAAAAAAAAAAAAAAAAAAAATATGAAGATTTTACCCACAAAATACTTGTGAAGTTTATTATATATTTTACGAGGTAATATACAGTACATTAACTATTAAAGTTTATATTATTATTTTAGGGTCAATCTGGTGAACCTGGTACATCTGGAGAAAGAGGTGCCCCTGGTATTCCTGTAAGTACCTTATTTTGATGATTAATGGAGGCTTTGTTAATCAGTTTCTTTTGACGGGTATTTTTGCTGCTTTTGGACTTGGGGGATATATTGATCTTAAAACAGTTAAAGTTTAGATTGTTATATTAGTAGGCCGTAGTGCCGCTGTCCGGGCAAAATTTCCCTTCATAGCACACTGTATGGCGTATGCCCATCTTGATTAGCGCAGTTCGGAGCAGAACAGTAGGACTTTAAACTCCATTTCATTTCATTTCATTTCTTTGTTAATATCCAAAACCATATTAACTTATAATAATATTAGAATAACTGTATATTTATATGTTACAGGGACAACCAGGTGAAATGGGTTTACCTGGTTCTGAAGGTAAAAGAGGAGAAACTGTAAGTATTATATTTCATCTTTTGTAAAGAAAATAAACACATAAGACACACATTTCTTTTTGAATGTCCAAGATGTATTTCCATAGATGTGGTGGATCAGTGAGTAAGATTCTGGCTCCTTAACCTGGAGGTCGTGGATTTGAGTCCAGTGTTAATTGCCATGAAAGTTCCTCAGGATTCCCTTGTCAGTGGTGCAGGATGGAGGAACTAGCAAGGAACAGTGTCTAGTCGTTCAGATGGGGTCCTTTGTACACGCTTGAGAGGATGTAAAAGAGTCCTGGACAGGTGAATTCGATATAAGAGTATGTCATAGTGCTGCTGTTCAGGCAAAACTTCCCTCAATGTATATTGCATGACGTATGCCTGTCTTTATGAGCCCAGATGGTGCAGAAAAGAAGAACGTTAAATCCCATTTCATTTCCAAGATGTATTTCAAATTATGAAGTATTAAAGAGAACATTCCTATTACCTTGTTTAAACCAACATTTAACAACATTATGGACTGTATATGTATAGCCTAACTGTGATATATTATTTGACTAACCTTCTCAGAGTTTTAAAATACTGCGTATTTGTACATGCAAAATGTATGCAATTATAAGAATCTCTGACTTTTTCATGTGATGTTCTACATTTTATTTAAACTGTGTTGATATACACATCTGATATATATGCTTCAGACATCTGTACTTATGTTTCCCAAGGGAGCAGTTAATATAGCTTTCTGTAATCCATAATGAAAATTGATATATTACTGACAGTATGAAAACATGTGTAGTTGCGGTTTCATTTTACAAATACCAGTAATTCTTACCATATTTATATTTTATAAAAAAAACCAGTTATATACACACAGGACTTATTCTGGTATTTTTAACTGTCAAAAACATGAGTTTTAAATAGTGATAAAATTCTTCTAAATGAATACATATACCGTTATATTGAAATATGATTTATGTTGATTTTTAGAATTATATTCTCACAGCTGGATTTTATGTTGCTAGAAAAAAATACTTTGTTGTGGATGTAGCACACTAAATGACCCCAAAATTGTTATTTTTATATGTTTTATTTCGTGTCCATAATGTCTTATCTTGAAGACATCTAGAAGAAAATTTCAGATCACATTCAAAGCAAAGATTTGAAATATTATATTAATATATTTATTCAGCACAGGAATACAGAAAAGAAATATTTTAATAACACAAAAATGTTATGAAAAAGTAGAATGTTTAGTTGTTCTGCCATAAGTATATGAGCAGTGTATTGCTTTATCCAGATACTAAAAGTTTAGAATTTGTGTCATTTTAGGGTCCTGCCGGTCCGATGGGTGTACCTGGTCCCCCTGGTGCTAGAGGAGGTAATGGTAACACTGGTGATCGAGGTTATCCTGGACCCCCTGTAAGTATTATTTTACTTTGTATATATTTAACAAAATGGATATTTGTTACATGAAAAATATGTCTGTTTGGATATTCTCTCAGAAGACATTTTTCAGAGTTACTTTTTTCGATTTAAATTAAAAAATTTATTAACTTAAATGATTTTTTTTTTTTTATTAACTTAATGATTTGGTTTTTTTTATTAACTTAAATAATTTTTTATTATTAACTTAAATAATTTTTTATTATTAACTTAGATATTTTTGCATTAACTTTTGTATTATTTTTCAAGTAATATTTACCTATTTTTGTAATCTGAAATTATTTTTATTGCATAATTTTTAACAGGGTAAAGATGGTGAGAGAGGTGATCCGGGATCTGTCGGACCTATGGGTCCACCTGTAAGTATTTGAAATGTAACATTATAACATTAGTCTGGGGAAATGGTGGTCATACAGTTTTGGGACCATGAAGATTCATCTGTTATGGGCCCTTTGCAACTAGCAACAGGTCTGGGTTTAACTACAGTTATCTTCTTCAATAGGGTTGTTCCATGAAAAAAAAATGCACTCTTCAAGTTCAATAGGGACTAAATTCCTAAGTCTTAATTCATGGGCCAGGAATATTACCAGAACATTCAGCTATAGTATAGAACTACAATATCCTTTAGTAATAACAGACCGGACACTACAATAGGCTTAAACTTTTTAAACTATGTGCACTAAAGATGCATCTGGGGCCCCTCCAGAATTAGGGGGTCTAATAATAATTTATACACATTTTCTTTTTCTAACACCAATATTATCAGTTTTATTTGAATAAAAAAATTTAAGGAGAACTGTTATATAAAAAAAAAGGTGTAATTGTTTTTGTCAAGCCGATTATCTTTTCTGCTACTTGCTCGATTGAAAAACTATTATGTTTAGTGCAGTAATGATTATACTGCTTAATGTTTAACTAGTAGGACATTTATTTTATTTGTTTCTTTTATTGTTTTAGGGTGAAAAAGGAGCACAAGGAGAAACTGGTGCTAGTGGTCCTATGGGAGCAATGGTAAATATTTGTCTATTTCTAACAGGGAATCAATCATTATAATGTATTGAGATGGATATAAGAGGTGTAAATTAGTATCTGAAAACAAATCATAGTAACAAATATTGTCTCTTAAAGATGGGTTCCCAGAAAAGTATTTATCGGGTGGTTATTTCCAATAAAAGTATGGCAATTTTGGTATATATGGAAAGCAGAGATATCCAATCTTACTAGAAAAATACTGGATTCCCCGAAAAACACTCATGGACAAAAATGTAAGGGTTCCCCTAATCGACAGCCCGACGATTAGGAATTTCTGCACGCATGATGTCAAAGGTCACACGCGAACATTGAGCGCTTGATGTACAAGTTGATAAACTTTATGAAGAGTGAGACGTACAACACTTTCTGAGATAAAAATGACGGTAGTTGATAATCCGAGAATTTACTTAGGATTCGATATTTGTAATAAATAGTAAGCGATTAAAGACAACATCGTCTTATGTATGCAATGAATTATCGTATGACTTCCGAGAGAGGTAAGTCACGTGACATAAACATGACCTGGTTTGATCGAATTTTTATAGCAAGGCATTCCTTGGCAATTACAATGTTTGAGAAGGATTTGAAGCAAAATTATGACAAATTAATTAGTTTGAATATGTTTTAGTCCATATATACCATTAAATCACCCAGTTTGTACGCAGGAATGTATCTTTAATACAGACAGATAGAACTAAAAGATGCTTTTCTCTGTAGATGGGTCAGTGCTAAAATAGTTAGATTTTTTTGTTGAAAACAAAATGTTTGATATTTGATATGTGGTAATTAAATTTGAAAGTGAAAGACATGGAGATAATATCTACAGGTAAATGTATGTGCACTATGTGATAATATTTTAATTATGTTTACAGGGTATATCAGGATTACCTGGTAATCAAGGCAAGCGAGGAGCAAAGGGTGATCAGGTAAGATATATTAAATTCACAATTGAACAAAATAGATGTGATGTGTAAATAGATATATAAATCACCCACCCCACCCCTAGCCTTTGTATTAGTTATTGCAAGGATAAATGAAATAGTGTTCTTTTAAAATAGCTATATTTGATAGTTTTCTTCCACATTAAAAATATTTGTTCAATACTTATACCTTTTTTTAAAAATCCAACAGGAAACCATCTTTATACACTTTGCCATTGCCCATTAAGCTATGTGTATTGAACATTACAAATGTTAACTAGGAGTTTTATGTTTTGATTAAAATTTGGACAGCTGGATAATTCCAAAGATAACAATGTTTTTATTTATATGTTCAATGATATGACTATGAAATTGATTATGTTTAATTTGTTTTAGGGTAGAGAAGGTGTAAGTGGTGAACCTGGTCCACAAGGACCACAAGGACCTAGAGTAAGTAAACATATCAAATATACTTCATTTTCTGAGTTAAAATTCTACTGGATATATTCAAAGTAACATTGTGATGATAGATGTATTCAAAGTGTAATGTGGATGATAGATTTATTTCGCAAGTTTTCACACGGATAATCTCAACTAAGCAAATAATACAATGTGATATGTTTTTATACCTTTGACTTCCAAATTGTTCCCCAATGTTTCGCTGTCTATACCCTGGGTTTCGGGGTCCAAGGCATTTGACATAAACAAGTGAAGGTCTTGGCCAGAGAACTGGCTGCTCATAGTGTGGACAGCATCAATAGCGGTGAAATATTATTATAGTTATCATTATAGATTTGTTCTCTTTTCGTCTAGAATATTATAGATTTATTGTCTTTTCTTCTGGCATTTCTTAGATAGTATTGATATTATATATGTTTTATTTACTGTATTACAGGGTTATAGAGGTTCACCTGGACCAACTGGTTCCCCAGGTCTAGATGGTGATAAGGTAAGCTCTTATACATAATATGGTGGAAAAAAAACCAAAGTAAATGTAAGGTATCCGCTAAAAACTACACAATTTGTTCAGTATAAATATTTAGATAACAAATATGGGTGATATGCATTGACACTATTTTGACGAAAATCTTGATTAAAATAATAATTGATGATGGATAGTTATTAATTCCAACTTTTTTCTGTTTAATAAATAATTGTACGTAACAATTAATATTGTAGGGAGATACTGGTCCACCTGGCGAAAGAGGATTTAAGGGTGATCATGGAGCTATGGTAAGGTTCATATGATCTTGTGAAAGATTCTATTTCATTAATTACTAGTAATTGTTTGCAGCAGTTGGATATCAATTATCCAGTTGGTACGTAACCTTATTGACAGTTATGCAAAGCCTCATCAGTGGGTGTCTCTATGTCCAAGGAGCCACAGTCCAGCCGGTATGGTCTTATTGATGATTTTCTAGATGCCCTATTGTCTTATTGTTGGTTGTCTAGATTGTCAGTGCTGCTGCATATTAATATTTTCAGTTCTTATTTAAAATTTGTATAATTTTTGGGTTCAATGAATTAATCAATTTAAAGATATTTGTATTATTTGGTGTAAGAGTTGTTTAATTGTGTGTATTTCTCTTTACTTAAGGGTCCACCTGGATCTCAAGGTACACAAGGTTTGCAAGGTCCACCAGGAGGTATGGTATGTATCAACTAGTCATTTTTAATAATTTAAACTCTCTATTTTCTGTCTTTGTGTCCTATCTGAAGGATTTATGGATGGCAAGCAAGGTGTGTTGTTATTTTAATTCCCCATTCTTTAATACATTTATGATGCTTTTGCCCATAGCTATAATTGTTGTACATGAGAATATTATCTACAATATTGAATAAAATTTTATATCATTAATATTTTTCAGGGCCCACCAGGGTCTCCAGGCCCTAGAGGTGTTCAGGGCGTTCCAGGTTCAAAGGTAAATTATTTCACTTTTGAAACAAAAACTCATTTTTAATCCTCATAATAATTTGTCAGTCAGTTTAGGGTTATCTATTCTTTTCTTTACCGCTACAGCAATACCTCCACCAATCAAAACGTAAGAATCACAGTTTGATTCAGTTGCAATTTTGTCAGTTCCAGCATATTTGTAGGAAAAATTCAGACTAATTTAAAAGTGATAATTTAATATTTATTGTATTGTTTACAGGGTTCAGAGGGTCCAAGAGGTTTACCAGGACCAACTGGATTACCGGGTCTACAGGGCATGCCAGGACCACCAGGTCCCAAAGGAGAATTTGGTGATCCAGGAAGAAAGGTATACATTTATTAACTTATTAACAAAATACATATAAATACATTTGATAATTGGCATGAATAACACAGTTTTTGAAAAGTAATTTATATGTAACAATATATCATGCAGTGTTTGAAAATTAATGTTTATAAGTATTATGTGATATAAGTGATTTAGAACAACATTTTTGCCCAGGGCTTAAATCTGTAATATTGACTCTTTTCTTTCGTCAGGAATTCAACAAATTTTATTTGAAGGCAAAGTAACATCCTAATATTTTATCTATTATTTGAGGAAAAATAAGTTGCAGTGATCAGATTTAAATTCATTTCTATCAATAAATGGTTCAGAATTACTCATAAACTATTTGTTTTATTTATTTTTAAGGGCCCACAAGGTGCTACTGGTCCTTCTGGTAATCCTGGTCCTAGTGGGACTCCTGTAAGTATTTTATATAAATAAGTTTTTATATATTGAATTACATTTAACGTTTCTCTTTGACCAATTCAGGGGAATATTTGATTTATGCTATGTATTTAAATATTGGTAATAATGATGTCATTATTTATGAAATATGTTAATACTAAACTACAGTTTCTAAGGTGCTGTTGATTGTTGTTTCCATTGATCAGAGTTTTGAATCAGGAATGATTTTCAATGAGATTTAAAACATCCCCACTGTTGTTTTATTGGTTGTGGTAGTTTATTCTAGAGGAAACATTTGGCGTAGAACACCCATTATAATTTAGAAACAAATACTTCTTTGTTGCTCTTAAAGGTTTTTGATAAAAAAAACTTTTCACATGATTTCAGTGATGTTTTCATTATGAACAAGATGTTGATCACTATGAATGTTATTTTCTAGGGTAGTCAAGGTTTGCCTGGTGCACCTGGTCCTGAAGGTCAGATGGGAGAGAAAGGAGATCAAGGTGATACTGGTGCTTCTGGTATTCCAGGTATTGATGGTGAAATGGTAAATATTTATCTTTTAGTATATCACTCACATCTATCTTAAGTCTAAAACACAGGTTAGAACTTGAATGTGCACCAATATGTTTTTTGTAATAACTTCTTCAATCTTAATCATAAGTTAAGAACTGGCAAATCTAATAAAAATTTCATGTGCACCAATTGCCAAGTCCCAAAACCTAAATCACAAGATTGTTTACTTTAAAGTAAAATGATTTCGTATATAAATTAATATCAGTAATTTAGTTGAAGTTGGGTTTGTTGATTATCTTATGAAAAAATTTTGTTTGTTCCATTTAGGGTGGTCCTGGTGGCCCAGGACCTAAAGGTGATGATGGTCGACAAGGTAAACAAGGAGAACCTGGTCCACGTGGACCTCGTGGAGCTGAAGGAGATAAGGGTCATGCTGTAAGTTATTTATTCACTATAATTATATTAGGTTAAAGATACCCCCCAAACTTTAAAAGGATTAGGAACATATTATTTGAATAAACATTTCAAGTCTGCACACAATTTATACATAAAAATAATGTTATCTTTTGGGTGATTATAGTTTCTCTGTAAGTCTATACCTATATGAAAAAGCCATAACAATATTTATTTAATTTTTTTGAGAAATAACATTATTTTTATGGACATTGTTATGTTTGAGTTTCATTATTTTGTACAGATTTGATGTCTTGTAACAAACCCATGTAGTCTAAATTTTTTGTCTGTTAAGCGTCTAGTCGGTCAAGGCAATTGGCGGGATGCCTGCATATTGGTCAAAGCAGTAGGCTTAATGTGTTGTGATCCAGCGAACATGGCTTGGTAGGACCAGTCTCATATCGTTTTTTTGTCCCCCGCCTTTCGAAGAAAGCAGGGGACTATTAAAATGGGTTCGTCCGTCTGTCTGTCCGTCTGTCTGTCTGTCTGTCCGTCTGTCCGTCTGTCTGTCCGTCACACTTTTTGGGACACAATAACTCTCTTCCTAATTGAGCTAGAATGTTCAAACTTGGTGTATGTGTTTATTAGGTCAATGCCTTGATGGAGTTCGAAGATGAGCATTTTCCGCTTAGGGTAAGCAGAGATAAGCAATTTGATTGGTTGATGCTTTGGGACACGATAACTCTCTTCCTAATTGGGCTAGAATGTTCAAACTTGGTGTATGTGTTGATTAGGTCAATGCCTTGATGCAGTTCGAAGATGAGCATTTTCCGCTTAGGGTAAGCAGAGATAAGCAATTTGATTGGTTGATGCTTTGGGACACGATAACTTTTAATTGAGCTAGAATGTTCAAACTTGGTGTATGTGTTTATTAGGTCAATGCCTTGATGGAGTTCGAAGATGAGCATTTTCCGCTTAGGGTAAGCAGAGATAAGCAATTTGATTGGTTGATACTTTGGGGCACGATAACTCTCTTCCTAATTGAGCTAGAATGTTCAAACTTGGTGTATGTGTTGATTAGGTCAATGCCTTGATGGAGTTCGAAGATGAGCATTTTCCGCTTAGGGTAAGCAGAGATAAGCAATTTGATTGGTTGATGCTTTGGGACACGATAACTTTAGTTCTAATTAAGTGAGATTGATGAAACTTGGTGTATAGTTTCATTACAGTAATACCTTGACTAAGTTTGATAATGAGCATTTTCTGCTCAGGGTAAGCAGAGCGATACGCAATTTGATTTTTATATGTGTCCTCTAATTATTTTCCTATTTCGGCGGGGGACATCAGCCTCACTGTTGGCTTGTTCACCTACAAATGGTGAAATTTATGTAAGAGAATCAGTGAACAATTGATACGAGAACATTATGTAACATTTGTGAATCATGCCAAGTGGGTTATGATGTAATATTCAATGTTAAACTCTGTGAATCTGTCGTGAAATCGTCAACGACAACCGTAAGTTAGTCAACTGTGAACCATGAACATTCCATAGTGTAGAACACTATAATGAACCCGTAAGTGAATGAAACAACTCAATAGTGAAATCTTTTATTTACATTTATTATTGTTTACGTTTACATCTGTAAAGTAACTGTCTTGGTCATATAAAGGTTTTTCAAATTTAAGACTTTCTCGATGTTGTTGACTGATTGTCTCCCTTATAAACATTTTGGGAATCAGACCACATTCTCTGTGATGAACTGTCGCTTATCCTAGTTATCAAATGTTGTGTCGAGTAATGCTATGACACCTTTCTAAGTCCATGTCTACAGACATTATTTTTTTAGAATGAGAAAAAGTGATAATTATTGAATTATGACTAGGGCCAATATATATATATTTTGGGTTTGAGATGATGTTATTTTAACCTTAGGCCACATAAATCAGAATATTTGGTTTTATTGAAAATGTTGCTCCCTACTTCTTGCGTGGAAAAAAAATTTGAAAACAAACCAAAATATACTTGGTTGCTCTTCTGAAAAGCTGTTTGTTCAAATTTTAAGTTTTTAAATTTTAAAAAATATATTGTCAACGAGACCATTTTTTTATCAAGACTGAAAAGAACTAAAAATTTGACCTTATTACAGATTATTTTGTTACATTTGAGTTAAATAAGAACTGTTTATATTGTTATTATACCTATAAGTATTTCATTGTTAACAGGGAGCAGTAGGACCAATTGGACCTCAAGGTGAACCTGGTGAGCCGGGTCAAAAGGTTAGAAACTTAAAGGAATATAAATTTGTTTCAAGGAAAATAATAGTTAAATCATAGTATTACCAGGCAACTAATATACGTCCACCAGCATAAATTGAAGGATGACTTTCAAGTTTTCAGGATCAGGGGTAATGACTATGGTTAGCCAAACAATGCTGACATCAAATATCATAGAATTTGACCTATACCATTACATTGGGTGACAGGGGCAGTAACTCCTCAAACAAATTTTTCTTTAACTCTGAATTTCGTCCACCTAGTCAAATAATCCCAGCAATTTATTTTTAACCTTTAAACACACATATAGAGCATTTACAAAGTTCCAGTAACAGAGAAATAATACTGTGAAATTTCATTACATTACAGCCACACAATCCCAGCAAATTTGAAAAGAGAAATACCAAACACTCTGACCTGTTTTAGCACTTATAGCAGTAACTATGCATAAGATTGGTGGGCAACTATGAATTTTGATAAAGTTCCTTCTCAGGTCTAGCTTACAATCCCAGGAAGTTGAACAAAAATCTCCAAAATGAAAGCCTACATAGATGATGTTGTAACTAATATTTAATATTATCTATCTATAGGGTGAACCAGGTATTCCTGGTGAAGATGGTGATACTGGTCTTATTGGTGCAATGGTAAGCATTCAACTGTATTATTAAATACACAAATATGTTACAAAATATATAGCTTTTAAACTAATGTATCATTTATGCTGAGACTTAAGTTCTGTATACCAAATCAGGTCTGCTCTTATTATTGACAATTGCTAAAATAAATAGGATATGTGGTAATTTAAACAAATAAAATTTTATCCTTCAGGGTCCTCCAGGTCCTCATGGTGAGCCTGGATTACCAGGTCTTCCAGGAAAACAGGTATGTTTAATTTTCATTTTGTAATAAATCAATATTATTTTCTCATTTTTCTCATGTTTAGACTCTCATATTTCTTAGCTGGATATACCTCTCTCATACGTACCTTTGATTATATCGACCCATGAGCAATTTTATTTATGTAAATGTGTATTGGTATTTGCCACTTGACAAGCAAGGATAAGAATGGTAGCTTCTTTGTGCAGGGAGAATTCTTGGGTAATAAAGCAGTAGTGGGAGGGGTTAAAAACTTGTAGCCTTTTGACATTGCTTTATGCTTAATGTCAGCAGAATAAAGTGATCAGGTGAGATAGGGAGATATTAAAATTCTATGGACATCTGCCTATTTCACTGTTTGGTAGCGTAGTTGTATTGATATTGTAAATTTTGTTTTATCAGGGAAATACCGGAACTCCAGGTTTACAAGGATCTGTAGGAGAACCAGGATCAAAAGGTGATCGTGGTTTACCTGGACCTATGGGACAGAGAGGCGCACCTGGACCTGTTGTAAGTATTCTTTTATGCACTTTATAGTATAAGATACATCAATTAAGAACTGACTATGTCATGGATATTTTTGGAGCCCTTTTCCATCAACAAGGAATAATTGTTGGTCTATGGTAAATTATGCAACCTCCAGATTTTGGCTGCTATATGTACACTGTGGTCAGGTCATTACCATCAAATGGTTGGAGTTGTTAAATCTATATCACTGGAAGCCATTACATCTAGCTTTGTATTGTTATCAATGAGATATTGGGCTGTCAACGACAAATAGTCTTGTACATCTTCCTTGAACGGCATTTAGCAATTGACATACGTAATAAAGACAAAAATATAATATGGAACACAATTACTATTTCAAATAAAGCAATGCTTCGTTGAGGGTTTTCTCAACGTTTTCAAGCAAATAATAAACATGTGTAAAAGTTACACTATGGTTGTAAATATTAATAGTTTTGGCTATTTATTGTAGGGACCAGTCGGACAACCTGGTCCACCTGGACCTGCTGGACAACCTGGACCTGTTGTAAGTATCTTCTTTGCCTATTGACTACCATCTTATATTATTAGATACTTGTATCAAGGAAAATTTGTATCATAATAAAGACATTTTATGTTTTAGAAAAGAATTCTATAATATTTTTGTTTAACCTGAGTAACCTCACAGTATCATTTATATATTGACTAACTGCTTACCCAGAGTTTTGTAAAATGGGAAGTAGCACAACTTAGAAACCAGAAGTAGCACAACTTAGAAAACAGTAGTGGTAGTTGGTCAGTCCTAGTGTAGCTGCCAGCACCGAACAGAATAGTTACAGTCGCAAATATACTCTTTATTTTAATTTGTTTGAATGTTTTCTTTTAGGGTGAACCTGGTACCCCTGGTCCAGGAGGTATGCCTGGAGAACAAGGAACTGAGGTAAAGATAATTTCCTTGTAGTTGGTAAAATGTTTACTAAGTCTTACGTATTAGTGCTCGGCTAAAATTCAAATTAACTTTTGTATTCATCCACAATCTCAGCCTGGTTTACCTTCAGAGTATGTCCTCCTTTTACCAACCATCTCCTGATGATTAAACATAGTTGACAGGGCCATCTAAGGAGTTATAGTACGGAGATCATGCATTTCGATCTAGTGTAGTTTTGTGGAATAAACCTCACATAAATACCAAGAAATCAAAAATGTTGAACACAGTTAATGACGATAATTTTCAGGCAAATATATCTGGTGTAGTGCTCTTGATGGCCGAATATTTAGCATGTGCACGCTGTATCATAAGGCCTGTCATTGGGTCAACTGGCGGGGTTTTTTCCGGGTCCTAGGGTTTCCTCCCACTGCTAAAGACCCCTACGCCCAAGTGAATTATTGAAATAAAAATAAACTATGTGTTAGTCCCAAAATGACATAGTTTGTGTCGAGTGGACTTTAAACCCCATTTCTCTCTCTCTCGCTCTTCAGCAGTTTACTGCAAGAATGTGATCTCAGAATGCATCCATTTATAATAGTAAGAGCAGAAGAACTGCATTACATGTAAAGCAAAACCGACAAGACAAACCTGTAGACAAGACATTGCAAGAAATCAACAGCAAATATCAAACCATGTGAATATATCCTGGGACCAGTCGTAATCATCCACTGCACTGTACAGTCCTGGGCCTGTAATAATACAGTCTTCACTCAAAATGAAAAACAAAACAATGAAGGTTTTACAAGAAATATCTTATACAGAGCACTAAATCCATGGCTACAAATTCATAATTTATTATTTTGTTGTTTATTTGCCATTTAAAATTCTTTTTAATGCAGAAGTTTAACTTCTATTAAACATGTTGTATGTATTTCTATTATTTCTACAGGGACCTGATGGACCAGCAGGACCTAAGGGTAACCAAGGACCAAAGGGAGTAAAGGTAAATATTATTTTACTAAGAACAGTTTGAAAATTGGAATGGATCGAAGATTTTACATGTATTTTAAAACATTTTCAAATATCCATGATATATTTTGTTTCTCCCTTCAGGGACATCGTGGACCCATTGGTCCTATGGGACCAATTGGTAATCCAGGACCTAAAGGTGAACCAGGACCTAAAGGACCACCTGGACCTAAAGGAGATAAGGGTGACATGGTAAGATTTCCATTTATATGTATTACAGAATTTTAATCACTATTTGATAAAGTTTAAAATAAGATGTAGAATGAAGTTAGTAAAGACTAAGTCCATGTTTGTTTCAGTGTTTTGGATCTGTCATCAATGCATTTGTTTCTATTGAAAACTACCATTGGGGAGGATTGCATGTGGATCTAGATGACAAGATGCACAAATATTAGTCAGAACTCTTTTGCCTTGTTCTTAGATATAAATAATACCACAAACAGTTTGAATTTATGATTAATTTACATTCAAATGTGATAAATATGGACAGTTTTGATAGGAATTATTGAATGGAATGAAAATTTTATATTTAGGGTAAACGAGGACCAGAGGGACCTAGAGGTATTGATGGTGCTCCTGGTTTAACTGTAAGTTATGTTATTTTATGAAAATATTTACTGACATATTGAGTGCACAAAGAAACTTTTGTGCTTGTGATATCAAAAAAAGAATGAATTAAATATCTTATAATGGCCATTTTGGGTGTGCTTAAAGGAGACGACTGGACAGTAACTACTCAATCTAATTGTCTCCTGTAGCATAAAGTCAGATTTTGTGAATTTTACCACTTTGAACTTTTTTGTTTTTCCTGCAATGCTATATACTGAAAACTTCCTGGTTTTGGTTGTATGGAGTCTAGTTTTCATTAGCTAAATGTCACATACCAAATTAAAGATTTTTGAATGCAGAAGTTAAAACCAAACCAAATGTCATTTTTTTTTAATCAATGAATATTTATATGTAACAGGGTGCTGTTGGTGCAGTTGGACCCAAGGGAGAACCTGTAAGTAAATAATTCAACAATTCATTCATTTATTTTCAAAATTAAAGATTAAAGAGGTGTTATTACTTTATACGAAGAATAATAAATGTAGTGTGTTCGACATAATAACCACCCAAACACTTATTTTAATAGAATTAAAAAATCGAGACAATCTATGCAGATTGTTGACAAGCATGCAAATCATAGCTCTTTCTGGTGAAGTCAGGTAAAAACGTTGGGTACTTTATTATTGTGGTAGCTCAGTGCTGTTATATGTTGAATTCCGTAATTAATTTGGAGCAGTATCGTTTTTAAATATACAATAAAATTAATATATTAAAATCCAATTACTAATTTTTAAGCTCTTTGAAAAATGCTAAAAATGGGTACCAACCGTAAATCAAATTTAAATTAAAGGTGTGTAGGATTGAGAGATTTGTCCCAAAATTTGAATACCGCTGGTCAATGTATAGTAAAATCCTTTTAAATTATTCTTTACAAAATCCTACAAAGCGCTATTTTGGGTATTGCATAATGGTAATTACCGATATTTTAAATTGAAACTAACAAGGATTTACTATGTATCTTTATAATAAACCCATATACAGTAGATAACTAATAATACATAATATATATTTGTAATATTTAATTATAGGGTGAGACTGGAGCTAAAGGAGATGCTGGTGCTACTGTAAGTTACATTTGTTCCATAATCAATAGTAATTTCAGTCCAAAATACTATAATTTGACACAATTTTGCTAAAAATACATCAATTTTCATATGAATACAGTAATGCATTTGTGTTGAAATGAATCTACATAAATATGTGTAAAGTTTCCAACAACCTATTTTATTCTAATTAGGCTTTAATATTTTAATTATACATATGGTCGTATATATCTTTACAAAATGGTTGTCACAGAGATATTATGTTCTTTTATGAAGGGACAACAAGGAGAACCTGGTCCTCCAGGTGATGCCCAAATGGTTCCTGCCGATTTTGGTGCCGCAAATACAGGGGCCAAGGCTAGCAAACGTCGAAGAAGAAGACGTCGACGACGATCTGTTGAAGATTTCGATCTTCAGACAGACATGAGGCAGGCTGTACAAACATTAATGTCAGCAGGAGAGGCTAATGGAAGTAAAACGGAGGCTAGGAAAGTAATGAAGGAAGTTGTTCGTGTTGTCGTACGTCATGTTGAACAAATGGAAGAATCTATTCATAAATTACGCTACCCACCAGGCACCAGGGAATATCCTGCCTCATCGTGTAGAGAAATTCATGATGGATATCGTCATTTTAAAAATGGTAATTGTTTTTTAAATGCCAATACCCCATTCCATCAATCAATCTCTTCAGATTTCTTGTAAATGCACCATACAGACAATTTACTTTCAAACTTACTACACTTGTTTACTTGTGTTACTCAAAGTAATTGTCTCTGTCAATGAAAATGTGTAAAGACATCACAATTCAGAGCCAGGCATTCATTCTAAGTGGAGTACTTTTTTCACCAGAACCTTGTAAACACTATCTAGGTTCAAGTCTTAATTTTCAAATTAACTGGGTTTAAATGGACCAGGCATAATGAAGAACCTTATTGAGTTCAGGGGTGTGGGGGCCTTATGTTTAACATGTGCACATTTATTCATAGGTCTGTCATTGAGTTAAAGTGGTGTGGTTTCAATTCCCCGCTTGTACGTGACAAAGAGAAAGGTCACCTGTCCAACCTTGTGGGTTTTCTCCAGGTCCTTTGGTTTCCTACCACTGCTAAAGACCCTACAAACTAGCAAATCCTTGAAATAGAATTAAACCATTTGTTAGGTTTTGAGAGGTCAATCTGTGAGATACACATAGATGTTGAAACATAAACTAAACATCAACCTGCAGAATTTTATCCCTATTATTAAAGTTTTGATCTTCATTTGCAATATTTAGATCTTAAAATTTACCCACATTGAATATTTAACATTTTTTTAGTAAATGAAACCAAATTACAACGATAGATAGTCGTCTTCTAAATTTGTTGGTTTATATCGTACACAGAGCATTCCGCTTGTTGCGAAATTTTCAAATCGTTATATTTTTGGAAATGCAGAACAGAATGGAAATATTTTATGACTGATAATTCTTTAAGAGATTCCCTTTCATAATATTGTAATTTGCAAGGGATTCAAAATAATTCAAATGATGATCAGTGGCTTTAACTAAGATAAGAATTTAGAATACTAGTAATTATATTTAATCTATTTCTTCAGGCTGGTATTGGATAGATGCTAATCAAGGTTCACATATGGATGCTATCAAAGTGTGGTGTAATTTAACAGGATCTCAAGAAACTTGTATCTACCCAAAACGAAATAAAAATATGGTAAATACAATGCATGTAATTCTTGTTTGGTCCATTATGATTCCCAAGTAATTAAAGTATCCAATATAATACTGAGGATTACTGACTTGTGATAGGTTATAACCAGTCCCATATATATCTTCCATCTTCAGTTAGTGCAGAAAAGTAGAAGTTATATACCCCATTTCATTTTGTTTCCTATATATTTTACAGAAGGACTGCACAAAAATATTTTGTTGAAAGTTGTGCTGGTGTTTGTATATTCCGAATCTAACTTTTCTTTTTCAGATAAAAGAACAATTTTGGCCGAAACAGGGTGACAAATTAAAATGGTTCAGTCAACTTAATGGTGGATTTACAGTAAGTAATATGCGCAACTTGCAACTTTGGCGATTGACAGTTCGAGCCCTGTGTGAAAATGTGTTCATTATAGTCCCACATTTTTCAACCAAAATTTATCGGGAGGTTGTTTTAAATACATCCTGGGAATTATCAAAATTCAGAGTCATACATTTGTTTAATTTATATCTTGTTTTCTTTTTTCAGATTAAATATATTGACAAACATTTATTGAAATTTCTACGTCTGGAAAGTGTAGAAGTTTATCAGAAATTTAAATTCTTCTGCTCTGGTTCAGTTGCTTGGTATGATCAAGTTGCTAAAGGTTATGACAATGCTTTAATATTACAAGGTGAAAACAACCATGAGTTTAAGACCAAACAATTAAATGTGAACCGTATAATACATGATGGCTGTAGAGTAAGTAACATTTATAACATTGAGTTTCCTTAGATTAAACAAAGATTACAGGCAATAAGAATAAACAATTTGATTTGTCGATGCTTTGGAACAATGATTTTAATTCAGTTAGAGCGATGAAAGTTAGTGTATAGTATCACTACATCAATACTCACAGATGTCTAAGAGACATTGTTAGGTTTTTAACTTCGAATAATAACATTACTCATCCAACATGTTAATATGTTAAGACAAAGCCGAAGTTGTATCTGAATGTATTTTATTATTTGTTTTTAATGAACTGTGATAAAAGTGTATCAGAAATCAATATGAGCTGTAATACAATTGTTATTTTATGTATATTTTATTTTTAAAATATATGTATTTTATTGTGTGCCATGTTTAAAAAACAATTATTGAAATTGGTATCATAATGACACTGTATAGCACTATAAATGCATATCCTCCATCTATGTTTTAAATATCATCTACTGTAGGATGTTAAACCCCATTTCATTTTATTTCATTTCTATGTCATATCAACAACAAATCACTATTAGTAATGAAATAATTCTTTGAATTTCAGGATCGAAGGCAAAATGGTTACACAGAGTTTATGTTAAAATCGAAAAATTTGTATAGACTTCCAATAGTAGATTTCTTACCGCAGGACTATGGCAATCCTTGGCAGATGTTTGGATTTGAAGTTGGTCCAGTTTGCTTTCGTTAATAATTGTTAACATTAGTTTAATCTTTAATTATTCTGGCTAATGTTTAGTCCTCTGAAATTGTGATAAGATCTCAAAACAGTTTCATACTTTCCGTCCATTTAACTAGAGTTGAAACAATTTTAGTCTGGTTAATTTTATTTTTTTTTTCAAATTTGATTGTTATTACTTGTAATAATCTATATTATCATAATCATTGTAAATCTGATATGGTCATGACTCATATTGTTTTTTCTAAAAACATCAATTTATTTTTTTTTCAAACGTGGAGATATTCTTTTATACCATTTACTCGGCGCGCTGAAGAATTTCATTATTATCTGAAAGTGGCAATAATCGTTAATATAACTTAACCAAATGTAGTTTTTTTTTTTACAAAGGCCAATTTATCTGTAAAAATATAGGTTAATATAATATAAATGTACAGAGTACTAAGATTGCCATTTCAAATTATAATAATAAAATTCTTCTTGTTAAATCTGTACAAAGATTTAACCTGTTAGCTAGAATTGGGAAGGGTGCAAATCTATGAATCATAATCAGTGATGTCTTCATTTTTGTATCGCTTTTAAATTTTATCGTCAATATTAAAATTATCTTCTGAATATCACAGTTGTTGTTTCTTATATCCATCACCATTCTGGAGCCACGGTGGCTCAGTGAGTAAGACGCTGGCCTGCTAACCAGGAAGTCCCCTGTTCGATCCCTGTGTTGACCGAGAAAGTGCATCAGGATTTCCGATGCGTTTGCCCCTTGTCAGTAGTGCAGGACGAAGGGTCTGACAAGGGAGAGTATAGTCATTCTGATGGGACGAAATCCGAGGTCCTGTGTAAATATTGGCATGCATCTAAAAGAAAAGTTCACAGTTAGAATTTGAAATAAGAGTAGGCCGCGGTGCTGTTGTTCGGGCAAAATTTTACTCATAGCACACTTATGGCATATGCCCGTCTTCATAAGCCCAGTCGATGCAGAACAATAGGACGTTAAACCCCATCTCATTTCATCACCATTCTCAGAATGGAATAGGGGTTTAATTAGATAACAAACCTAATCACTCAACCCTCGGTGTTTCGACACAATAGATGGTACAATTAGTATTACTACAATATAGATCCAACTGGCAAACCCCAATGCTAATTACATAGGGATTCAAATAAGCAAAATTAACAATTTTTTCTTCAAAACAACGATTGATTATTGTTATTTATAACATTTCCGCCACAACCAACTACAGTTAAGCATATAATCCTACCTGACACGGGTACGGTCCCTTCTTTTAAATCGAAGCGATAATAGACATCTTTACCTTATGAAGGCAGGGTCTCGTGTACAACAGCCAATCAAAGTACTATCCTAATCTGAGTGGCGCAGGACTGATAGCCTACACCGTAATTACCAATTTTGATAAAAACAACGCTTGACAATATTTGCTGATAAACGAAAGTTGTTTCACTAGATTGGGCTGCGTACAAATAACGGGGGAAAAAAACACTCTACCCAATATATGATGTAAAATTTTGGCAACCTTCAAAAAAACTTAAATATTGTACATCAGCATGGAAGTCCCTTCTTTGGGAAAATATTTTGACAAGGTTATTATTCAAAATAAAATCTGAAGGCCTATATAATATATATAAATTATGTGTTCAAAATGTCCATTCCGTTAGATGGTAAAACTATATAAAACTTCTCATTCTCTCAACTGCTTTTAAAATTGAAAGGTCAGTAAAAATTACAATGCTTTTCAATTAGCCATCCAATAGAGCTGAATAAAATGTCCTATAAAGTAAAGAAAAAATAGAAATCAAATATTGTTTCTGTCAAAATTTTGAGAACAATTTGTCTTTTCAGTTAATGCTTCGTTAGCAAGTTAATCATATGCCCCATTATCAAGTATGTCACTATTAAATCAATTCAAAGACAGGGTTATGGTCAAGCAGGAAAATCCCACTATAATAGAAAGAAACACAAGGTACAATTTTATGGATACACAATTACTGAGGTTAATACTAAACGACGTTTCGACGAGGATACTCTCGTCTTTATCAAGCAAATGATACAGGTATGTGAATAGTAGGCAAATATATACAGAATATGCAACAAAGATTAGAATCAAATACAATTAAAGCTTAACACCTTTGATTATCAGCGTCGAAACGTCGCTTAGTATTAAACTCAGTAATTGAGTATCCATAAAATTGTACCTTGTGTTACTATGTTCAATTACTAAATGCCAATCAAAGAAGATAGAAAGGGACAGTTTATAGAAAGGAAAATCCAAACAATTAAGTTGACCACACATATGGTTGTCGCACTGTCCTGATGGAGAGGTTTTCACTCAGAAAACCAGGGAATAAGGTTCTCAAAGCACTATGTTAATATCATGCAATGTGAATGACTTCAAACAGTCAATTTGTTTTGTTTTTATAAAGTTCTGCCCCATGCTAACGTTTTGTATAAAACTTTTAATATCATGGATTTAGCTGTTCAAGACATAAAAATTCATTGAAAATCAATATACTTGTTCGTCTCAAGATCTTAAACTCTGTGTATCAATCTGAAGTCAATCGGATGATAACTTTAGCCTTTAGTGCGTCACAAAGTGATCAAGGGACATAACTTTGGCAGTAATTATCGGAAATTGTTGAAAATCAATAGGATTCTTCGTCTCGTGACCTTAAACACCGTGTATAAATATAAAGTCAATCGGATATTAACTTTGGCCTCTAGAGCGTCCACAAGATTTTTCAAAGTGATCAAGGGCCATAACTCTGGTAATAATTATCGGAAATCGCTGAAAATCAATAGGCTTCTTTTTCTTCTCAAGACCTTAAACACTGTGTATAAATTTAAAGTCAATATACGACCACATTTCAATGTGGGCGTATAACAAAAGGTATTTTGTTCAAATTATAATCCGTCATTGCTTTTTTTATATTCTTTCTAATGGTATTCAAACATTTATTTCGACAACTGGAGTCAAATTAATGATTTGAATTTTTGTATTTTCCGTTATGTCCTTACTGTTTACATGGTCTTTTACATGGTAATACCGGTAACTGAAAAGACATTTTTACAAATTTGATTTTGTTACATTAAATTTTTTGTTATTTGTGAGAGTCCACCTTGGCTATTGCATATACTTCCTCTTGAGTAATAAACCTAAAGAATACAGTGAAACTTTCCTACAAAAAATTCATGATTACTTTTCAAAATTTGTCTTTACCATTATTTGTACGTTTTTTTTTTTGTAGAAATGGCCCATATACCAATATGCCATAGAGTTGTTGTTTAGGTTATTTCAGTGTCAGGCAAAAAGAGAAAATGAAATGAAATGAAATGGGGTTTAAGGTCCTACTCTTCTGCACCTAACCTGGGCTAATTGAAGACGGGCATACGCCATACAGTGTGCTATGAGGGAAATTTTGCCCGGGCAGCGGCGCTACGGCCTACTCTTATATCGAATTCCAACTGCCAAGGGATCTTTTACGTGCACGCCAATGTGTACACGGGACCTCGGTTTTTCGTCCCATCCGAACGACTAGACAGCTGTCCTTGTCAGGCCCTCCGTTCTGCATCACTGACAAGGGGAAACCACGCCGGAAAATCGAGATGAACTTTCTCGGCCAATGCAGGGATCGAACAGGCAAAAAGAGAGTGAATTATCATTTCATTAGTAAGTAAGATGTTATAAGTAAAATAGTGATCTAATAGATATAGTATAAACATGATAATAGTGTAAAATAATTTAATAAACACGGCGGGAAGATGTCGAACACTCGAAGTCGAAGCTTGAGGCTGAAAACCGGGTGGATCCATTCGCTAAATTTGTATTGTATTACAGAACTACCCTTTCCATCACCTGCAATGGTGTGGTTAAAGGTGGTAGATAAAACCTGCGTTGTTCGGGGCAATAAATTTTTTGATTGAGAACAAGAGAACGAGTTTTAAATAAGTTTATATATTCCACAAATCACACGATACAGTTTTATATTATATTGAAAAGATGAATTAAACCGCGCAAATGCGGAATATGATGCTGGTTAATCTATACCATAATATCTACCATAACCATTAAACAACACTTAAGGCATTACACATAACTATAAACACAAAACATATTTTATGCTTGGCCCTGAAAATACAAAGTTGTCATTCATATTATGTTCTTAACCAGTCCAATAGTTCTATTAGCTATACATCTTACAATTTTACATTACAGTATTACATCTATAATCATATTTCAAACACATGTAAAAATATTCTCACACTCCGCTTTCAAAGTCAGCCTTATCTATTAAATGAAGTATAAAATGTTTAGCTTACCCATTTGTGGAAAAGAGCCGATGTATGACCTTATCTGCTAATCTGTAACATGTGGTAAAGATGCATGCATAAATAAAATAAAACCAAGTACGAACAATCCAAACCATTAGACAAAATTCGAAGTCCTAAAAAAAGGTTTTAGTTTTATCCCAGCTACACCTACGAATAACCAACCTGGACAAATAATCTCAGATCACCTCTTAAACAACATTTTCAGAAAGAGACCAACTTCCGAACTGAAAGATTCCAAAAAGTTATCCTTTCAACTATATCAAAAATATTAAAACTAAACCCATATAAAAAAACTAAAACAGTTCAACCACTAAAATAAAACACCATAATCCGGAAAATACAATGATGTCTTACGTCTTGCTCCAGCTACAGTTAGTGGATCGTTCTAAGGACTTCCTTTGAGCTCGTTTTGAAGTCATTTAACTACAAAACCATGGCTATAACTCCCTTAAATGGGGCATTATGGGAGATTAGATAAAGAGCTGGCAGTTCTCGCTATAATAGTTAAATACTAGATAATGTAAAGGGAATTTTGATGAAAATTTCAGTCAAATTGATCCACTCTGAACCGGGGCCTTAACTTTTGAATTTTGGGCCTAGCCTCGATCATCATTGCTAAAGTCGGTACGATAAAGAAAAAAACCACCCTAAAAAACATGGTCATGATTATCTTATAGGCAGACTAAGCTCTTGCATAATGTATATTTAATTTCCAATTGTAGCCTACTAAACCCCTAGTCATTCGACTACAAAAAGGTTAGCTATGGCCTATAATTCTCTTAAATGCGGCATTATGGGAGATTAGATCGAACTGGCAGTTCTCACTATATAATAGTTAAAAACTAGATAATGTAAAGGGAATTTTGCTGAAAATTTCAGTCAAATTGATCCACTCTGAACCGAGGTCTTAGCTTTTGAATTTTAGGTCTAGCCTCGATCATCATTGCTAAAGTCGGTACGATAAAAAAAACCCAAACAAAACGTGGTCTTGATTATGCAATGCCTATTGCCAATAGGCAAATTTAGCTCTTGCATAATGTATGTTTAATTTCCAATTGCACTGACCCCTAAACTGTACCGCACATAACTTAACATTTAATAAACCAATTCTTATTGAAATAAAGGTGAAATTTTACCACATAATTTCATAAATTTAATCAAACCCAACGGCTCGTGATATTTCTGTTGTTTTTAAAATGGCCGCCGAACCAGAATTAGAACACGCGCGTGATTTAACGTCACCTCGAAAATATAGAAAACCTGTTCGGTAAGATAATATTAAGATTTCAGAGTTTCATTACTCTTCACTATCTGTAACACAATTACTTATTTCCATGTAAACTGTACAATTATTGTGATTAATGTGGCCAAGATAGAACCGCTACAAATTATATTGCAGCTATATTGTATTAAATTTCAGCGATCTTGAAAAAAAAACGGCCATCTCGTGGCTAACGGAAGCCACCCGTGGAATCAGGGCCGGATGGAGCTTGCATGAGGCCCTTGCACCAACAGTGAAAAATGGACATATTCTGTAGGTTGGGCGCGATTGGTTTTTAGTATCTCTGAATTTTGTTGAAACTATATAGAGAAGGGCAGTACAAAAAGAGGACACAATGTTGTCATTAGGGCATTTCCTTTGGCTGTTTGAGGCAACTCTATCGAAATTCGAGTACACTTTTTCAGAAGAAGATTCGGGCGTTATCAACCATTTCCAGTTTCTTTTGTTTTTGACTTTCCGCCCAGCATGTCTCTGATTGTTTACACCCTCACCCCCCCCCCCCCCGCTCCAACCTTTACTAAAAGTCAATTTTGATTTACGGAGTTACTGGTTAATTAAATAGACAGAATTTTGAGATGAAAAAAGGTATCGAAATAAACTATATTACCGGTATAATTATTATTATTCGGTTTTCCAGATAAATAAGTGGTAATTGCAAAACAAAGTAGACCTACGGCCATATACAATGAATAATATTGCACCTACATTATACAAGCAGCTTGTATCCACAAAATATGGGGTAGCTGCAATATTTGTAGCGGTGATAATATGGTCTTATTCACCTCTACTTGATACACTCTTTGTCGAGGCTTTGCTCAAGTAAAAATAGCTTCAATTGCAAAATTTTCAACACATATCACAGTTTGCATGGAAATTAGGTAAGATAAGATAAGATTTTATTGTATCATAACACCCATTTCAGGCCACACACAATTCATATACATGACATAAGGAACATAAGATGAATAGCAATATACATATATATTTAGAAGAATACGAAACATAAAATACACAGGTTCATGTTAAAAGTGAAAATATATATCAGAAACATTATTTCAAAAATGTATACAGGGGCGGATCTAGGAATTCTGAAAAGTGGGGGGGGGGGGGCCTCAAAATGAGGGCACTGACCGCGGAGACGGGGCACGCCCCAAGAAAATTATCCGTCATTTCCTTGCATCTGTAGCCATTCCAAGAGCTATTTGGCTGATATTTTCGTCTAAGTAAACGTTCGGAAATCGTTCAAAAAGAGCCTTAAAATCGAGCAAAAAAGCAAGTTGAACATGCGACTCGAAAATTGTCAAGGCGAGCGAGGCATTATGATGGGAAAAAAGACGAATCTATTCCCTAGCCACTTCACTATTTAAGCCTTGTAACTTGTACTTTGTACTGTTCACACATGAAACAATGCTACATCAAGTTGCACTCATGCGCGTCGGTGATGGACATTAGTGTTACGCCGCCTATTCCACAAGATGTCTGTCTATACTCACTCTATAGGAGATCAAAAGGTGAAATTTACCGTTTTTGCACTAGGAAGATTTAAAGCAATAAAATGTCAACGTAAAATATAAAAACTAAAGCGAAACCTGTTCTAATTAATAATAGAAAAATTTAAAATTTATCTTAAGGGGGTCTTTGCACCGAACTTTTACTTTGGAACGTCGAAAATGATCTTGCATAACAGAACCAACACACTTTGAAACCAGTTTCAAAAAGACGTAAAAACTGTCAAATCGAAATCTCTCCGATTTATTTTCACAACGATTGTTATACATAATGATACTTGTTATCTGAAAAACAATTGAATAGTTTCAGAGTTGGACTCCAGTCTGAAGGCCTCGTGGATTTCCGAGAATCCCAGTCTAGGAAAAGCGACGTTAATCTGTGACGGGAAAACACGTATGAGTTTTTATGAATTCGCCGGAACATGGACGCAGATAAAACCGACGAATGCATTATACATAGTAGTTCACAGGTATGTCGTATTGGTAAATGTTAGCGGGGAAAATTTTGGCAGGCTTTGTGACGCGGCCTGCAGGCTGGAGTCCAGCCATGAAACTATTCAATTGTTTTTTTTTTCACACAACTAGTATCATTATGTAGCATAGCATTCGTTGTAAAACTAATTCGGAGAGATTTTGATTTAACAGTTTTTACGTATTTTTGAAACAGGTTCCGAGGCGTTTTTGGTCTGTTATGCAAGATCATTTTCGACGTTCCAAAGTAAAAGTTCGGTGCTAAGACCACCTAAAGATACATTTTAAATGTTCCTAGTATTAATTAGAACAGGTTTCGCTTTAGTTTTATTACTTTAAATCTTCCAAGTGCTAAAACGGAAAAATGTGACCTTTTGACATCTGGGGTCACAAAGAACAAAGGTGAATTTAGTAAGTTTACATTTTTATTGAAAGTGTGATTACTTTCGATCATTTTCAGCTTATTTTCATGATACAAGAATGACTTCGCATTCACTTTCAGTGCCAATGAACCCATTTGACCTTTGACCCCGAATATCTCGAAAACGCCCCAACGGCGGACTGATTAGCCTACCACTCGGCATCGTATTCTACGCAAAATTTTACTCTAGAAAAGATGGGTCTGGTTTTGTGCCCATTTTATCCCCCCCCCCCCCGCACTGATCGAGCCCCCAGACTAGTAATTATGTTACAAATAGTGAAGAGTGGAACACTAAAATCTTAATCGTATCTTACCAAACAGTTTTTCTATATTTTCGAGATGACGTGAAATCACGTGCGTGTTCGAATTCTGGTTCGGCGGCCGTTTTAAAAATGGAACTAAAAATTTCGTGTAGCAGTTTGGCTAAATCAAATCATATAATTGTGCCTTAAGGTTACCTTTATTTCAATGGAAATATAAGTTTATTATATGTTAAGCTATGTTCAGCGCAGTTTGCTGTCGGTTTAATTGGAAATTAAGGGAGTTATAATTAAGCCAGTAACTTTTTCGTCATCGTATGACCAAACCTGCTCAAAGGAACTCCTTAGACGATCCACTACTGTGGCTGGAGCAAGACGAAAGAAATCAGCAGTGGAACGATTTCTAGGGTATGGGGGTGAAAGATTCGAGCGCCAACGTATAACCTAGACTTATGTTGTGATGTAAATCCCCTGGAAATATATACCGGTACTAATAATAAATAGTCTTTCTTTAAATATAGGCCTAGAGGTGGAAGTTGGGAGAAACGTCCAATAAAAATGCATGAACTTCATTATAAACTTTATAAGTTATCGAATCTAGGCCTATGATAAACAACTAAATTTAACCAATTTACTCCATCGATCCACATTATTTCTATCCTATTCCTATCGATTTCTAGTGCACGTTACCGTTGTACATCGATGGTCGGTCGGGTTTAGTCTGGATAACCTGGCCCAAGGGGTGTAGACTAGCTTATCCAGAATACAGCATGCGTGATGAAATGTGCTACGCATGCGTCATCGGAGAGCCCCGCCCCAAATCACTTAGTCCAAATTTCTAGTCGGAAATAGTGCGAAACGCATTTATTAAAAGTAAAATGTTTGTAACCTTTATTTGCCGACAACAATGCTTTTGTTTGTAAAACTATGAAGTAAATTATTTTATATGATCCAGATAAGTTTATTACGACCGTTATCAAATGTGTGGGTTTTTTTTATTCTTTTCAATTCGTTTTAGATTATACTTCAGTTCCGTAAAAAAAGCAACCTGGATATATTTAGGACTCAATTGAATCTTGTAAAGATTGGCCACCTCACAAAATAAAGTAGCTTTTATTTTTTTTATTGGAGCTGGGGTACACATTACAACATGAACTTTGAATATGTATCTGAAGTGGACAGGAAATTCCTTGCAAATAATCTGCTCACGAAGGAAGACTGGGGTGAGTTGTTGGCGTCTGCGACCAAAAAGATTTGCATGACATGCTTATTAATATCATTATTGTGGACGGACTAGGGCCTAGTCTTCATTTTATGTCCGGGATTTAGATCAGTGATTGAAATTTGAAAATACACAAGAAATGTTTTCATTTTCCTGTGGTCTCCCATAGTTCTAGGCCTTATTGTTACCTACAACAATCTCACCAACAATCCCGTGTCCTATCCTATTCCTAACCTTATTTACGTCTTATTTACATACTATTTAGTATTTATTATAAAAAAATATATATTATACTATCGCCATCGGTGAACACTGGAATAATCAGACAGTAAAGATTCTGGCATATTTCGCCGAATATAACTGATTCAAAATTAGAGTAAAAACGGAAAGGATTGAATGTAAATCAGTTTATATACATTCATATTACATTATTATATGCTTTGCGACCCATTTGTGTCAATTTCTATGCCCTAAATATTAGCGATTTAGCTCGTTTAAATATTGAATTGTGTGAATGAATGACATCCTGGACTTGGTGTGGACTCTCCAAAGACCAATCGGACCAAGAGCAGTCGGACCAGTTGATAGAACACTCAGTCCGATTGGTCTTCTAATCTTTGTCCGAGTGTTCTTCTAGCTGTCTTGGCCGAATTTGTCTTCTGTTGGTCCACGTGGTATTTTTTGGTTTGAGTTGTCTGTTTACCAATTGTGTGAACTGCTGCTGTGATTCAGCTGGTATTGGTAGTAGTTGAACTGATCTTTTTTGATTTCTGAACTCCACAGAGAAAAACATTTTCCAGTCTCAGTTTGCATCAACACCTGTGATATGATATGTCTTTGTTGTACCTGCTTGACTTCATGTTCACATATAAACTCTACATTTTTTCCATATACCTGCATAGGTAGTATAGTTACTGTACTGGTACTCAAAAAGAGAACACAGCCTTTATTTTCAACATGTATGCCAGTTTGTAATCATGCTGTGTAGATATCACAGTTATACATTGTACATAAAATCCATTACACAAACATATTTTCTTGTAAATGTAAAATATTATCTTTTCAAAAACCAAAACAGGAGCCATGCTGGTAATGGTAATGCAATGTACTTATCACAATGCAGGCTGTCATGCCTCAAATCATTTATTTCACAAACGTAACAAAAAACAATAAAGTTGGAGTTCAATACATCAATGTTAGTAAAACTAGGAATTTTCAGAATCTGTGAAATTTGTAGAATTTTTTAGGTTTGTCAAATATAACGATAGTATGTATTGGCAGTGTATATATCATGTTTGCACTGTGGAGGCATACTTGTCACTTGTGTAAAAGTTGTTGATGAGAATGTGGTCTTGTGTTGCCTTAATAAAGTGGGTTGGTTATTTATTTGGGTTTCAGAATTTGACTGATTTAAGTGTGCTACAAGAAAAAAGCGGTATGCATTGGTTACAGGGGGGTTGGATGGCCGAATCATACGGTCTGTCATTGAGTCAACTGGCGGGGTTTCGTTTCCCCGGTTGTACGTGACAAGGAGTAGGGTCGCCTGTCCAACCTCGTGGGTTTTCTCCGGGTCCTCCGGTTTCCTCCCACTGCTAAAGACCCTTACGTGCATGCGAATTATTGAAATAAAAAAATTAAACCACGTTAGTCCCGAAATGACCTAGTTGGTGTCGAGTGGACGTTAAACCCCATTTCTCTCTTTCTCTCGCATTGGTTACATGAGTTTGGTGAATGAACTTCTTACCCAACTGAGAACAGTGATTATAATGAAAAGATTTAGTGTTGACTTTTGGAAAACCTCTTCCACCAGTAGCTTAAGTGACAAGACTGTGGAGCTTGCTATTATTCATCTATGCCGAGACTCTGTATAATATTTTTATAATTTTTTTCTAGAGCCAGAAATGGATGCTGTAGGAGATCTTTCTGATTTTCTTGACATACAGAATGAAATGAGATCACTAACTGATGAATTACCCGATGAATTGGTTAGTTTTATTACCAGTAGCCTATTGAATGTATTGCTTTGTTAGTTTCTAATATTAAAGATGTCCATAAAACTCAGTATAGAAATTTAAGACAAAAATATTCTCTACTACATGTTTATAGAAGTGAACTATTTTCTTTGATGTCTCAGATGACAACAGTAGTTCTGTTTCGTAGATATATTGTTTGGAAGCATATTGATACATGGTTTTGGGAAGACCATTTGCCTGAATGTTTTTGTGACAATCTATCAGGATTGATCAATCATGCCCAGAAGTATTACATGTATCTCAGATGGGCCCATTGTATACATTATAATTATTTATTTATTTATTTTTTTTTTTTTGCAAATTAACCATACTTCATCTATACTATGATTTTTTTAGATAGCGTTCCAAGATAATTCCCCACCATTGGCAGATGCTATATTAGATGATTATTGGAAGGAATTAAGTGATAGTGCAGACAGTGCTGACAGTGGACTTTTTGGTAAGCATTGATTTCTGTAAAAACAAAGAATCGATTTTATTATATCTATATGTGGTTGTTTGAGTGGGCGAATGGTCTAACATGCATACTTTAGATCATAAGGTCTGTCATCAAGTCATGTAGAGGGACAAGGAGTAGAGTCGCTTGGCCAACCTAGTAGATTTTCTCTTGATATTCTGGTTTCCTCCCACTTTTGAAGACTCGTACGAGCAATCAAAAGCTTAAAATAAAATTGTACCGAAATGACCTAGTTTTGGATCTAAATGGAAATACCAATGCTAGCTGGGTCATGGTCAATTTATTAAATGAGTACAGACATTTAAATTAATAATTTTTAAATAAGGATGCCAGTGTATGAATGTAATGAGATAAAATTTTACTACTTGTAATTCTTCAAGGAATGGCTGATGCATTAAAGAAGGAAGAAATCCTTAAATGGCATGCTACTTACTTATTTTCCATCTCTTAGCTTAAAAATGATTATTCCGTCTATCTAAAAACACTGATAATGGAGATATTTTCAATTTATTTTTCAGGTGTTGAAGTTAAAAAAGAACCACTTTCACCCCTGTCTTCAAACTGTTCTGAAACAGGATCTGAAGGATATGGCTCTGTAGGTTTATATTTATTTCATTCAATCAGACACATTTTAAATCTCCCTCGAGATTTCCATTTTAATAATCCATCCTATTGTTTGGATTAAAAAGTATGTCCTTAATCAAATAAAATATTGTCCTGTTTCCATTTGTAGTAACGTAAGCAATGAATTTCTGTCTGAATTGTTGAAAAGACAATTCCATCGATCATTATGTGGACGAATGTACATGCATTCGAGGTGATGTGTTCAATATGTTTGTTAATTTTACAAATTTTTAAATTTCTTCAATTAGAAATGCTGAAATATTATGATCTCACAATCTTTTTTTTTGGGGGGGGGGGGGGGCGGGGGGGGTCAATCCTCCTTAAGATCTAAAGGAGAGCATTCTAAACAGTCCCCCTAAACTTGACTAGGTGAGTGATTTTTGAACCACCTGCATTTTTATCAAACGTCATTCCCTGGAATATCATAAACAAGTAGTAATATTATTTTATTATAAATTGTTTTAGGCGTCTGACATGAGTTCCTGTGTTCAACAGACGATTACAGAATTTAAGATGGAAGACACATTGACGAATGTTCTATCACCATCATGTCCACCTGTCTCATCAAATAACAGTATCTTTCAAATCCTGCCTAAACAAGAAGATAACACCCAAACCCTTATTTTAAACAATATTAATGGAAATTCAGTAGGTGTGTTGACTCCAGTAACTGGTGGAGCTATTAAATTAAATAACATTATGAATTCCAAGATAAAAATACAGCCTAAACCATCTGATGGTACACCCATTAAAATATCACCACCCACCACACAAACAGGTACTGTAGGATATATTTTACAGATCTTGAGAATCATTTAATACACCTGTTTGAAACTTTGTATGTTCCATAATATAACATAAGTTGTGCATGTTTTAGGAAAAGAATATTGAATTTTTGGTAAATGTTTATGTCTCTCTAGTAGTACAAATGGTGGAGATGCCTAGCTGAAATAGTATTTGTCAATTAAAGTGTGGGCCTCTATTTAAAAATTAAAAATAGTGTTCAACATGTATTACTCCTGTACATACATACAGTGGCCTCTTGTCACTTCCGAAATCGTACGGGATCGATACAATATGCCAGATTATAACAGAATACCAGAAGTATTATTGTACCTCAAATCCCGGAAGTATTATTTTAATGCATCTTCGAATACCAAGAACTTAAAATATGATACACCTTTCCATACATTCAAAATTTTATTACATGAAATTATTACATTTTTTTACTATATGCGAGTACAAACAACTTGTGCATCTTTCTGTTGATGTCTTCAAAATTAGAGTTCGAGTAAAATTGTTTCTTACTGTTTCTTATATCACGATATTCATATGATGCAAAATAAAGATAAAATCAAGTTAACAGTGTTGTGTACCCGTGCATAATGTTTGACGTGGATAATTAAGAGTGACAGGTTGAAGTAAGAAATGGTGCCATTTTGTAATTTAGTACACCAGATATAATTGGAGTGACAAATAAGACGTATGTTTCAGCCATTGAAAAAATTGATTCCTAGAGGGTACAGTGCGATAGGCCCTGCCTATTATGATATGGTTTCTTATATTTTTTTAGAGGTTTTGAACAAGTTTTTGTTTTGCTTTTAAAAGGTAATAAAGTGCTATATAAATTGAACAATAATAATTTGTGTTGTATGGTGCTGCACTAATACAGAGACAGTGTACATAGTTACCGCAAGTTGCCATACAAAGTGGTGATTGCGCAAAGAAATATGGGTATTTCCTGTCTACATGGAACCAGCTATTGGTTCTGTATAGGTCGTGGAACTTTCTCAAAATGTGCTTTTTGACGTCCAATGTCAAATCCGTACGGCACATTTTGAAGGACAATAACACATTATGAACACAATATTATAATGAGAAACTCAAATGAAATAACCACATGCTCTCTTACAAGATCGACACATGTTTTAAGCTCACCGATAATTAATCGGTGATTGCTTGTCAGTAAACAACCACTGATTACTGATTAAAGGCCAGATTATTCAGTGTTAATTCAATGCAAATTGTGTGACAGGACAGCTGATTGATGTCGTAATTCAGAATATTCAGAATACTGATTTTTTAAAACTTTTTTTTTTGAAGTAATAAGAAAATAAATCGGGACATGAAAATGATGACGGATTTCACAGAATGCCTTAGTATTCAGATGTCGGAAGTGACAGAGTGCACTGTACATATGTAATTCCATATATTTTTCCTTAAACATTATTTGATTAATTTTTTTCTCATCATTCTTAAAGGAACTCAACCCAAACCACTAGTCCTCACACCTGAAGAATTTTCCAAATTAACTTCATCAGGATCTCTATGTTTTCAACCACCCCAAAATACTACTGTTGCCATGGATACTAGTGAAATGGCTGTGTCTATAAGTTCACCAGCTTTAATGGAGTCAGCTGATGTAAGTTATTCATTTTTTACATGTTTATTCTTGTTTTCTGGGTATGTTTGGATGAGTATTTAGATTTTAAAGGACAACAAGTGTAACACTATCTTATTCTCAGTGATAACAGAGATCGGTTTAGTAAATATATTATTTATTTACATCAGGAACAGGAACGTACATACACAGGAACATAACTCAAACAGGAAATAATATTAAACAGAAACTAAACTACATCAAGAACATAAACAATAACATCAACATGGTACATTAATATAGTGTATGACTATATTTCAACCATTTCTGCCTCGGCAGCGGCTGAACTCGCATGAGCCCATTCACCGGTCTCCGCTCTCCTCTGCTGCTCTCTGCTCATCTCCTGCCCCTCTTCTAACTATAGGAAGAACAGGGTCTTATATATCTTTGTATAGCTAACTGTGCAAATTCTATCAAGAAAATTGTCACTACATGTGGGAATTATTACGTCCGTAAATAAATATGTATATGTAGTGGACAGTATATCGTATATTGTAGATCAATAACGTATGAGGTTCAATGAGTTCGCACATGTGGAGTTCAGATTGGTTCTATGCATTTAAATAAATACTTTACATGTATACAATATAATCTTAATATGATACCAACCCATGTTGAATTGCAATGAATAATAGGATGAAATGCCTCAATCCGGATAAACCCTTTTCCATTAGCTTTGTGGATGTTTCAACTGCTGTTCAAAGCATATTATGATAAAAAAAAAATAGAATCAAAAAGTGTATACGGCTTTTGAGATTATGATGGTGATTGGTGATGTATAATCTAAATCATTTCAAGCATTCAAATAATGATCATCTGTTTTACTTGCAGATGAAAAATGTCAAGCGTCAGCAACGAATGATTAAAAATAGAGAATCAGCAAGTTTATCAAGAAAACGTAAAAAAGAGGTAATTTTCTCGACTATAAAATCGGTCAAAATCTATTCTGAACAGATTTGAATAAGAAAGGTTCGGGTAGATTATTTTGTAATTTTTATATATCTTATATCATCCAGTTGATTTTTCATACAGCAAATACTTGGCCTTTAATAGATTTTAGAATAGTCATAGCTAAATGATGTGTCCAATCACTTGTATTAAAGTCTTAGTTTCACATTACCTAGTCTGCGTAATTGTACTGTATATTAGTAATGTATCATTTTAATTTAAAGTTATTAGATAAACATTGCCATACTAACAACTGAAAAATTTGTGCAATATTACATTTTATAGAATTGACCAGAATTTGATTTCTACTGCTCTGATCCATTCTATGAAATCAATATAAAAACAGATTCACTTCATCGATAGATTGGAACCAAGTCTAATTGGTACCACATGATTATTTATTATTGTATATATTTTTAGTATCTAACAACACTTGAAGCTCAAATCAATGGTTATAATACTGAAAACAAAAAGCTCAAACAAGAAAATGATAGCCTTAAAAAGAAAGTGTGTGCCTTACAAAATGAGGTAGGTTATAGTAAAGGTATCAAATCTTTGTCAATAAATAAATTGACAACTGGATCAACATTAAATATAATAGTTATTGTATAATTAAACATGCATGTTTTGATGCAAAATTTCCTGCTTTCTCTAACAATGGTGATGGCTTGTCACAGATCAACAAGAGCATGTCAGATTTAACTTTTACAAAGTCAAAGAGGTGCACCACTAGATTTATTTCGTAAGTAGTTAGTCTTTCTAGGATTGACTATTGACTTTACATGAAATTTAAACATTATTTTGTAGAATGAGAGATTAAAACGACTAAATGGAATAACATCTAATAAAAAAACAACCACCTGTTTATTAGCTATTCTTGTAATGCTGAGTGTCAATTTGGCACCGTGGAGGTAAGCTTAGTCCATGTACATATACCTAGCTTTATAGAGACAAAATAATAAGAAAACTTTTCCATATACAAATTAAAAACTAAGGTCTTAAAATTGTTATTTAGATGGTAATTTAGAAGATTTAAACCAAAATGTAAGTTTATCTTGACGTGGAGGTTGACATTGTTGAAATATATTCCAAAACATTAAAGTCAAATCAAGTTTGAAGTGAAAAATAAATCGAAACCATGCTAAACTTCATATAACCTTAACTCATGCTTGAGGTTTTCAATTTGAATTATTTTTGGACAAATATTTTTTTTTTTGGTAGGAGTACATAATCATTATTGACCTTCAGTTCATATTGTTACCATTTCAATTATTAATGCAGTGACTCAGTAAGGGCCTCGCCAGCTAACCAGGAGGTCTCGGGTTTGTTGCCGTGTTGGCTGAGTAAGTTCCTCAATATTTTCTGGTGTGGTTTCCCCTTGTCATTTGTACCTGACAGAGGTCTTGACAAGGACAGTGTCTAGTCTTCCGTATAGGATGAAAAAACGAGGTCCTGTGTACACATTGGCATGCGCATAAAAGAACCATTGACACTGACAGTTGGAATTTGTAATAATTGAAGGCCGAAGCGCTGCTGTTGGAGCCAAATTTCCCCCATAGCAACCTGCATGGAGTATTGTAGTACTATCCAACTACACATCTTAGTTTTTGGCCTGATCTAATGGGGGGTTGGTTGGCTCTGGACTGCTACTGTTATATCTTTCTTCTTTAAGGACTTCACCATTGTGTTTTCTCACGATACCGACTCAAATAAGTAACAGGAACAACGATAGTGTTTTTACTAAACATTTTATGTCACAACACTTACACAGTAGTCTACATTACAATATTTAAAATTAACATCTCTTTCTCTCCAACCCCAGTCCTGTAAAAATCTAGCCAGCATGGCTAGACCCAGGGAAACACTACCGCATGAATAGTTGTCTAAAGAATCCACATGATCTCTCCCAATTATTCTAGCCCCGCTCTTTTATATAGGTGCATATTCTTTTGTCTCTGTTTATTCTTTTGTCTCTTGTTATTTACGTAAACAACTGATAACAGCTAAATTCCAAATATGGAATGGACATTCACCCCAAACCTGTATATCGACAGGGATAGTTTCCTAATTTAGTCAACAAATGTGATATATGTTTTATAACAAAGAAAAATGTAAACGACCAACATGTTCATTAATCTATAGCTTAGTTAACGTATCAAAATAACCAGCATATGCTTTCTATATTTATGGTTATGAAGTTAGAATCAATAATATGAAAGATAACGTTATTGTTCCAGCCATCATATTTCCACATTCTTGTCTTTAGACCCCATGTCTTGTTATTGTCACAATATTCATAAACATTTTTAATTTGCGTTTCAGAATTAACTTATACCATAGCTAATATTTTGCCAATGGAGAATAATTAATCAAAACTCTAATATTATTTTACATAGATGTTTCAAAGCACAAATTCTTTCCCTCCATATTACTACAGTATGCCCATCTTCATTAGCCTGGTCAGTGTAGAAAAGTAGGATGTCCCATTTCATTTCTCTACAACTGTTAATTGTTGTATTGATTTATTATCTGAAGTACACTGTTTGATTTAAACAAAATCTAAATTATGGATTATCGTGGATACCTTATTAAACTTGAAACAAAACAAAAATTCTTCAAAGCAGCAGTTTCATTAAAATGTCTTTTGACAAAATTGATGTACTTATTTTCTTGATTGTAGTCTGTTTGGAGAAGACAGATTCGCCATGAGAAATGTGATTTCAGTTCACAAAGGAAGACAACTGTTATCTTTATCAGAGAAACAGGCAGAGAAAGTTGAATATAAGAAGGCAGAGGATTGGTCACAACCAGCTGATAGATTAATGAGGCAATTACACAGATTAACTGAGGAAATGAATAGTGGAGGAATAGGTGTCAATCAATCAGATACTAATCCTCTCATGTGTCCTTCCTATTTTAATAAAACTGAATCTATCTTGTAAGTAACATATTTTTTTTATTGACCACATATTTAATCAGTTTTGTGTCACTGGATTTGGAAATCAAAATATACTGTATGTCCTTTTATTCTTATCCTGTGGCGAACAAAATTAAGGGAATGATATTAAAATGGAGTCTGTTTGTCCTGTCTAGGTTTTGTTTCCAGAGCTTATGGGGAACCACTCAGAATATATTTATATTTACAAAACTTTGTATATCTTCCATAACATGACTGAATCATTATTTGTTTCTGTGCTTTCCAAATAAGCCCAACATGTAGATTTCTTATGTTTGTTTCATTATTTCACTAGGATGGCTGAGCAATTAGCTGGCTGGATGATTAGACACGAAGAACAGAAACAGAAAACAGAACAAAAAAAGAAAGATAGAGTAAAAAAGAAAGTAAAAACATTGCAAGCTGCATTGAGGGGAGATGTTTCTTCATTTCAGCTTAGTAACAGGAGGTTTGTTATTTCTTACATAATTATTTTAAAACTGGTTTGAATATCATTAGAGATATAACTTTAAAACTATAGCAATAACACTTGTTTCAATTTAACTGTAACTATAACAATAACACTATTTTTAATTTAAATAATAACTTTCCATTTTAAAGTAGCTAAGTCTCTAGTGTGATCTTACTGGCAAAATATGGGCTTCTGATATCCAATATTTAAGACAAAATAGACATTTTACTATTGGTACGCGAATCGTAACAAGGGACTCAAAGAAGGAGGCTAGACATATTCCACAAGTCATGTCAAACACTGACACCATATTATTATCTGGAGAGCATATGCAATAAATACTATCGGTGTAGACTTGGATAACTGGACACTAGAGATTGCCATTCGATTGAGACTTATGGCGTATTTCGCCTTACATAACTGATTAGAAATTACAGTAAAAACAGAAAAGATTGAATGTAAATCAGTTCATATACATTTATATTACATTATTATATGATTTGCGACCTATTTGTGTCAATTTCTAGGTCCTAAATATTAGCGATTTAGCTCCTTTAAATAGAACTTCACTATAATACAATAATAGTATACACTTTTTATCTATATGTTTGTAAAGATGAGATTATTTTGTATTATATTATAGAGTTGAAGAAAGTGGTTATCATGTTCGGGTATTTAATGGAGCTGATGATAATGAAGATTTTCTTAATGCCATACATCGTAGAAATGATACTTTTTATGTACTGTCATTCCATCAGGTCAGTAATATAAACATATTGATAACTATATCTAGGTCTAATGTCGGTACATTTAGTACAATCTTAAGTCATATTTCAAAGTTTCTTAAATAATGAATTAATTATCAACCAACTAAGGATACATGAATTTGGAATTTGGGAAGGAGGGTGGTTGTGGCTTTAGATCTGGGGGTGCAATACATTAAAAAAAAAAAAAGTTCAGTACTAAACAAAGTTATTTTTATATGTCCACATTCATAATGTGGATATATTATATGCCTCGCTCCTGTCTGTGTGAGTGTGTGTCTGTGGGTAGCATACAGGGCGCAATTCTTAATGGATTGTCCTGAAACTCTGCATACTTATTCCTTATAGCCTAAGGATGATGTCTAGTGTTTTTGGTGCATTTCCTACCCCCAGGGGCAGAGCCACACCTATTTTTGTATTTGTTTGTCATCTACACTACGCATTTCTTAATGGATCATCTTGAAACTGTGCATACTTATTCCTTATGCCTTAAGGATTGCCCCCAGGGGCAGTCACACCCATTTTCTCTTTGTGTGTCGCCTACAATTCTTAATGGATCATCTTAAAAATTTTCACACTGATTCCTTATACCCTAAGGATGACCTCTATTATTTTTGGTGCATGCCCGACCCCCTGGGACAGAGCCACGCCTAATTTTGTGTGTCTTTGTGTCGGCTAAATATAGGCCACAATTCTTAACAGCTTGGTGCATGTCTCAGTCTGTAAATACTCTACAGGGTGCAAATTCAACCAGCATACCAATCATTTCAATAACAGGGTGGTACCTATTTATATTGTTTCATATCCAACCCCCAGGGGCAGAGCCATGCCCAATTTTTGTATTTATCGTCTATAGGCTGCTATTCTGAATGGATCATCTTGGAACTTTGCATATTTATTCCTTATACCGTAAAGACAGCAATTATTTATTTTGGTGCATGCTCCGACCCCCTGGGGTGGTGTCACACCCACTTTTTTGTTAATATTTAGTCTTTAAATTAGGCAAAAACAAACCCAACGCCTAGCCTGCTTTGCCTCTTGTCATATTACAGTCATTGCAGCCATTTCATATTTCATTCTCTTCATTTTAAGAAGTACCATATCAATCAAAGCAGGAACGTGGTCGTATATTGCAGTAGTCGTATATTGCAGCGTTAGCGATGCTCTTGTTGCTTTTGATCATGTGATCTTGTTTCAATACTAATAGAAATATATTCTGATTTTTATTTTACTGTTAATTGTTTTCTATATGTTATTCAGGATTATTTTCTTGTTCCTGCTACAGCACATAATAAAACTATGAGACCAAGAATGTCACTAGTTATGCCAGCTATGGCCTTAAATGGTAAGGGTTTTTTTTATAGAACAACAGATTTTGAAAGCTAAATATCTCCTACAGATAGATTTATTTCAGGCAGTTTGTTTGGTAGTATACTTGCCATTGGTTTAGATCCTATTATTGTAACCTATATATATATATTTGAATTGTTTATGTTACAGGAACTATGCAGCCACCAGCTGGTAGTATTGGTATGATGCAGATTGATTGTGAAGTTGTTAATACACAGTTAATACATGTACAGAAATCAGTTATACCACCAAATCTGAAACGTAACTCAACATACCACAAACATCCAAATCACAGAGATTTCACTTAGTTGTATATACATATATACATAATATTATAAGATCTCTTGATAAACTATTCAATATATTAAATCTTATTTACACATGTAACATCAAAAATAATGGGCTTTTCTTGAAGTGCCAATATCTGCCTTTTTTTTAATTAAGGAGAAAATATATTGAATGGTTTTCTACCAACGAAGATACTTCTTTAAGAAGTAAATAGAATCTGATATTTTTTCATTTCTAATTCTCAATGTCTCAAGGTTTAGATTTTCTTAAAACCATAAGAAATTGTTATTTTTATCATCATTGGAATAGTTGTACAAGAATTGTTCTGGAACCCAATTCATTTATTGCAATTTTTTTCTGTGTTCTTTCATTTTTGTCTCAAGTACATTTTGAAACAAGTAACAGTTATGGATTTTTTTTTTCTATATATGGCATCAATAATCAAAAAATCACTATGGTAATAAACAGAACAAAAATTTGAAATAATATCAAAGAGTCTTTACAAAATTTTTTAATTTACATCTATTATTGATTATTCTTGCCTAATTTTATTGAAATTCTTTTTAATGTTATTAATATATTCCATGGTTGTTATTGTTAGAGCATATTCACTCCCAAACCCAATCTGCTTTATTGCATAATACTTGATCTCTGGTCCTGCATTTTTTCTACAAATGCAATTGTGTGTCTTGCATTTTATGATATGGTCAATCAAGTCAAGAATTTATTTGGAATTCAATATGAATGGCCTAAAGACAATGTTTTGTAGTATTTGTAGTGATTTTGGTATCTTCACAGAAGCAAGGAATGGGTGAATTTCTGGGTAGAGAGTATATTGTGGTTGTATTAGGTTATGGGAATTGTAATGTAATATATGTGAAATCTGAAGGATTGTTTATTAACAATTTTTCTTCTTCTTTAACTTCTCATAGACCCAATTCACCTTAAGTTTTCAACAGGCTCATGGTTTACCTTACAGTATTATTCAACAAATGATATTGACTCTTTGTCTTAGAATATCGTATATATTGACTCTTTGTCTTAGAATATGGTATATACTAAACCCAAATCATTTTTATACGCCCATATTGAAATGTGGTTGTATGTTGTCGTCGCCCCCGTCTGTCCGTCTGGCGTCCACAATTGCTTGTGGAGGCTCTAGAGGCTAATGTTAATATTCGATTGACTTTCAATTTATACACAGTGTTTAAGGTCATGAGACGAAGAAGCCTAGTGATTTTCAAGGATTGCCGATAATTACTGCCAGAGTTATGGCTCTAGATCACTTTGAAATATCTTGTGGGTAAAGGCTAAAGTTAATATCCGATTGACTTTAAATTAATACACAGTGTTTGAGGTCATGAGACGAAGAATCCTATTGATTTTCAACGATTTCCGATAATTACTGCCAAAGTTATGGCCCTTGATCACTTTGAAAAATCTTGTGACACTCTAGAGGCTAAAGTTATCATCCGATTGACTTCAGATTGATACACAGAGTTTAAGGTCTTGAGACGAACAAGTATATTGATTTTTAATGAATTTTTATAACTTGAACAGCTAAATCCATGATATTTAAAAGTCTGTATCCTAAACGTTAGCATGGGGCAGAACTTTATAAAAACCAAACGAATTCTAATGGTTTTCTGATAATTACTTAATGAGTTGTTACTCTTAATCAGATTGTAGTGTATTATAAATGTTTCATTACCGCACCTCTTGTTGACTAATCAGACGATATAGCTGCTGTGGGCGTATGCTTCGTTGCCTGGCAACCTATCTTTTCAATGTTCATGAATTCATTTTTACATTCCAGTTAAAATATACTATTTTGAATTGAATGAGATGTAGTGGTAGTCTTTTATTCAAAGAGTCTTTACATTCTCTAAAATTAGTGCTTTATTTTTTATTGAGCTTTATATTGACAATCTGTAAGATAACTAAAAGGATTTGACTGTTTGATGCAGATATTGTGTTTACTTTACTATGACAATGCATTTTAATACATTTCCCTACACAAACTGTTGCAGGACTCTCGTTTCTGTCAAATTGGCTGACTAGAGAACTTACCTGTCAGTCAATGTAAAATTAAAAATTCAAGTTAAATTTAGAGTTTTTATGTGTAAAAACATTAAAAATGGGAATAATGCTAAACTTTTCATATTCTTTACGAAGAAATAACTTGTTAATTTAAAGTACACAAAATACGTCTAAATTGATTGTCTGGAAAAATCTTGGCAAAACACTTAACAGATACCATTTTCCAGCAATGATTTCACATCACATTATTGTAGTGTATATATTGTATAAATGCATTCCTTTATTTTGACATTTATTATATGTTAACAGAGATGTTTGTTGACTTTATTTAATGAATTATGTGCAATGTTATAGATCTACAGTCTACACACAGGAGATCGGTAGAAAACTACTGATTTTATTGACTGAATTAAGCATTTGTTAATTTAAATTTCAATCTTAAGTCAATTATTTTAGCCAAGATTTCTTGTGTAGAAAGCTGTAGAAATTTTTGTGACTAGCAACTAGGAATTTTTTTTAGGGGGGGTCCTTTTTTTATTGTTAATTTTTTATTAACAATATTTCGTTCAGGGTAACTGAATGGGAAAAGGGAAGAGGCTTAGCCTATGTCAATTTGTATGTTTCATCGAATATCATTAGTATGACAATGTTAGATTAGTGCTATAGTTTTGTTAATGTAGTTAGTGATGTTTCTCTTGTTTTTCATTCATTCATTGACTTCATTTGATGTATTTTACAGCAGTAATATCCTTGGTCCCCGAAGTCCAAACTGAGAAAATTTTCTTATCTGCAAAAATGTAATATAGCAACTTTGAAATATTAGTTCCCCCCTCCCCCCCAGTTTTGTCTATGTCTTTGACTACTTCAAAACTCAAATTAAACATGCATTATGCAAGAGCAAAATCTGCTTATTACAAGTCTTTCTTTAGGCCTGAAATGTTATCTAAATTATCAATTATACATTAATTAACCTATCCAGACCATAATCAACTCAAGATGGCATCGCTAGCCTTCGATCTTAAGTGGATTGTGAGCAGATTTACTGCATGACTTTCCTTCTCCATTAAATGATTAAATGGATAATCGAGACTATGCTGTTTATCGTACTGACTATAGTAATGATGACCAAGGCTAGGCAGAAATTTGATTCGCTTAGTTCTCGGTTCATAGTGGATCAATTTGAATGAAATTTTCAGCAAATTGCCTTTTTATTATCTAGTTTTAAATTATTATAGTGAGAACTGCCAACTCGTTATCAAATCTCCCATAATGTATCTTTAAGTTTTATCATGATTAGCAAATCTTTTTAATGGTTTTAGGCATATACTTTTCTAAAAGTAATGAAAAGCACATTTATTTTAAAGATTCTTTGGTGAACTTTATGTCTGCAGAAAGGTATAATTTATAATGTTTCACTTCACTATTCCCCCATCACATACATGTCTTGGTGATATTTCATTCTCTAAAACAACAGTTCTATTTTACTTAACACATCCAGGGATTGTTTGTAAAGCTCTATTTTTTATGTGGTCATTTGTCATTGTGTCATTGGTGTTATTGCATTGTCATTGTTTAAATTTAGTCATAATATAACACCACATCCATCTGTATCACAACCAAAACGGTGATTTAACTTAAAAATCTTGTTAGTGCTTTATTTACTTAGTTTATTTGCCAAAGTAATTCACAAGATATGGCCTATTTTGCTGGAAGCTGCACCATTAAACTAAATCTATCTAATTATGTAAGAAAGGGGAATCTTAAAAGATCTATTTACATTATTGAAAGTATATTTTTTGTTTGAGCTTCATTTTAATAGCCATAGTCCTGTTTTACAATATTTGAGTATAGTATAATTGCAGTACTTACTATTGACATAATACACTTGAGAGCTAGAAGCTAAAATATTATTGAATAATCTTTTTTACAAATTAAAAGGCTTGGATGATTTTTATACGCCCACATTTTCGTGTGGGCATATTATGCCGTCACCCCTGTCCGTCCGTCCATAATTTGTTTGTGGACTCTCAAAATATAGGTCTATCTCCCAAAGATCTTGGTTCCTTTCGATATTGGCATGTATCGGACCATAACTCCATGGATTATGGCCCCTGATTGTACGAAAAATCAAGTTTTTAGCTTGTTGACACTCTTAAGAGGTCACAATTTTAATGAAACTTGAAATGCATGTTTATATCCCAAAGATCTTGGTTCCTTTTGGTCTTCATGCAGATCAGATTGTAACTTCCTGAATTATGGCCCATGATTGTACGAAAAATCACGTTTTTAGCTTGTGGTCCCTCTAGAGGTCACAATTATTATCCAATTTAAAAAAATGTTTGAATATATCACTGTTACACCATAATGTCGGTTGAATTCGAATTTCGTGAATATCAGACAAAAACTGCAGGACAAAATGACCAACCCCCTCCTACGCAAATAGTGTAAATATATGGTATCAATTTTTATCCCATTTAGATGAAACTTTAAATTTATGTTTATCACAATGATCTTGGTTCTTTTTGATAATCGTGCATCTCCGAATGTACCTTTCTGGATTATGGTCCCTGATTGTTCGATAATCGCAATTTTGGCTTTTGGACGCTAGAAATCACAATTTGTATTTAATTTTAAAAACCATTTAAATATATCACCGTTACACATCAATGAAGGTTGAGTTTGAATCTGACCGAAACTGCCAGAGAAAATGGCTGCTCCTTGTACGCAAATAGTGTAAAAGTATGTAATACCAGGGTTGTGGACACTCTAGAAGTCACAATTTTTATCAGATTTTGATGAAACTTAAAATGTATGTTTTTAATCCAAAGATCGTGGTTTCTTGTGATATTTGCACATATCGGACCGTAACTTCCTGGATTAAGGCCCCTGATTGTACGAAAAATCAGGTTTTGTTTTTAGTTTGTTCTCTATCCATCCCTTGCAAAATGTGTGTGTATCTTGCCTGGCAACCACTGGTTTTAAACAGATGCATTTCAAATGTTATTATTGTCTTAATAGTCCGATCCCAGCACCTTCAGCAATTTTCTACGCACTCAGTTAAAAATTGATAGTTTGGTTTTTGGCATTTGGAACGGAAAACAGATTCCAATTTCAGTTGATCAACATTATATTAGTTGATAGAGATGAAAAGTGACATGTAATTTAATATATAATTATATTCTTATCAATTTCTTTTATATAGTTTATGTAGATTTGTTCCTTTTTTTTTTAGTAGATACATTCAATTATTGTATATTGTATTTTGTGTAGATTAATTTATATATTTAAAATAATATATTATCATGCATAAATTCATAGTTGTTTCACAGATAAATATTTTTATTGCTATTCATTTCTAACTAATATAAAAGATTATTTATTTTCAAGTCATTTCTATCTTATGCAATTTGAAATGTAATTGTGCCTTTAGTATTTTTATTATTGATAAAACAGTTGGTTTATGATTGATTATAGTGTATGGATTAACTAGAGTGAATGTACAGTAGAATGATCTATTAGGACGTAAAAATCTCCTGCTAAATATCATCATCTATAAAAATAATATTAACAAGGCAAGACCTTTTAAAATTACAGCGATTCTTTAGTCTTAATGACCTTAAATTAAAAAGGCATTATGGAGATATGATCAAAATTTGTTGCTTCTATCCAAATGAAATCCTCAAATTTTATATATAAAAAAAGAAAATATTAAAAATAGTTTAGTTTGTCCCATATTTTCTTTTTAAGGATGTTCTTCAAATTTTAAATCTGTTTCTCTTTGAGAATTAAATATGATGCAAAAAACATAAATTTAAAAAATAATAATCTATTGTTCATTATTTACTGTTTTATGTATTTGTGAAAGTGAATGTTTTTAATCATTGTTTGATATACTTTATATCTATGGTACGGTACCTATTGTTGTTAGTTTTATTACATGGGAACTGATAAATAAATATAAAAAATAAACATGTATTTGAAGATTTTTTTTAATATCCACTGCAGGTATACTCATCCCTTGTTCAGATTCATTGATAAATGTAGAAAGAGGGGACTATGCAATATTGATAACACTAAATATTACTTTATTTTAAAGTTATGTATTGTTCTGCTTTTTGAATTGTTTTGGGGGGCAACAGTAGTTGTTTTAAGATAGGTACCTAAAATCCAATATCACAAAATCATAATAATTTCTCTGGAGAAATCTCCATATTATTTGTCTGTTCTTAGGGTCATGCCACATTATTACCTACATTTGCATAGGTACCAAAAATCAATAAGAATCGTCTAAAATCTACAAAATTTGGTTGGAATCCATCGAGGACAAAAAAGCAAAAAGTAACTGTCTAAATTTGCCCCTTAAAGGTGTCCATCTTGAAAGCACATAGGCTTTATGGGGATGGGCAAATTTATTTACCTATTGTACTAGTCAATTTACATGCCAAAAAATTAGGTATTTAAATTTTGATCCTTTGCAAATTTATTTACCTATTGTACTAGTCAATTTACATGCCAAAAAATTAGGTATTTAAATTTTAATCCTTTGTTAATGTTAATGCCATGTTCGATCCCTGTTTTGGCTGAGAAAGTTTCTCCGGTTCTCCTGGCGTGGTTCCCCGTTTTCAGTGATGCAAGATGGGGGCCCCGGCAAGGGATAACGTATAGTCGTTTGGTGTGCCGATGCCCTGGAAAAATTTCCTCAGAGCTAACCGTATGGTGTATGCCCGTCTTCATTAGCCAAATGGGAGCAGAACAGTAGGATGTTAAACCCCATTGCATTTCTTTTTTAAAAAATCATTGTTTGGTTTGGTCAAGAAGGACAATTAGGGGGTGGGGGGGCTGCTCCAATAATTATATTTCAACACTTACATATACCTCATCAAATATATACTTCTCCAACACATTATTTGATATTTCACTTCTTATGTTGCATCGCCCGTTCCCATAATAGTGTTGTCCCCCACCTTTCGAAGAAAGCAGGGGACTATTAAAATGGGTTCCTCTGTCTGTCGGTAACACTTTTTGGGACACAATAATTGAGCTAGAATGTTCAAACTTGGTGTAGGTTTTTATTAGGTCAATGCCTTGATGGAGTTCGAAGATGAGCATTTTCTGCGTAAGGTAAGCAGAGATAAGCAATTTGACTGGTTGATGCCTTGGGACACGATAACCTTGGTTTTAATTAAGTGAGAGTGATAAAATTTGGTGTATAGTTTTATTACATCAATACCTTGACTAAGTTTGATAATGCGCATGGTCTGCTCAGGGTAAGCAGAGCGATAAGCAATTTGATTGGTCGAGACTGGAACACAATAACTCTCATTCTAATTGAGCTAGAATGTTCACGCATGGTGTAGGTGTTTAAAAGATGAATGCCTTGTTGGAGTTGGAAGATAAGAATTTTCTGCTTAGGGTAAGCAGAGATAAGCAATTTGATTAGTTGATGCTTTGGGACACGATAACTTTAGTTCTAATTTAGTGAGAGTGAGAACACTTGGTGTATAGTTTTATCACATACCTTGGCTGTTCGATAATGAGCACCTTCTGCTCAAACTTGGTGATCTAGTTCGATGATAAACATTGCTTACGGTAAACAGAGATAAGCAACCTGATTGGTTGATGCTTTGGGGCACGATAACTTTGGTTATAATTATGTGAGAGTGATGAAACTCCGAGTCGCCTATAGATTCATTATATCATTACCTTGATTAAATTCGATGATGAGAATTTTCTGCTTAGGCTAAGGAGAAATAAGCAATTTGATTGGACGAGACTTTAGAACATAAAAACACTGCTTTTAATTGAGGTAGAATGTTTAAATTTGATGGAGATGTTCATTAGGTGAATGTCTTGACTGAGTTCAATGATTAACATTTCGAGGCGGAGCTAAGCGATTTCATTGGTCAGTGCTTTAGGACAAGATTACTTTGATTCTATCTGATAGAGAGTGATGAAACTTAGTGTATAGTTGAAAATCACTTTGATTGCTTGATACTTTTGAAAAAAATCAATGTGCGATAAATTAAAATGTGTCATCTGTTTATTTTGGGATTTCGGCGGGGGACACCCACCTCACCGTTGGCTTGTTTTAACAGTAGTGGATTCAAATGGCAATATTCAAGAGACTAAAATTGCCAACACACCCACTGCTCCCTCCACTCCCAAGAGCTTCGGGAAGAAACACGCACGTTTTTATACGTCTACATTGCAGTTTGGGCGTATTATGTCAGGTTTCCTGAAGGCGTCAATATTTAAGTTTTCCTTTAGAGAGAGAAATGGGGTTTAACTTCCACTCGACACTAACTAGGTCATTTTGGGACTAACATGGTTCAATTTAATTTCAATAATTCCTTTGCGCATAGAAGTGGGAGGAAACATGAGGACCGGAGAAAGCCCATGAGGTTGGACAGGCGACCCTAATCCTTGTCACGTACAACTAGGGACTCGAAACCACGCCAGATGACTCATTGACAGACTTTGTGATACAACGCGCACGCGCTAACCATTCGGCCATCCAACCCCCCAAGTTTTCCTTTAGGATAAGCTGATGTCTTTTTTTTTTTTAATGCAGTATGGTATGAAAGAAATTTTGCGCGGCCGCAGCGTTTCACCTTCTATAGTGTCTTCTTCGAATTCATTGTGTACACGGAACCATGCTTTCTATCCCATCAGAAAGGCTATACGCTGTGCTTTGTCGTGACCCTGAACCCTGTATCACTCACACGGGAGAGAGAGAGAAATGGGGTTTAACGTCCACTCGACACAAACTAGGTCATTTCGGGACAAACATGGTTTAATTTTATTTCAATAATTCGCTTGCGCGTAGGGGTCTTTAGCAGTGGGAGGAAACCGGAGGACTCGGAGAAAACCCACGAAGTTGGACAGGCGACCCTACTCCTTGTCACGTACAAACCGGGGGTTCGAAACCACGCCAGTCTACTCAATGACAGGCCTTATGATACAGCACGCACGTGCTAACCATTCGGCCATCCCCCCCCCCCCCCAAACTCACACGGGGAAACCACACGTGAAAATCCCGAGACCGGGTTTGAGTCAGCGCCGAGTAAAAAAGCGTCACACTGTTTGATTTATTTGACGCAAGTCCAACATCTGTATAAAAATCATGCCCTGATCTCCAATTGAAATGTTTTATTGTGATTAAGTATCTGCTCTGTAATGATAAGTCATATAAATTTTCTGTAGTATGAATTAATAACAATCAATCAATCAGCAAACAAACTACCTGAGATCATATTGGAAAAAGTGCAGAAAACAATACCCTTGTTTTAATAATAAATAAGGTATCTTCTCAAAACATAAAAGAAATGGATATTTGGTTGTTATAATATCAATAGTTATAATATTTAATTTCTTTTGCCCTTTTTAGCTTTTCGTTTTTTGGGTTTGATCTTTGTTCGTAATATATCTTGACCCTTTTTTTTACAATCTTCTCTAGAAATATATTCATCATTATCTTGATCAGGATCAAAATGAAAGTCCTCACTCTCACTTATATTCTCCACATCTAATTTAACTCGCATATTTTGAGCTGGTAATTTTGTCTCGAGAAACTCTTGAAGCTGTCAATAGAAATCGTTTATAAACCTTAATAAACAATTAAAGAGGCATTACGTCACGGCTAAACTTGCCTATTGCTGGATGTGTTTCTGGCTTCAAATCTTATATACGTTATTATTTAGATATTTATTGACATGACAAGTCCGTAATCAACTCTCTTGGCCATCGGATGGCTTAGATATTTAGTGGATTAGACAATGTCCGCAATATCTGCTAAACGCTAATATGGCTGGGGACTGTCTATGAAAGGACTGACAATCGAGCCTTCGTTGATTATCATGCGGAGTTTCCATCGTAAGGCCATTTCTTGTCAAAACTTTAATTATTCACCCAGAATAAAGTTATTTCAATATATTCATATTTCATTATCTATTTTTTAAAACTAATATAACAAGAACGGCCAGCTCTTTCTCTAAGTCTCGCCTAATGTATCTTTAATAATAACCCCATAATTTAGCGTGTTTTAATAATGTCATTTAATTTAATATAAATATCTCGTGGTATTATTGAAATAGAGCTAAAGTATTTTAGTATTTACCTTCTTGTTATTGGCGTTTTTCAATGTTACACCGACACTCTTCTCAAAATTAATCTGTTCAGTAAGGCACTCTAACTTTCTTTCACAGTTGCTTAAATCATTCACTAGATCTCCAGTACTAAAATTATGATACGGCTGAAATGGAAACAAATTGCATAATAACAATAACGAAGATAGCTTGAAAATAAATTGATTATAATTAACTCATCACAATACCCACCGGTTTTAATTTGATTTCTTTCAATTTATCAAATAATGTTGATATTCCATTCCGTAAATCTACTACTAACTTTTCCTGTTTTGACATTTCGGATAATGCAATATCGAGTTGTTTTTCTTCCGTAAGGGCCAATTCCTCCATATTATCAACTAACTGACGAGATCTGGAATAAACGCAACATGTGTAATTTGAATCATCCGTATAAAACATCTCAAAATAAGTAAGCTTTGCCAACGGTTTGCCTAGTGTTGTATACATATTGTGTACAAGAAAGACAAAAAGTGCCCAAGACCTGCATTCTCTAAACATAGCAGAGGGTTGCCACACCTGCTAGCTATAAAATGAATGTCAACAAATTCCTCTGGGCTCCTAGTGACACACTGCCCATGCATCTGACACATTCTGGGGGACGAAATAAGTAGACTTTTAAAAAAATATCCTTCACAAAGGCGGAAGAGAGTTAGGTTTATAAATTGGTTTATTTGTCTTTCAGACGACAAAGTTAAACTGGTTTAACAACCGCCAGCGTTTTAAAACTGATTTATTTGCCTTTCAGGCGACAAATGTAAGCTGGTTTAATAACCGCCGGCGTTTTTTAAACTGATTTAACTTAAGCGTCTGAACAACATATTAGTATGGACCAAGAAATAGCGTGACGACGTCACGACAGTGCATCATTCATGGCAGGGAGATTAAACTGTTAAAATATTTATACTTCACAGCTTGTCTTTGGCTTGTAAATTTGAGTTCCTCAAAATTTTTTTTCAATTTATCCAACTCCTCTTCAAGTTTAGCTCTTTGGGCGAGTTTATCGTCCTTCTGCTGTATTAACCTGTCTGTTGTATTGTCCTGATTACTGACTCTGAAAACGACATCCTGTAATAAATAGATAGAATTATTCAAATAAACAAATAAAATATATAAAGTCTTTATTTAAGTTAAGCCTTCTTCAAGGATACGATCGATTTCTTAACATTAGCTTAATATTTAACTTACTATAATATTCAATATTTACAGAAATCAATAAAAACAACATTAATGTTTAGCCCGTGAGAAAATTGTTACACACGTTTATATCAGACACGTTGATGGCTTGTTTTATCTTCTCAAAGGCATTCTCTAAGGTTAATATCTTTTCAAGTTTAGCTGCCTTCATGGCTTGCTGTTTACCAGTTCGAACTGTCAATAGAAACTACTTGTTATTTACCCGATATATTGATGTCAATAGAAAGAACTTACCATTAAAAACAGTATCTAAGGTTACCAAGTAAGTATTATGTCTTATAAAATATATCTACTTTCTAAACGTTCCTATATGTAAGGGGCTAATATCAAATATGAAATTTATTAACAGCTTGTAAAAAATGCATAAATTAACAACCTACCATTGCTTTCAGAGAGAGTCGTCACCTTAGACTGAAATATAAATTTGGTTCATTGTAAGGTAGTAAAGTATTATTTAATACAACCAGCGGTTGCCAGGCAAGATACGCCCACATTTGCAAGAGTTAGGACCTGTTGCGGTTGATTTTTATATTGTATAGTTTAATAACTTAATGTATGGTTTAATAACTTAATGTATAATTTAATAACTTGATGTATTAATTAATAACTTATTGCATAATTTAATAACTTACTCTTTTTTCTGGTCTTTCTACTAGTTCTTTGCGCCTTTCCACTTCCCTCTTTGTTTCATTTAGTTGTTGATCACGAGCCCTTCTGGCTTGATACATTTCTCTTTCCATGTTCATGAGATCTTTCTACAAATATAATGTAAATTAAAGCTGATATTATCTGGCGTTGAACATTTATTCTATTCAAATATTCTACTTATGAGTTATTGCAAATGGTGCTTTCTACAGTATATCCTCACATTTCTAGTTTAAGCAAAATTTTAGCTGTGGCAATCTTACCAGTTTATCAAAAAAAGAAAAGAAAAGACGTATAAATTCAAGAATAAAAAAGGCCCCCAAACTACGTTAGAACATTAACTTCTTTAGGGGGCCTCTGAACCATTCTCACAGGCAGCCTCCCTCTCAGTCCACCCCTAATAATAATAATATACACATTTCAAAACTTATAGTGGAGTAACTGGAGTTATAGTTTGATTGTTGATATTTACAATGAATCATTTATTGACGTGACCTGTTGATTCAAGCCAGTCACAAAAAAGTATTTTTTTTTATCAGCAACGACTTGCAATAGCAACAGTGGGTCGCATCCTGTCATGAACAATACAAATCAATCAATGGAACAATGTCGACCCATCACTACACGGAAGGCATGGTCCTTGTCGTAGAACCATAAAAGAAAGGAAAACTGATATAATCCAACTTAAAGACTCAAAGAGAACAATAGGGGGCATTGTATCTGTAGAATCGTGAAGCATAGATTCAATTCCTATAGAAAATCAACAACTTTACTGGCACGTAACTAGCGCGGGGGTTCGAGTGGGGCAAGCTTTCCATTGGACGCAATACGAAGCCAACGACCAACTTGCCCATATCAGATTGGCGGAGCGCCCAACCAATTTCACTTGGTTTTATGTGCACCTCGCCGATCATGGCGTTATATATGAGCCCCCACCCCCCTCCCCCGCAAATGGCGAGGCGCATCATAATGAATCTACGATTCACACCACAACTTGATTGATGGGGCGCCCAAAACGGCGTGCCTTATCCCGGAGGGGCGCCTATAATGACATGATTAATGGGGCGTCAGATCTACGCACCTTTGATTCTTCATTGCTTGCTGTCGCTTTTTTGTTCATTCTTCTTAATTCGGCATGTTCCTTTCTAGCATCAACGGCCATCTGTTCCATAAGATCAAGCTTACTTGGATAAAGGTGACATTCCTGAAAATGATACATGCTTTTCATGAAAATCAACATACAATTTTCTCATTGTTTTGTTTACAAATGGGATTTTTTGTTTGTTTTACTTTCAACGACATGGAACCGTGCAACATACTATCTGTGGTATCGGAGGTTGGATGACCGAATGCTTAACGCGTGTGCGTTGGATCATACAGTCTGTCATTGAGTCAATAGGATCGCCTGTCCAACCTCGTGGGTTTTCTCCAGGTATTCCAGTTTCCTCTCACTTCTAAAGACCCCTACGCACAGGCTAATTATTGAAATAAAGTTGAGCCATGTATTAGTCCTGAAATAACCTAGTATGTGTCAAGTAGACGTTAACCCCCCCCCCCTCTCTCTCTCTATTTGTGGTATCACGTTTCATACCTCCAACATAAACTGTAAAACCTCTTCATATCTTCTGGTAATATTTTTAGCTGCATCATATTTAATTCTAGATTTATCCTGATCATTCTGTAGGCGCCTAAACTCCTGAAAACAACATACACGTATATATTAAAAGTAACGTAATGATCGACGATAATAATTCATACATTTCATGCTGAGGTAGGGGGTTTATTAGAAATGGAGTGTAAGTTACATTATGTTCGCAGTTCGTGGTTTCAAATACGATATTGTGTCGTATTCCTCGCCAATTTTGTTGCCGAGAGAAATTGGTCGTGAATACTGAGTATTTCCAGTTCCCTGAAGCGTAATTTGCGACCTGTCCCAATACGACTGGTCATAACTTATGATAATATATAGGCTATACTTTTAGGAAACTACAATCAGAAGAATACTATTTGCCGTTTCAAAAAGTGCTGGATTCAACATGATAACGATAGAAGTTTGTTTATCATTTTATAATGCTGCTAGTTTATTATATAGAACTTACTCTTTCATGTGCCAAGTCCACATCGCCAGTATTATTTTGTAACATTTCTCCAAGTATCATTTGTTGTTGTTCCAGATAACTCTCTTTCTGTGATCGTTGATACTTTAACTCATTCAATACTTTAATAGCTTCACATGTTTTCTGATCCATTTCCGTTATAGCTTTCTGGATGAATATAAAACAACCAATATGAATAGTCTTCCACATAGCATTAGACAATACACATACAATTATACTTGCTCTATAGTGATATACAAAGAGCATAATTAGGGACGAAAGTCGGCCCCGTCATTATATGAGGATTACACATTGCTCTATATTTGCCCCTAAAGAAAAAACATAAAATGTGAGGTCATATTTTATTTATTTCTGATACCCAAGTAGTGTTTTTTGCAGAGTTACGCGCGAAACCCTAATTAGAAAACCTGGGCCCCGTTTCTCGAAATCTTAACTAAAGATAAAATCCAAATTTTAGTAGATACTTCAGTTTTGATTGGCAAAGCACTTAAATCAATCTAATATTATCCAATCAAATAACTAAAATTTGGATTTTATCTTAGTTAAAATTTCGTGAAACAGGCCCCAGACCCTACCGGATGCCGTCACTCCTCCGCGCATTTTGGTTGGTTTTTATTGGCATATAATTGTGGTTGAATAAACTTACCTCAGCTGTGCAACGTTGCATTGATAACAGTTCTTCTTTTCTACTTTGAAATACTGACTTAATCACATGTTTGTCTGCCTGGTTAAATAATATAGTTTTGTTAATTTGATCAGTTATATTACAAGCGCCTTGAGGGTCACATTTCAATTTGGATTAGGGATAACGTGGCTAAGTGGGTAAGACGCTGGCTCGCTAGCCTGGAGGTCGGGTGTTCGATCTCTGCATTGGCCGAGAAAGATCATCCAGATTTTCCGGCGTTGTTCCCTCTTGTCAGTGATGCAGGACGGAGGGCCTGACAAGGACAGCTGTCTAGTCGTTCGGGTGGGACGAAAAACCGAGGTCCCGTGTACACATTGGCGTGCATGTAAAAGATCCCTTGACAATTGGAATTCGATATAAGAGTAGGCCGTAGTGCCACTGTCCGGGCAAAAATTTCCCCCATAGCACACTGTATGGCGTATGCCCGTCTTCATTAGCCCAGTTCGGAGCAGAACAGTAGGACGTTAAACCCCATTTCATTTTATTTCCATTTTGCATTCAACTGGGTCTAATACTTCTTCAGAATAAAATGATATGTTTGCTGAATAAATTTGAAAAGTATCAACGAAAACTAGAAATTAAAGGGGCAATATTCCAGTATGAAAGTTAAATAGAAAGACTGAGGCCGCTAACGAATGCCTTGTTGGAAGACATATATAGGCCTACTCAAAACGTTATTTAAATCTATCAATTTAAACATATGTTATGATCATTTGAAGTTTACATTAATTTCATGCAGACAATGAAATTATGGTAATTACTACCTGAATGCTATGTGTCATCGCCAATCTTTTATATTTGTTTTCAGCTCGTAATTTAACAATAAGAGCTTCGTTGGAAGTTTTCAAGGCTTCAGAACCTTCATAATATGCTTTGCCGTCTCTTTCTGTTGAAACAATCGAAGATAAAATTTACAATGAGAAATGAGAACCTATTGTATATAATATAAACAAAATAACCACTAATATCTATAATGAGAATATCAGAGGCAGATCCAGAGGTGGGGGTGGGGTCGGGGTCATAGGTTGGTGGGTGTATCTCAGCAACCTGGCAAACCCCCTCCTGCAAAAATGCCTGGATCCACCTCTAATATACTATTATCATCATTCTATTTTTATATAGAAAAGAAATAACCAATAATATTTTCAGTGTAAATATAATATAATACATGACAAAATTCTACAGTGGACTAGGGATAAATAGTGAATAATTCATTTTGGTCAGTGATTTTTATATAACTATTATTACACTATTGAGCTATAGATGTAGGCTAATTTCGTACTGAAATAGCTCTAACTAACTCGGTCTAACATTACGTTGGATTAAAATACCAACCTTTAAGATGTAGTTTTCCCCGCAATTCATCCACTTGATCCGATACGTTTGATGCGAGGTCATTCGCTATTCCTGTGTTTAATTTGTTGACAGGCATATTGACTAGAATGGAAAATAACAGGAACTATGACAGGCACAAAAACTTGGTCACCAACCAAGGTATTGAAATAAATACAACACAGGTCTCGGTGAACAATAAACCTTAATAGAAATTGTTCAGAATTTTGATAGATTTAACTACTTTCGTAACTTTGAAGGACGAAAAATTGAAGCGAAAAACTTGACTTTATTAAGTTTATTAACTAAGTTAAATTAGCGGCAAAAACTGTGTGCATAAGTGTTTATAATGAAATATACCTTTTTTTTCGTTTACGCTTCTACAGTAAGTTCTTTTGAAAGTCTCCTAATGCCGTCACCAATGACAATAAACGATATAAACCAACGTCATAGTATATTTAAATGCTGATGTCATAGTATATTTTTTTTTATCATTCTCAGCATCTTGGCATTGTTGTCGCGGATTGAACCGTTGCCCGTTTTAAGCTACATTAGCCTTGACATGATAGGCAAACAAAATTTACAAAATAGTATTCAATGAAAAAAAAAAAATATATATATATATATATACCGTTACTAATAATAAAGGGGTGGGTTGTAGGCCTATTAGAGCTCTATGTCAGAATGTTTTATAAAGACTGTTATATTTCTTATAAAAAAAACATTTATTATTACCTGAAGTAATGTTATTGTAGGCCTACGCGCTGGAAAAAAAAATAACAACTAAATTCACTTTTCTCATTGGAATTTGACTGATAAACTAATCGTAAAACAAATTTAACAACTAAATTCACTTTTCTCTTTGGAATTTGACTGATAAACTAATTGTAAAACAAAACAGATAAAATTTATGGTAACACAATTAAAATTAAAAAATCATTGGCGTAGGCCTATGTCACAATTAAATTCTATAATTTTAATCGATTTATACAGATATTATTTATTATTATTATTACAGCAAATTTAGAGTGCGCCCTTTCATAGGGGCACTTTACAAAGTGACAATGTTAATATTATAATAATAAAAAAACCCAAGATTATGGACGTTAACAGCTGTTGTAGACTATACGGAGTCATTTAAAGCTTGTTTTTTTTAAGTTTATTACAGTGAATAGGACGTTGGCCCGCTAACCTGGGGCCTGTTTCACGAAATTTTAACTAAGATAAAATCCAAATTTTAGTAATTTGATTGGATAATATTAGATTGATTTTAGTGCTTGGCCAATCAAAATTGAAGTATCTACTAAAATTTGGATTTTATCTTTAGTTAAAATTTCGTGAAACAGGGCCCTGGAGGTCCCGTGTTCGATTTCTGCGTTGGCCGAGAAAGTTCATCGAGATATTCAGACGTGGCTCCCCCTTGTCGGTGGTGTAGGGCGGAGGGGTCTGGCAAGGGACAATGTATAGTCGTTTGGATGGGGCGGAAAACCGAGGTCCCGTGTACACATTGGCATGCACATAAAAGAACCATTGACAGTTGGAATTCGAGATAAGAGTAGGTCGAAACTCGAAGCAGGCAAAATTTCCCTCATAAGACACTGCATGGCGTATGCCCGTCTTCATTAGCCCAGTCGGAGCAGAACTGTAGGACGTTAAATCCCATTTCATTTAAGTTTAAATGAAAACTAAAAGAGCGCTGACCATAAGAGACTAGTTGAACAGTTTCGGGCTTTAATATAATCTAGGGTGAAATAAATAAAGTCACTCGTGGGAATGTCGCAATTAAAGGACATTTCGTAAACCTGACCGTATGATAATAATTATGCACAATACTGGATCTTCAATGAGTTACTTTCTATTTTTCACTCGGCAACCGGCTGCAGATTTCACTCGGCCAACTTCGGTTACTCCTCTACACCAAACCATGTTTCCAAACAGAGTTATCTTTCCGTGACCCGCAAATTATATTTTTAACAATGAGTTGAATTCTATAGGAGGTGTTGGAACTCCCGCAAACAGTGCCGGTGGTGCAAGTAAGTTATAAAAATAAATACAACTGACAAAAGGTTAAGGACCACCTTAAAGTAAAACAAGACAGGAATATTTGGTCATTTAAGTAATAGATATTTTTTAATTGACCATTTCGAAAAATATAGGAGTCCATTAGATGATCTGGTCAGGAAAAGGATGAGGATTACAGACAAGAGTAGTGATAACCATCGTCATGTGGATCCCTCTCTCACTTGGAGAGAGATAGAGAAATGGGGTTTAACGTCCACTCGACTAACATATGGTTCAATTTTATTTCCATAAATCGCTTGCGCGTAGGGATCTTTAGCTGTGGGAGGAAACCGGAGGACCCGGAGGAAACCCACAAGGTTGGACAGGCGACCCTACTCCTTGTCACGTACAACCGATGATTCGAAACCACGCCAGTTGACTCAATGACAGACTTTATGATACAGCTAACCATTCAGCCATCCAACCCCCCCCCCCCTCTCTCACTTGGATCACGTCCTCAACACCTACCAAAGGAACCTGACACTATTCTTCTTGGAGTGGCAAGACTTATGCTGGAAGTATTTTGTGATGGATATTACATGGTTCCAAATAAAAACCATCTGAATTTATTGTTGATGGTTAAATATCAAACAGACCTCATTTTAAACGGTGGTGCTTATCTTTTTGACACACATAATTTTTACCGTACTACTGCTCAAAAGCTTTTAATTTTGTTTTAAAATTCTGTTAATTCGTTGATAAATCACGTTATTCTATTCTCTAGTCATGGTAGTCAGTTAAACTTGAAACCTGTATGTTTAAGTTGTAACCACTGTAAAAAGGATGGCTGTAGAAGAATCATGTTCGTTCTGAATCTAAATGTAAAACCTATTCCCCCCCCCCCCCCTCCCCAGCCGCTGATCAACAGAAATGAGCAAAGTGAACCTGGGCGCTAAACAATATTCAGAATACAAGTTATTTAGAAGTTTATTTTGTTTGTGGCTTGATAAATACAAGAGAACACTTTTCAAGACGTCGTCAGAAATGAACTGTGAAAAAACTTGTATTTAATACACCGGTATATTAGTCATGGTTTATTCAATACAGTTACTAAATGCAGCTTTAACAAACTACATTTTTTAATGGTTTATTTACAGAGAAGAAATGGGAAACATTACCAGGCTGCCAGACACGCCCCATTGATAACAAAGGTCTGCCTGCTGCCGCTGTACACAAAACACCCAACCCAGAACCAATCGATGCCACAAAATTGCCGCTAGCAGAAAAAATTCGACGACTTTCAATGTTTTTACGAAGTGAAAAAAAAGTAATCAATGAAATTATGGTGAGGTTTTATTTATTAAAGATACATTATGGGAGATGGAGATAAGATAACGAGTTAGCAGTTCTCACTATAATAGTTAAAAACTACATAATGTAAAGGGAATTTGCTGAAAATGTCAGTCAAATTGGTCCACTATGAACCGAAAACTAAGCGGATGAAAGTTTCGCCTAGCCTCGAAACTAATAGTCTCGATTGTCTATTGTTGTGATTTAATTATCAATGAGCGATAGCAGCATATAGAATTGTAATCCAGTCGACATCGAAGGCTAGCCTTGACATCGGGAGTTTATTATGGTCTGGATAAGTTAATTAATGTCTAATTAATAATTTAGATAAGATTTCAGGCCTAAAGAAAGACCTGAAATTGACAGGTTTAGCTCTTGCATAATGCATGTTTAATATTTTTCACAATAATCTCATTAAAAACACAGATTCTGCTTTATTTTTATTTTTATTTTTATTCAAGCATGTATTACGTATAAAATTCTTTTATTTGCCCATCTACATAAGACCAGTTGGGCGAGTTTGGGTGGTCGAAGCGTTAATGCGTCATTACCCGCTTGTACGTGACAAGGAGTAGGGTCGTCTGTTCAACCTCGTGCGTTTTCTCCATGTCCTCAGGGTTTCCTTCCACTGCTAAAGACCCCTAATGAAATAAAATGAACTATATGTTAGTCCCGAAATGACCTAGTGTCGAGTGAACAATAAAGCCCATTTTCCTCTCTTTCCCATTAAATCCTATTTTATTTCATTTTAGTTGTTTGAGAATTCTCTGATGAGTTGTAAAGTTGGAATTTGACCAGATTTTTTGATCGATGGCATGGTACAAGGAAAGAACGGATCCTTTTTCACTGGACGACTTAATCTGGGTGGTGTGTTCCTAGCCAGAGCTATCGGCATCAACAAGAAAGAAATCAAACTGTCATGTTTCAAGAAGGCGGTGGAACTTTATCGTACCCTTCCTGTCACTGAAATTTTGAACCAGGATGATATGACCCCAAAAGTTATCAAGGAGAAACTGGAGAATTTTAACTCGACCGTTGCTAAGATGGAGAAAGAAACAATTGCAGAGTTACCCCCACCATCTATTTTGAAACAGATCCAAGATATTCTAACCAATCCTAAATATGCTTCAACCAATTCAGTCAGCAAAATGGAGTTGGCGGCCTCTGTGGCTAAATGTCGAGTCCGTTGTCGATATGATGTAGAGAGTTGTAAAGCTGAATCAGGGAAAGTTTATCATAAGGGAATGTACTTTATTGACAACATACTACAAGGTGCAGGTGTTTCAGTTTCCAAAAAAACTGCTAAGTCATTGTGTTATAATATGGTGGTTGAACGACTGACCACCATGAATGTTGAACATGGCAACATCTTAGATGGTGTCGAACAGTCTGTCATAACAGAAGCAGAAGCACAGGTTCAGAGCACTTTGGTAAAGGCAGCACCAAATCCTAGGGCATTTGATCTCCGTGAACAGTTTGTCAAAATGAACGAACTTAGCAGTGCCACGCATCCTGCATCCATCATTACTGTCTTGGATGGAATTTTCAACGATGTAAAATTGACGCCCATTTGTCTATACCGTCGTAGCATGAACACAGAAATAGAAAAGGAGAAAATTTTCTGTAACCTCTATCTAGCTGGTCATCTCATCATGATTGGTGAAGCAGAGAACCGAACAGATACCCAAGCAGACGCTTACTCTAAAGCCCGATAGGTTTCACGAACTGTGACCCCGAGTTCATCCTCCCCCAACACAGTAAACTTCAACCACACGACCAAGCAGCAACAGATGTTATCGACTTTCGTGTCAAGGGCAACTGCATTTTGGAAGATAACTGTTCGAATCTTCATCGCTTACAATGGACCCGAAAACCTATATCAACACTACCAGCCAAGGATATCGCTGTCTTTGAGGACGTCAGTTGGATAGTAGATCGTAAAGTTCAAGGTTTCTATATTTTACAACATTCATGTTTTGTCAACAATATGTTGTTGGAATGGGAGTTTTTTGACAATGATGATCGTGTATTCAGGTAAGTTGCCTTAAGGCCTAGTCTGGTCTCCCGGCCATAATCTTAAGGCCTAGTCTTGTGTCTTCCGGTCTCAACTGTAAGGCTTAGTCTTGTATCTTCTGGCCTCAACTGTAAGGCCTAGTCTTGTGTCTCTTAAGACCTAGTCTTGAATCTCTTAAGACCTACTGTAGTCTTGCGTCTTCCGGCCTTAACTGTAAGACTTAGGCTGTGTTTCCTGGCCTTAGCCTTCAAGCCAGAATTTCATATTTTCTATGAAAGTCAAAACATAATTATTTCTATGTCTTTTGCTCAATAGGTTATCAACTCACTATTATACGACTATGGGCATTATTTCCCACCCTTAAAAATCATTGACACAGGAAATAATAACACAATTACCTCCCTTGTTTTCCTATTGCCTCCATGCATTAGCTATCTTCAAATGTTGGAATTCGAAAATGATAATTTTGCCAATTTGGCAGCTGGCAATAGTGAATTATAGGATTAATAGGATTATTCTTTAACAAGGTAGGACTGTGTATGGATACCATCTATTTTAAGGCTTTATTTTAATAAATTTTAAAAATATAACTTAACAAATATGAAATTGTAGCTTTAAGATCTAGTCTTGTCCCATTGATCAAAATTTTGAAATGTTCAGTTTGCTTGTTACTCTTCTTTTGTTTTTAGGGGTGGTTGAGTGGTCCAAGCTCATAAGATCGTTCATTGAGTCAAACCTCCTGGGTGTCAGTCCAAAAATGTTGGTTTGTTTTGTGTGAGTGTTAATCCCCATTTCTCTCTTTTTTTACTTTAAGATGTCAGATGAAGATACAGAAGGAAGATGTTGGAACCGAACCTGCAGTGTCTCTTAGTAAGATAGGCTCTAGAAATTTTGCAGCAGCTGATATCTTGTTTAAGCTCTACGAAACACAACCAGTCATAGAGGTAAGTTATTCTATTGAATACTTGAATTAGCTTTAGGGCTATGGATTCCTGAGCTAAATAGGGCCTACATTATATAAAGATAGGTTGCCAGGCAACTAAACATACGCCCACAGCAGCTAAATCGTCCGAGCGGTCGACAAGAGTTGTCGTATATTTGTTCTTTTGTAGGTAATTAGGGGGCATTTAATAGACAACTTCATACAGATGACATTATAATTTTCGTCGTTTGAGGGTTCACAAGGTTCTAAAAACTAAAATAAGGGCTGTAACTCAGGAAGTAATCTACAGAAATTATTGAAATTCGACAGACTTTTTCGTTTTACTAATTCAAATAATACATATCAATTTCATACAGATCGGATGATAACTTTTGTCGTTCGAACGTTCACAAGATTCAACAAAGTAGAACAAGGGCCATAACTCTAGAAGTAATTGACAGAAATTGCTGACATTCAATAGGCTTCTTCATTTCACTAATTTAAATGATGCATATGAATTTCATACAGATTGGGTGATAACTTTTGTCGTTCAAGCGTTCACAAGATTCAACAATGTGAAACAAGGGCCATAACTCTAGATGTAATTAACGGAAATTTGCTGAAACTCAATAGGCTTGTTCGTTTTACTAATTTAAACGATACCTTTAAATTTCATACAGATCGTATAATAACTTTTGTCGTTAAAGCAACCACAAGGTACAACAAAGTGAAACAAGGGCATTAACTCATGGCGTAATTAAAGGAAATTGCTGAACTTCAATAGGATTCTTCGTTTCACTAATTTAAATCATGCATATCAATTTCAAACAGATCGGATGATAACTGTTGTCATTAGAGCATTCACAAGATTCAACAAAGTGAAACAAGGGCCATAACTCTAGATGATTAACGGAAATTGCTGAAATTCAATAGGCTTCTTTGTTTTACTAATTTAAATGATGCATATAAATTTCATACAGATCGGTTGATAACTTTTCTCGTTTGAGCGTTCACAAGGTTCAATAACATGAAACAAGGGCCATAACTCTAGACGTAATAAACGGAAATTGCTGAAATTCAATAGGCGTCTTCGTTTCACTAATTTAAATAATGCATGTAAATTTCAGAAAGATCGGATGATAACTTTTGGAGTTAGAGCGTTCACAAGGTTCAATAAAGTGAAACAAGGGCCATAACTCTAGACGTAATAAACAGAAATTGTTGAAATTCAATAGGCTTCTTCGTTTCACTAACATAAATATTGCATATAAATTTCACAAAGATCGTATGTTAACTTTTGGCATTAGAGCGTTCACAAGGTTCAACAAAGTGAAACAAGGGCCATAACTCTAGACGTAATAAACAGAAGTTATTGAAATTAAATAGGCTTCTTCATCTCACTAATGAAAACAACATATATCAATTTTAAAACAATTGGATGATAACTTTTGGCGTTAGAGCGTTCACAAGAAATTGTGGACGATGGACGGACGGACCGACGGACGTACCGACAGACGGACGGACGGGGGCGACGGCAATATACGTCCACATTTCAGTGTGGGCGTATAAAAACCAATTTAGCCAAGCATTGCATTTCTACACCCTTTCACTGAAGCAACGTTCCTGTCCCTTGAGCAGGGTTATCCTGTGACAACACCAGAAGATTGATATATGGGTGGGCTGGTCTAGTGGTCTAATGCATGCCCTTTAGATCATAAGATATGTCCTTGAATCAATTTGAGCCAAGCTTGTATGTGACAAGGAGTAGAATCTCATGTCCAGTATCGTGCATTTTTTTCCCGTTCCGTCAACATGCTGCCAATGGCTATACAAGGGACCTTTTTTCTTGTCCAGTCCATCTTGCCCTTGCAACAAGACGAAAAAAGGCTGGAAAAACCTGAGGAACTTCATTGGCCAGATTAAAAACAGATTCTTATCAATGAGCCAGTGTCCTACACACCGAGTCAGAACCCACCGAGCCAGCGGTTTACCCACAGAGGTGGGTCTTTACCCACTGAGACATTGTCTTACCAACTGAGCTGGTGGCTTAACCCCTGAGCCGATGGCTTATCCACAGAGCTGGCACCTCATGTACTGAGCCACCTTGGTTTTCGTTCTGCTCTTGTATTGCACATAAAAATGCCTTCCTGGCTAGGCACAGATTTGACCTTTAATTGATGAATGCCATTATTTAAAGTTAACCTAGATATCATGTCTTAGTAAATCGTTTTTCATTCCAGGTTTCTGCTTACACTAAACCTGATCAAGCGATAGAATCTGTCAGTTTTGATACGTTGCTTAAAGAAGCGGAGGTGTTGAAGAAAGCTGCCGAGGATGCAGGAGAAAACGTTACAGCTACTACAGCTGAGGGAACTGATTCAGAAACTGAGACCAGTGACACAGATGTTGAAATGAAGGAAGAAGTAACAGATTCACAGGCTAAGAAGAAATATCCTAGAAAACCACATTACCGTCATGCTGATAGATTTATTTTAAAAGCTGCCCAGGCACGACTAGACGAATTCATAAAAGTTAAAATGCTAAAAGATCTACTGTTTGGACCTGCTTTCCCTCATCATATCACACGCCAGATTAACGGCTTACTGTATAACCTCCCCGTTCCAGTTCGCTTTATAAATCATTCCACTAGAAATCAGATGTACACCATTGTAACGCAAAGTATGTCACCGATCAAAATTGTCGCATTTCTCAAAGCCAACGGTGGACAGTCTGGTCGCTTTCGTTTAGTCGACAAATCAGAACTTCCGACACATAAGGACATTTTACCAGAACTTAAAAGTAGGGAAATTTTAACTAAGATCAAATCCAAATTTTAGTAGAAATTTCAATTTTGATTGGCTAAGCACTAAAACCAATCAAATTGTTGGCTTTTTTTTGCTAATAAATATAAGTGCTAGTCTAATGTCTTGTCTCAATTACATCTTCAACAGTATGGTTTTGTTTCTAATTTAAAATCCAAATATTTGTCTAAAGTCTTTACCAGTTGTGTGGTTGAGTGGTCTGATGTATGCTTTAGATCATAAGGTCTGTCATTGATTCAAGTGCCATGGTTTGTTTTGAAGGTACTTCCAACCTTATTTGTCTTATTTTCGCCAGTCATGTTTGGCCGTTTTGACTGACTTGCAGTGAAATTGACCAACTGGAGAATACTAGTAGATCATAAGGTCTGTCTAAAGTTTAGACAAATATTTGGATTTTAAACTAGATTTATAAGGGGCATTTTAAAGGGGCATTGGCGCCATTGGGTAAGATTAGATAAGAGCTGACAGTTCTCGCTATAATAGTTCAACAATAAATAATAGAAACAGAAAATGCTGAAATTTCAGTCAGATTGCTTTGCTCTGAACCGAGATATAGGTGATTCAGTTTTAGGCTACAGAGCCAATTTTCTGAAAGGTAACCTTTTCTGTGGTTCAAGTATCTGATGTGAGAATCTGGGCCCTGTTTCTCGAAATCTTAACAGTGGGAATGCAGTCGACCCTACTCTTGGAAACGAAGCTAAGCCTCTTCACTAAATGACAGACCTTATTATCCAACACGAATGCATTATCATTTGACTCCACCCCCTCCCCTGCAGTGACACATGAATGTTGTGACCAATAACCACTTTCCTGTCTTAAGGCCTTTGAAAACAGTATTCCTCATTATTAATTTGTCCCAACTAATCATGGTTCATGAATGCGTGTTCTCGATATGTTGACACTTCTACGATGGTGGGTGACTACGAGTCATGAGTGAAATAATCTTATTTCGTTTAATCTGTTATACTAATATAGAGAAAATACAATTTACATTTTATGGATATAACTTTTATGGATATAACTGTTACAACAAATAACACATCTACACAAATTTTTAAGTTGACCTCATTTCAATCAAAGTAAATACATGTACCCGTAAGTATTGTTTATATTCGCGTTACGTTTGGTAGTGGAACAGTGACACTGACATATTGTACATCGTTGACTTCAGGGTTAGGCTTGTTGTCTACCAAAGTTAGGTTAACATCTTCCACTACACTGCAAAGTCAGTAACATCATCAAGCTAACCTTTGCTAAAAGGTTAATGTTAATAACATCCACCAATTAGTCTATACACTAAACACAAGACCTGCAGCATTCAATCTCTGTGATCTGTAAATAATTAATAAAAAAACATATGAACTTACTTCAAATTTACACACTATAACTTATTACATAAACTTTATGTAGATAGAAAGTGAATTTTGAGATGCACTCCAATGACAAGTAGTTGATTTACATAAAAATTTACAAAAATAAGAACTGTTAATGAAAATAATAAACTGATTTACCTCAAGATAGATAATTGGAAATATTTTCTATACTTTTCTTCTGAAAAATGAAAGGGCGTAGTTTTATTATAAAACAAGGAACATGTACTACAAAAACATATAATTATTAATGTACCCCCTCGCCAACACGTACATTTGGAATTCATTTAATATAGTTAACTAAAAAAAATGTTAAAATCACAATTAATTATGATACCACAATTACAGGCTGGTAAAATCAACACAAAGTTCATACATTAGATTATAATAACCAGAATCGACTTTAAACTGATGTCTCTCACATATCAATGCCATAACTCTTGCAGTAATCATCAGATCTCGCTGAAAATCAATAGGCGTCTTGTCTCATGACCTTAAACACTGTGTATAAATTTAAAGTCAATTGGATTTTAACTTTAGCCTCTAGAGTGTTCACAAGATTTTTCAAAGTGATCAAGGGCCATAACTCTGGTAGTAATTATCGGATATCGCTGAAAATCATTAGGCTTCTTCGTCTCATGACCTTACACACTGTGTAACAATTTGGAGTCCATTGGATATTAACTTTAGCCTCTAGAGCGTTCACAAGATTTATCAAAGTGATCAAGGGCTATAACTCTGGCAGTAAATATCAGATATTAACTTTAGTCTCTAGAGCGTTCACAAGAAATTGTGGACGACGGACGTATAAAAATAAAAACAAAGTTTACAAGAATCAACTTAATTAACAAAAACAATAATTAAACAATCAAAAACTAAACAGATAAATCAAATTCAAACGGAACAAATAAAGCAAAGAAAAGGAAAAAAGCAGTTCATTACCATTCTACATTAAAAAAATAAAGGAAATCAACTTGCGAAAAAAACTTTCATAAAATAAGAGTAAAGTAACACTAATGTTAATACTTTTTTAACGACACTACTTGGGCTCCCGGCACCCCTACACCCAAGCCTATCCACACCACAACAAAGGTCCATTTCATTGATTTTTTTCAATTTAATGGTCAAAGCCATCAAAAAAAAACCCCAACCCATTTAAAACACTGAGAAAATAATTTCAAATTCTACCTTTATAATCAAGAAATATAAACTTTAAATATGTAATATGTAATTCAGATCTAATTTTCCATCAAAATCAATGTAAATGGACCTTTGTTGACCAGATAAGCAAATTACATTGATACTAACTTCAGACTTTACAATTTTGTATAGAATTCGAACATTAAATGATCATGCGACCGAACCTCCAGCATGAGGTCCCTAACAATATCTATTTAAGAATAACAGAAACCATAAATTAAAGGCGTTTTTAGGACCTGAGCTTCGACCATATTAGATAGTAAAAGCTTAATTGATTCTATTAGTTAAGTATAATATTTGAAATTAGATCTATAATATATAATTATGATTTTAATAAATCTTAGCTGACAATAACGTGCGGATTTCATTCAGTTTTAAAATTGGTACTATATAGAGCCTAGCCAGTATAGCGATTCTGAAGGGAAAATACCGCTTATGACTCATGACGTCACTCAAATATGACAGAAAAGCACTTATTTTGGTGCCATCCCACGCATTGACTGGTATATAGAGCGTTTTGATCATTTGAAACTTTGAGTTTGACCTGAAACCCTATTAATTAATAAATAGGTAATATTAATAAAACAATACTACTAGGCCTATTTATTAGTATTTAGAATATATATCATATGTAGGCCTACATACACTGTCATACAGTGCCTTTATTTACAAGTTACATCTGATTTATTAACTGATTATCAGACTTATCTATTTGTGTGTATCTCATTGATCATTCTCAGGCTCAAGTTATACTCCTGACAAGTCCACGAGTCACGATACTGTGACCCCCTGTTGGTTGCTGTTGTACTTACTTGTAGTTAAACTGTCACTACTACAACTTAAGGGGTATAAATAAAATGCTTGAAATGAAGTCGGACTAGGTAGATATCTAGGCCTAATTATAATGTAGACTTGTTTTCATATCGATTACCCGACGCCAAGACCACTTCTACTGTACTAGCACTAATTTCAATGTAGGCTACTTAGTAGTCTTACCCCAAAAGTTAGAAAAGACTTCGTCAGCAAAAAAAATTATTTACAATCGGTACATCTATGATTAAGATTTGATTTATGCAGTTTTAGTCAAATACTAGCCTACTATAAAGTAACAAACTTCATTTACATTACCCAGGTCAGAAAATCTCCTCAGAAAATAAAAGACAACTGTTTAGTGTTTGTAGCCCAATAAATATAAGAAGCTGACGCCGTTAAAAACAGTGTTAGCCTAAACATCAGAATATTGCGCCAAAAGCAAACCAGTTAAAAATATAATTTGCGGGTCACGGAAAGATAATTCTGTTTGGAAACATGGTTTGGTGTAGAGGAGTAACCGAAGTTGGCCGAGTGAAATCTGCAGCCGGTTGCCGAGTGAAAAATAGAAAGTAACTCATTGAAGATCCAGTATTGTGCAATAATTATAGTGCTGAGCCGGATTGGTCATCATTTCGATTCATGGTGCACGATAGCGGAGACAAACTTAGAGGTTTTAATCAAGAGTGTCTGGCAATCAAAAGCTACTCTAAAAATGGGAGAGTTACGTCCCCTTTGAATCCATTTCGCAATAATCATAACAATATTTATGTTATAAGAAGAAGACTGCGAAAGATCTATTATTGATTGCATACACTTGTTATAAAACAGAATTAAATAAAGTGTGAGTATAGAATTATTCCTATAACGTCATACTTATCTATTACCATACCTGTCAGTGTTTGAAATATATAATAAGTACGGTTTTACACTTTCTTACTCTTACTCTTAGTCTGACTTAGTCAGTAAAATAGAAAAACTGATGAGTGATGATGTGATACTAGCCTAGGCCTAGATAAGAAACCTCATCTTTTGACCCTACGTGTCTCGAGATAAGAGATGGTACTATATAGTTCCATCTGGCAAAGTATGACAAAATGCAAAAGTGAAAATTGTTTCTTAAAAACAACGATTGATTATTGTTATTTATTTATTACATTTCTGCCACATCCAACTACAATTATTAAGTACCGTATATACTATATAATCGTATCAGAAATGGGTACAAATCATCTCTTTCAAATCGAGGGGTTAAAAGCTGGGTTTGCCACACATTTTAAAACGGGACAGGTTTGACGTCTGAATGTCATGGAGGCAGGGCTAAACATAGGTCATGTACCAGCCAATCAATCGATGCGGGACATAAAACCACTAACTCCAAATATTCGCGTTTAAATTAATGAAGCGTTGTTTTTATCCGACATACACAGCCATACATCTCCCGTTTAAAAATATCGTCCCTAATAACGACTTAAATATGATTTTAAATATGATTTATACCCGTTTCATGTAGGATTATATGCTTAATTGTAGTTGGATGTGGCAGAAATATTATAAATAACAATAATCAATCTGTGTTTTGATGAAAAATATTGTCAATTTTGCTTACTGAGGCCTGATGTGATATGTGTTGTGATTTGCTACGTGGAACTATATAGCACCATCTCTTATCTCGAAACATGGAGGGTTGAGAGATGAGGTTTGTTATCTATAAAACCACAAGCAGAGAACCTTTATTCACGCATGACTAATGCACCAATGACCTATCTGATTTTGTTAAAAACTCCGCTTGATTAACTTTACTGACAATATTTGCATGTAAACGAAAGTTGTGGAAATCTTGAGTTGAAATTTCTGAAGATTTCAGTATCTGTTTGCTCAGTGCATTCAGTTATCTGTTGCTATGGTATATTTATCAAACCAGTGTAGAATCTATGATTTCTGGAAGGGTTAATACTATAGGAGGCCGATAGTAGGAGAGCAGTTTTAAAATGAAAGAAGATATAATTTGAAAGCCCATTCTGTGGGTTAAAAATATCATGTAATTCTAATGTAGTTGCGAGAGGTAAAAAAAAATCCTGTGTATTCCAAATTGCCAAAATGCTTTTTCACACCTCTGTTGAAAATCATGTTGAGTTCGTCCATGACGTAGCCTACATAATCACTAATTGGTTTATATTGCCTTTCACAGATTTCAGTGTGAGAAGCAGCCACATTCCTAAGACAGATCATCTTATTTAGATTTAGATTTTCTTTTATGAAAAAGATTTATGACACATAATTTGTTGTTAACATTATGTTACAAATATCAATCAAAGTGTACAGGTATTGATCATAGCCAAGCAAGACTAGTCTAATAGGGTTAGACTAGTCTAATAGGGTTAGACTAGAGATCACCAATCATCATGAACTCCTCCTGTCCTGGGAACTCAAAATTTCAGGACTAGCCCATAATCGATAAATGATATTTATTTTAGGTTTTAAGACATAGTACAGTATGATGTTGGTTCTGTCTTGTAAAACAGCGAGATGCCATTCAGTTTAAAGAAAAAGAAAGACGGTACAAAGAGTAAGACGACAATGCATCTCTTCAGATCACAAAGTGATGAAGCCAAAAAGAGATTACAGCACCAACTATATTTGGTAGGAAAACAAATATATTTGTTTAGTTCCAAAAATTAAGATATTTGATGATAATTGCTTTTTGGAATTTATTTTGGTCAGAAAAGATAATCTGGGTCAAATTTGAAGAGCAAAATTTTTTTGACTTTGTCATTAACCAATAAAAATTGTTTTGAATCTGTTGATTATTGAAATCACGTGAAATGAACTTTACGTTCTGAAAAACTGTTACAGTAAGTTCGTTTAGAGAAAAACTTCTCTGCAAATGTTATTATCATTAATAGTTTTCAGGATGTTCTCTCTTTTTTTTTAAAAGCAAACGTACTGTACAACTGTGTACGAAATCATCATTATTATTTCGTTTTTTCAGGCACAAGAGAACCCTGAACCATATATTGATATATCAGCATGTCAGATATCATCGGTAAATAATATCTTTTTATGTCAAAATTCACAATCTCTACCTACCTAAAAGATTTTAATTTCATGAAAATGTAAAGAACTCTACTGAACCCAAGGTTAATGCTGCTAGTTAAGTTATTATGGTTTGTGTAGAGTTTCGTTCTTGGTTTAGTTGGGTTTGTTTCTGTTGCTAAGGGTTAATGATGTCACAAGAAAACAACATTAAACAGGCATTTTGAAAGAGATAAGTCTGCCTATTGCAGATCTTTCTTTGTACCTTAAGTGTTATCTAAATTATTAATTAGACATTTATTAACATGACGATCATAATAAAGTCTTGATACCATCGGATGGCTCTGATTTTAAGTAGATTAGAATGGTTCGACCATTTAATGATTTAACTTAAAGTTAAAAATGGAGAAGTAAGGCTAAGACTCAATTGACCTGTACGGTGGTTACTATCATCAATACACACATCTATTCAAAACTACAACCATTGATAAATTCGCTCAAAATAAAGTAATTTAAATGAAATTTTCAATATATTCATTTTGCATTATCTATTTTGAAATATTGTTGCAAGAATGGCCAGTTCTTTATCTAAATATTACATAATGCCCATTTAAATTTGAATGAAGTTAGATGTGCTCGACCTAATGTCAAGTAATTTGGACTTCTTGGGTTAAATCAGGACAGAGATAAGTGTAGGAAAGTCTGCACAGTTTGCCTTTGTGGAATGAACCTTAGTGTTTATTTGACTAGGCCTGATATTTAGTGATATACTTGTTTGTAATATATAATCATATTATGGTCATTGATGATAAATGCTTTTCAAATGGAGGAGTTTAGCCGTTACCGCCATTGTTATTATGACCATAATAACTTATAGTAATTATAAATAATTTCCTATTTTGAATACCGGTAAATTAAATGAAGATAATTAGATTTACATTAAAACATATGTAATTTAGTATTTTTTCATTGATAAATTGATATTATAAAATATATGTAATTTGATATTATTATATTTCAGATTCCATCAACTGTTTATTCAACTTGTCGAGTATTAAACAAAGAGGTAATAATTTCAAACATGGACTCAATTCATTTCTTCTCAAACTATCCAAATCAACGTAAATTTGATCACCTTGATCAAACTTAAAATCGATGGATTAATAAACTGAAAGATTACAGAGTTTTCAAGTTCTTGCTAAAAAACAAAATAAAACAAAATTATGCGAAACAAAATGAGATTGCAATGTGTTTTAACGTCCTACTTTCCTGCACCGACTGAACTAATGAAGATGGGGATAATAAACAAAGAAATAGTGAGAGGTTTATATAATATGTATGATTATAATTATATCTTTTATTAGGTATTACTTCTACATGATAACTGGATATCAACATTAGAGGAAACAGGAAAACTCACAGATCTCATCTCACTACGAGTATGTACATTTACCTGATTTTAAACTCATTTTCAATGGAAAATTTAACAAATAGGTTTCTGACTAAGAATAAGATATCTGACTAGGCCACAGATATTTGAAGTGGGTGGGTCCCTCTGTATCTGTAATGTATGAAATAGGCCAATCATCCATTGGTTTCAGCCTTGTGGTTATCATTTTTAAATGTTAAATAATTTTAAAATCCTTTAGTACATGGACCTCCTGAAATGACTAGTAACTAGCACTCTTAAGACAGCCCCAAACCACCCAAATCAAGAAACTGTGGTAATCAATATTTACATTTACCATGGACCTTATAATACAGTGTTATAAAAGTTTAATTTTGAAATTTTAAAAATATTAGTGGTAGATTATCTCTCAGCATGGATTCAGTCCGATTAAATGGAGGCTGTTCCAAATATTTTATCTAACACTATCTTTTATCTAATGCATGCAGAACATGCTGAATTTTGTGAGATTTTCAATTCATCTTATCATTGTTAATACTGAAATAAATTGCACCATCTTTGGACTGATATTCTTTTTAGATATTCAACTTGGATGATAATGTAGTTTGCATGTGATTCAAAAACCCTCAGTGACTTTAATATAGGGTTTTTCACATCTTTTGAAATCTTTATAGACTTAAAACATACAAATGTTCCATGTTGCTGGTACACATAATATTAGGGCTTTATAAGCACCTATGCCAGATAAATATCGCTTAGACAGAAAGCTGAATGGTTTAGATAAATTTCATGATATATATGATGAATTGTGTTTATTTAAAGGTATTGGATCTGCACAATAATGACATAAAAAGTTTACCAGAAAATATTAAACATCTGGAGAATCTACAGGTAAAATGTTCCTTTCTTTTAAAGTAGAACAATTCATCAGCCATGATGATTGGTTGAGATGCATTGTCTCCTGATATCTTCCTGTTCAAGGGATGAGGAGAATTAAATTCTAGAACATTTAATAAAGTATCACCAATACTATAATTCTGTTATCCCTTATGAACATTTCTTTTTATAGGTTTTAAATCTTGAAGGGAACAAACTGAAAAAATTACCAGAAGAAATTGGTGATCTTCACAATCTGCAAACCCTCAATGTTAAAAGTAAGATTGTTATTATTTCCTCTTCTTTCTTTATATCTGTATATTTATGTAAATTGATATATTTTATAAATACACATTGTATTAATTGAATGAATTTTTTCAATGTCTGTTTTTGGGGTATACCACTGTTATGTAAGATATTTATACCCCTGCTAGGATGTAGTCAGGGAAGTAAATATCAGTTGATTTGTCTGTCTGTCACAATGTGTTTTTAGGGCGTAACTTGGTTTCCTTTTGATATAATTGCATGGAAAATTGTACATACATTAAACAACTACCGAGTTGTAATTTTTGCTATTTCAGAATTCTTTTCTGGAAATTTTTCCTTTTTTTTAAACTGTGGGTATTTGAGATAATTATGTGAAACTTTGTACTGGAGTTGTGCCTTTTGCTATTATTTGATTATGTGAGCTTTGCATTACATGTTTATCTTTGAAACATTATTCTTTCCAGATAATAAAATACAAGAATTACCTAAATGTATTAGTGGTTTATGTCGATTAAGAACCTTAGATATTTCCAATAATGAAATCTCCAAGTTACCGGTTGACCTGTGTATGATTCGTACATTAGAAACATTGACCCTTGATAGTGATCACATGAAACATCCATCTACAAGTGAGTTTATCATGTAATGTAATAATTTAACCATTGTCTTCTTGGGAATTGAGTGGCTATTTGTATATCAAGACCCAAGTACCTCCTGTAACCCAAAAATTAAATTGTTCGGTCATTAATGAAGTCCAGTATAGAAATTTTTATGTACACCAGACCACACTGACAAAGTTGTATAGACAAGTGAATTCATGATACCATACCATAGATATAAACATGAAAAATGAATGTAATTTGCAAGGTTTCTGTTTATTATCAAAAATGACCGATAGTCAAAATTTTGAAGAGAAAGCCCTGCATTATAGATATCCTTTCCAAATTCTATAGTTAAAGAAATTTATAGATATTGATTTTTTTTATATGTATATTATATATTGGTATTCATTTTCTATTCAGCTGTGTTAAAATTCCATTTTCATTTAGAAAATTATAGGTAAAATAGTCTGTACATTCTTTCATATAAACAGTCCAACATTAATTATTTTACCCAAGATTACTTTTATATATATTATTTAATACTTTATTTCCAGATATTTGTGAAAAGGGAACTGAAGAAATAATGAAAACTTTATGTAACGGTAATTATATGTCTATGATAAGATTTGTCACTTTGAAATATAAATTTATAGCAGAAATGTTTTCTTGTGTTTGGAAAACGCTCTTATGTTGATGATATTCGATACCCATGATCAGTTGACTCAGAAAATGACAAACTCAGAAATTTGTCAATTATGCTGGTTTAATCACTGGTTAAGAAAAAAGATATCTCGGGTGGAAATGAATGTATTTTGATTCGAGGACTCTGATGTTGTACACTAATTATAATTTGTACTATTTCAGAATATGGTATAGAATATCAAGCGCCATCTAATTTTCTACTCAATGTATTAGATACACCTAAACCTATGAGTAGTTCTTGGAGTAATAACTCTTTTAAAGTTCGAAAAGAAGAAGTTAAACTATTGGTATGTAATATCCATCTGTAAAACATTACATTGTCATTTAAAATTGTTTTTGCATGGATAATATGCACAATAAAGAGGTGCTTATTAAAGATTTTGTGTTTTTCTGTGATTACAAGAGTAGAGATATTGTTTTATTGTTTTATTTCGTGTTCCAAATGTCATCTTATGCAAATAGTTGAGTCTTTTCATTGATATCATGAACTCTGTGTTAACAATACTTAATTATCAAGAAAGAAGCGGTTTTTTTATAAGTTATGAGTAATCAGGATTTATATGTAACCTTTTTTCTACCTTGTTGTCACTTTAATTTTATGTGATATATGAAATGATAAATTTTGTAGGAAACAGTTGAACAGTATCAGAATTTAGCGGTAAGCATTAACAGAGTTTTTACTGTTTAAACTGAATAGTAGTTATTAATTAAAACCTCAGTACACCAGATGGCCAATTCTTATTAAATTTGAACAAAAATAATGTCTTAAAAGTGTTCTTTAGATAGTAATATAAACCATTAAAACAAAAAACCTGGTTTAGATGCCACCTTGAGCTTGATGTTTGTGGATAGAAATAGAATATCATTCAAGCGTTGGCTAACAATTTAAGAAGAAAACAAGATGGTGTCATAAAATTGTTAAAAACAATAGCTGCTCATAACTTCAGTTAGGATTAATCGATTTGAATAATTTTTGAACCAATATACTTTTTAGCTGCTGTATATTGTCTTTTAAGACATATTTGTTCATCAATCTGGAATATTGTATCTTTAATACCGAAAACATGTAATATGTTGTAGGCTTCAGTCAGTGATATATTAAATACATGTACCGCAAAAGTATTCTCACCTGATGCCAATTCCTGTTTATAACTTTAATGGAATTATTAATTTCTTTGGCAAAGTCATATATCCTAAATATTTGTTATTCATTTATGTATATGTTCTGGTTTTGTAAATAACAAACCATTGTAAAGAAAAATCAAATTATGCACAATCAACATGATTCTGTACAGCTTTTGTTTTTATTTATTAGGATCAAAAACATAAGGAGAGAGTTGAGTTAGAGAAACAGATGTGTGATGAACAAATTGCTCAAGCTAACTTAGCTAATGCTGTAGGACATAATAAACAACATTTAGTTGACAGTATTACTAAGGTATGATGTAATAAACCACATTTAGTTGACATTATTACTAAGGTATGATGTAATAAATAACCTATAGTTGACAGTATTACTAAGGTATGATGTAATAAACAGCATTTAATTGACAGTATTACTAAGGTATGATGTAATAAACCACATTTAGTTGACATTATTACTAAGGTATGATGTAATAAATAACCTATAGTTGACAGTATTACTAAGGTGTGATGTAATAAACAACAATTAGTTGACAGTGTTACTAAGGTATGATGTAATAAACCACATTTAGTTGACATTATTACTAAGGTATGATGTAATAAATAACCTTTAGTTGACAGTATTACTAAGGTATGATGTAATAAACAACAATTAGTTGACAGTGTTACTAAGAATTACTAAGATATGATATAATAAATAACATTTACCTGACAGTAATACTAAGGTGTGATTTAGTGAATAACGATTAGTTGACAGTATTGCAAAGGTATGCTATAGTAAACAACAATTAGTTGACAGCACTACTAAGGTATGATGCAATAAACAACAATTAGTTGACAGTATTACTAAGTTATGATGCAATAAACAACATTTAGTTGGCAGTATTAGTACTAAGGTGTGATGGAATGAAACTGAAATGTCAGTTTAATGTTCTACTTTTCTGCACAGACTTGGCTAATGAAGATATGCATACACCATTCAGTGTGCTATGAGGTAAAATTTGTCTGGACAGTGGCTCTACGGTATACTCTTATTTCACATTCCATATAGAAAGGGTTCTTTCAGGTGCACACCAATGTGTAAATGGGATTTCAGTTTTTCGCACCATCTGAAAAACTGTGCATTGTCCCTTGCCAGGCCCTCCCTCAAACACCACTGACAAGGGGGAATCACACCCTTTGGTTTGATATAACGTTTAGTTGACAGATTATATGTATAATTTAAAGTATCATTCAAATGTGATATTCTGAATAGTATTTCAATGAAGTTTCACATTTGTATGATACAACGAACAAAACTTATTTTGTAGAGTAAACTTCTGATGTTTGACTAAATTACTGATGTTTGATGTAGTTGACTTATCAAATAGAATCTGAATTGTTGTAGTGATGAATAAATTGTTGTATTTATATTTAGGATCAAGAGAAAATAGAACAGGAGTTATCCGAGATATCAACTCGTAAAGAAGCAGATAGGCTGAAATTATTTGCTGAACTTGTAGCAGGTATTTTGATTTAACATATTTCAAGGTGGATTTACATCCTTTATTGTGATTGACAGCTAGGAAAAAAACACCACTAGATTTGAAATATTCTTTGTGGAAAAGCTCTTCTTTAAATGTTAAAAAGTGCTTTTCTGTATTTCATTTGTTGGTGTTTACCTTTTAAACTGAATACCCAAAATATTTTTATAATAATGAATGTAAACCTAGTAACCACCAATTTATATAAACAGCAAACTTTTCAAACTTTTATCAAACACAGTACTTTGACAGGACTCGCATTTCGGATTGGTTATCTTCACCTGTGTTATGTTCCATATTTGACTTTGTCCAGAAATGAAATGAAATGGGGTTTAACATCCTACTGTTCTGTTCCTATACGGGACTAATTAAGACAGGCATATGCCATAGAGTGTGCTATGAGGGAAATTTGTCCATGCAGCGGCACTATGGTCTAATCTTATATCAAATTCCAACTGCCAAGGGATCTTTTACGTGCATGCCAATGTATACATGGGACCTCGGTTTTTTGTCCCATCTGAATGACTAGACAGATGTCATTGTCAGGCCCTCCGTTCTGCACCACTGACAAGGGGAAACCACGTCGGAAAATCCTGATGAACTTTCTCAGCCAGTACAGAGATCAAACACCCAACCTCCAGACTAGCGAGCCAGCGTCTTACCCACTTAGCCACCATGGTTCCTGTCTAGAAATGAGTTACAGGGTTATATTCACTGCATATGTAGAATCACCTTGTAATTTCTCACTAATGCAGCTTGAATATGAGTGAACTAGCATTAGTAAAAGTAAAACCATTAGGTTTAACATTAGTAATTAACACTAGAGGATGTATTGTCTATTCTCATTAGTTCTCACGTAGATAAATTAGAACATTACGTGATGAGGTGACATGGTGATGTAGTTTCATATATCAGCTACCAATAGAGGTCGCAAGTAAAAATACTAAATTTAACAGGAAGAAACCAAAGGGCAGGGGGTATTAGGTTTAATTGACAGTGTCCTTACTGCCTCATCCCAGTTGATTTGTGGCTCTATTATAGATAATAAAACAAGTCATCTTTCCATGCCTCATTTCTTTCCATGTTACACGAGGCAACACCAAACAAACCAACACTTGGTGTCATATGCTTATGGACGTGACATGGATTTGTTCCTTTCATGCACCTAAACAAGCAGTTCTAGTTTATATTTGCTTTCTGATATGGCAATCATCTGATCAATGTATTTAATTTTGGCATTTGCAATAGTTAACGATCTGATCAGTGTATTTAATTTTATCATTTACAGTGGAGAAAAGTGCTGATCTATTAATAAGCCAATTACTAGATATCAATGAAAAAGCTAAGAAAACGGAACATATGTTGGAGATTGTTGAAAAAGAAAGGTATGTTGTCAAACTTTAATCGATTTATTTCATGGTATCATTTCATTTTGTTTTTTGTAAGTTATAGTTAATTTATGATCAAAGATCAAATCCTTCTAAAACAGATCTGTAATTTACGTTATACTATATAATCTGTTCTAATATAGGAGAGAAAAAGATGATTGGTTTGTTGTTCGCTGGGAAGAAGTACAAAATCTTCGTAAAAGAGATGTTTTAGGTAAGATGTTTTCATATGTACTTATCTTGTTTTCTCATCAAAAATGAATGATTTGTTTCATGACTCACTAATACTTTGTTTTGAGTAAGAAACTTCATAGTAAAGTTTGAACATGCATTTTGGGCAGCTCTTAGAAATAAAATAAAATCATAATAATAATTTTCTAGTCAAATAAATTTTGCAATTGAAGATGAATCTTTTGTTAGAAGTGTAGGTATTCAAAAAAGATATTAATTATTTGTTTCATTAGAATTGTATTCTGTGATTGTTATTTGTTAATGAAAGTTAAACATTTGTCTCACTATTAGTTGCCATGGAAAAAATGTTAAAAGAATCTGATGAATCAGAAATATTACGACAGACGTTTACATCAGATAGAGAATACAATGCTAGAAGATATTTAGCCGAGTAAGTATATATATATCTACCTGTTTATATATGGGGAGCTGTAGAGGCTCAGTGTGTAAGATGCTGGCTCTCCTACCTCAAGGTCTCAGGTTTTCTCTTGTGTAATACAATTTGGTAAATTTATGCGGGATTGCATTAGTCGAATATAAGTGCACCAGAGGATATGATTCATAATTTGATAAATACATATTAAGGTCTAAGACCAAGGATAAATTCTATTGTCTATTACACTCATGTGAGGAATATCCCATTCCATATTTGGCTTAGTCATGTGGTCATTCGTAACCAATCATCATAATTAATTAAGTAATATTTGACCAATTAAATAATAGATAACAAAAGTTAAGGCATATAAAAACACTTGAGATGTGCACGATATTAGACATAATGTAGATTTGAGAGGGCACACATCATGTTGTTAGCTCTTTGTTCCTCCTGTAACATTTTGTTGATTGGACTTAACAAGGTTTTAGAATGACACCGACGATATGCTGTGGGCCTTCCGAGAGTTCCGTCTGACCACTGAATTCTTGTCAACCCGCCAGTCTGCTGGGATCACTTTGGTCAGTGGCTGTGGTGTGTTGGCACCATTACCACCCCGATCTCATTAGCCCTGACGTAATGTGAATCAGCTGATCGAAGTGTGTCACTATTATACTGTCATGTTTTATCTACCTGTAATTTAAATGCTGCCGTATATTATGCTTATCCATGAAAAAAAAATGTTTATTTGATGATCAATGATTTTTAAATGATCATGCATATAACATGAAGCATTACCCAAACTGTCATATGAAAATAGACAATTGAAGATCTGTGCTTCAGCACAAAGATCTATGCTTCAGAATGTTAACACAAATACTTCCTCAATTTTCTATTCTTAATAATACATGAAAAATAATTCAGTGAAAAAGAGAGGGTGGATTTAATGCATATGTTTATAGAATGATTACTGGTATGTTAAAAGAGTGTATTATATATTTATAGAGAACAATCAACATCAGATAAACAGTTAAAAGATATTTTACATTCTAGAGATGTTGGTCAAAAAGTACTTATTCATACACTAGCTCAACAAGTAAGTTAATTATATCTTAGATCAGATCTTGTTTTTTTAACTCTGCTAAAATTCCAGTACAGTATCGAACATGTCTTGATCAGGTGCTGTCATATACCTGAAGCAGTGGCCCGAGAAATCCCTCTCTAGCCATTGTAATACTTAGACTGAAAACTTGAGTTTTTGGCTGAGTGTGTCCAATCAAATCTCTCTCGAGTACAGTAAAGTAAAGGGAATTTTCATAACTGCCGCTTAATGGGGGTGACCTCTTAAAAAATGAAAAAAATCCCAGTGTTTGTAAGTGCTGATTTCAAGAAAATTTTTACCCTGGTCTTGGATGCACCAGAAGCAAACATCGATACTCGCTTCAGTAAATTTGGCCGTCGTTAAAACTCACTATTGGAATGAAAATTCTTTGACTCTAAAAAGGGCCTGTCTGTATATTACTGCCTACCTTTAATATTTATCCATTTTTGTGAAGAAAGTCCATGAATTATTTATTTTATCAAAAATGCACATGTGGTATTTCTATCCAGTTTGGTGGAACACAATACGTAACATGACAGCCCTTCTCTTTGACAGTTGAAAAAATGTATTAAAAGATGGTGAAAATATTGTTTGTCTTGTGTGCTCCAAGAGATGATAAAAAGTTCCCAGGTGCGCGGTGATTACCAACTGTTTACATTGTAGCTATTTTGGATAGCCTTGTTTATCACACAATATTCTGTTATACACTAGTTAATTGAGCGTGATTCATTTCGTGCGTTATGACGTAATGTAGCCACGATTGTCACCAGACACTTTACGGTAACATATTTAGAGTTGGTTAATCCCGATTGATTTTGTTTTGTACCAATATATTGGTTGTTGACCGGACTGTTGAACCAATCATTATTTGGGACAGAAATTTGCGGCGAGTATGGCAGTGCTCGAGTGGCATTAGATCTAATCAACCGATACACTGCGAGGAGTATGAAGTCCAGTATACATTGGAATTTTAAACTCTAGTCACTATTTTACACCATGTTGAGATAATTTGTATGTAATGTATAATAATGGGCTTTTCAGAACATTAGTATTATATTATCATTATTTGTTTCCATAGAAACACAAAAAAATGATAAAATCTGAGGAATTACTGATTAGCAAAAGACACAACTACTGTAACAGGTTAATTTGTTCCCCAAGTTTATGATAAATGCTCTGGAAACAAAACAGAGGTGAAACGATTCAGTATGGGACGCTAAAAAAAACCACTAGGATAATAACTTGTACCGGTAATTAAATCCAATATATTTTGTAATAATAGGATGAATTACAGAAACAAGCCTTTGAAGTTTTACAACTACAGAAAGATGCTAAACATCAGCGTATTACCAGTGAAATAGAACTTATAGAACATGAATTAGCAGAACTTTCTAGAATAGAAAGAGACAGAAGAGACTTACGTGCTGAAACTGAAATGGTAAATATATCGTATTCACTTATACCATATAATGCACCACTCATACATATTTTCTGAATGATATTTTATCTTCTTAAGCCTCATCTTGAGTTATTAAGGAGCGTTTAAGACGATTTATATGGGTGACTTTTAAAGCATCAGTACATCAGGGTTTAGTGAGATATGATGGGTTTCTTAAAATCTCACATACCTTACACTATTTTATTTTTTTACATTATATCTGAGTTTTTGAGATTTATAGTGATAGGATAGCTCATTTATGCAAATCAACTGATGACAGATGAATAATTCATCTATACATTTAGTGAATCTCAAAGAAATTATATTTTTTATGCAGAGAGAGATGATTCCCCCTTTAATGTTTTTTTTACACAATAAGGCTTTAACTGTTCCTGTAACCTTTTTTGGTGATATTTGTAGAATTTATTATGTGAAAAGAGAATTGCCTTATGCTCTATGTTGAGTCAACTTATGAGTGAACAAGAAAAACGCCAGAAAGAACTTAGTAAAAGACTGGTAAGCTCATATTATTTTTGATTCATATTGATTAATGTCATATACATACATACATACATACATACATACATATATATATATATATATTTTCTTCCAATAACATACCTTGATTAATAGGTTAAGTTTTGAAGTTTTGGGTATAGGTAGAAAGATTTGTAATTAATTTGTATCATAAGGCCTGTCATTGAGTCAACTGGCGTGGTTTCGAATCCCCGGTTGTACGTGACAAGGAGTAGGATTGCCTGTCCAACCTCGTGGATTTTCTCCAGGTCCTCCGGTTTCCTCCCACTGCTAAAGACCCCTATGCGCAAGCGAATTATTGAAATAAAATTGAAACCATATGTTAGTCCTGAAATGACCTAGTCTGTGTCGACTGGACGTTAAACTCCATTTCTCTCTCTCTCTTTGTAATTAATTCTATAACCAGTCTTATGTACTGTTGTCAAAATATGATTCCCATGTATATCCATCCAACCTCGATTTAAAGAGCTAAACTAACAAGAGCTTTGAACATACATGCTTCAAAATCAACAGCCCTTAGCACTGTAGGCAAATTTCTATTTTGATCATGTGTACTGTATGTAACCCTGAAACATGTAAATATTAACTATCCCAGTTTACTGAACAAGTTAGAGAAAAAGTGATCATTTTTCCATTGAGTTGTGCAGCTCATTTTTGAAACTGACCAAAACTACTGCTCTCTAGACTGCATAAAACTACCTCTGTCCCAGTACAAATACCGGTATACAGTCCTTAAATAGTTAACAGCTATTTATGTGACTCATTAAGTTAAATTATTATGATCTTCTTTATAAATTTCTATGTTTCATATTACAGTTAGAAATGGAAGAACAGAGATTAGATGGTCAGACTGATTATTGGATGGTTCAATATCAACGTTTAATGGACTCGAAACCACAACAACTTATAGATCAGGTATATGCAGCAAATATTCTCATGGTTAAATAAATACAGGATAAGGTTTCAGTTTATATTCTACATATTTAGATCATAAATTTCTTGATAACTTAATCAAGATTACTTAATAAGAAAATAATAATCTAATTGTCAGTTCTGTGATCACTTTTACATCGGCAAACTTCCTAAAATATTGTTCATTGTTAAACTAAAGAAATGATCTGATTGTAATGTCCTTTATTGCCGTAAACCGTGTTGGACAGCCATCCTCAGTTCTCTGTGGAAACTAAAGACTTATTTGAAATACATGTTACATTGGTAAGAAGAAAATTCCTATTTCTGATAATTGCTTTCGGGTTTATTGCCCTTGATCATTTTGAAGAATCTTGTGAAATTTAAATACATTTATTAGATCGAGAGAAAATGTAGGCCGTTGACTTCATTTGCATTGTTTACATTTTTAAGGTGGAAGAGTGGCTGTATTTCAACTATTTGTTGATTTTGAATTAAAGCACTTTTAGTCAGCTGGTTATAGTCAGCTGGTTAAGAATGAGATTTTTAAAAAAAAACTTTTACAATGGTTTTATAAAATCATTAGGGCTTGCCATAGCCTGTCAACCTATCATTGTGCTTTATTCTAGGAACGAAATCTCGAAATAGCAGTGGTTAAAATTCTACAGAAATCTGCAGCAGAAGATTATATACCGGTTTTTGCTCGACATCGTATGACCATTGAAACAATGTTACAATTATCAGAAGATGATATGAAACAGGTAAAATATATTAGTGTGGAGCTTCACTTGACATGAAGTCAGGCTTAACGACCACTTTCACCTAGACTGATATCAATTGATATTGATTGATATTTACTATTGTAATGTTTGGATTAAGAATTTGTGTTTCCATGGAGATACATGTCTGTACATGGTAGATATGCACAAGAAATGTGAACTGTCTTAACATTAATTATGCATCTCTTTGTGTAAAATCAATAATTCTACTATACTCATTTTATATATATGAGGGCATGAGGCTTTGGTAACCAAACTATGCATAAAAACAAAAACAACACCAGGGAATTATCAGCATTAAAGAATTAATATTGTGATACATTTTAAACTATTATTCTTAGTTTGCTATTTAGATTTTACTAGAAGATATATTCTATTATTTTCTAGATTGGTGTATTTAAATTCAAATAAGTGCAAACATATCTTTTAATTTATGAGTTAGCTGTAAGAAGATCTATTAATTATTAAGTTATTTTTTGAGATAGGTGTATTTGAATATAAGCGGTGATTATGTATAAAAAAAAAGATGTATTATTTTAGATATGTATGTATGAGCCAGCTGTAAAAAGATCTATTAATTTATTTGTTTGAATATATAGATAGAACTCAATGACCATTGAATACCGCTCGGGTTATTCAATGGTTCAAGAGAGTGTATCCCTGCGCAAGTATTCCACGAGCGATAGCGATATTCTATAACTACATGCAAATCTTAAAATACACTGTACTATCTAGATTATCATAAAAAATCATCACCACTAACGTTAAAATTCATCATAGGTTCCGCCCTTTTTTCTTTCTTTTTTACAAAAATTGTGGTTGCCTAGTTGTGACGTCATTACAGTTTGACGTAGTTCTGTAAGTGATGTCATTATGGACAAAAGTAGAACGTTTTCAAGCCATTGAAAACAACTATAGGTTATTTAATGGCCATTGAATACAACTATAGGTTATTCAATAGCCGTATTCAATGATATTTGCTTGTATTTGCATGTAGTTATAGAATAAAAATAGGTATAAAAGATGTATTATTTATTTTTTAGATGGGTATATATGAGTTAGGTGTAAGAAGATCTATATTAAATAATATTGATGATTATAGAAGACACAATAAAACAACAGATAAAGAGCAACAGGTATGCCTACTACTTGAATCGTATAAAAAAATCTCATTCTACTACAATTTTAATAAAAAAGGGAAATTGTGTTAAAAAAATACAAATAAACTTTCAGGGAATCTTGAACCTCCCCAAATGTTAATTGTAAATTGATAACTCATTTGTTATAGCTCATTCATGTCCCAGGATTGAATCGCAACTTGAGACAATAATGATGTCCACACAAAGATGTCTTACTTTGTTCACAATGAACCTCTTTTCATATATGTTATATTCTTTGTAGTTTGCCAGCTCTTCCGATCATACACCTTCTGCTCCTCCAGCAACACCTAAGAATGTTAGTCCTGATGAAGGTTTGTCGGCCTTACGTAGACAGAAATCAGTCACTGCTCGAGGTCTACATTCAGAATGTGCCATATGTTTAGATCAAGAGGTAATTAGTTTTTATAGATAATTCTTAAATTCAAATGGATTAAGAAGAGTCCCATCCAAAGATTTTATGAAACAGTTGTAGTTGATGCTGTCTGTGTTTATATTGTCTGCAGGTAATGCTAAATGTTAACAAGTTTTCAGTTCATCATGTCTTTATGAATACTGTATTACTATATAATGTTCATTGTTCCCTAAGTGTAGTGACTGTAGTCTCTGTTAAAACATGAAAGGTAAAAATTTCTATTTTCTGTTTCAGTCACAAGTGTTATTCCTGAATTGTGGTCATGTTTGTTGTTGCTCAGAGTGTTCTACTCCATTAACAGAGTGTCCATTGTGTCGAGCAGCCATTGTGCAAAGAATAAGACTCAATCTTGTCTAAACATAACTTACACAAATCAACAATTATTCTCCATGTATGTTAAACTCAGTTGAAATATTCCAAATCAAACTACTTAATTCTCGGTGATTTGAAACAAATGTGTTGTCGTTATCTAATGATAACAAAAAACAAGATGAGGTAATATAACAAAGAGGAAAAAAAATAAAGTGCAGATCACTAGGCATTGATGCTACTTGCTCAGCAATATTCAACCATGGAGAAAAAAAAAACAGTAAAAAAGTTAGCATATATGTTTCGTATCATCTTGACTTTCTTAAAATGTGAATATATATATGTAAATACTGATCAATATACTCATCTGTTATTAGCATTATATGTCAACTTGTTACAGATATTCTAATTACTGGTAATACATCAGATTCACTGATTGTTAAATGTAATGTGGCAATATAAAGATGTTACTAGATTAGTTCAGGCCTAATAGTTTATATCATATAATAAGTGTTCCCAGCTAGATTAAATATTTAAAAACACTAGTAAAATATTAGTATTTATCTATGATGCATGCTCAGTTGGTATATATAAGTGTCAAATGAGAAACCCCTTGGATAATAAAATAATGGGAAAATGTTGTTTTTGATTCAACTGTATTTCAAGTAAAACATCTGATCGAATCAAACCTGTTCATCTTCATGCATTTAAATTTAATTGAATCTTCCCCTTGATATATTATTTGGGTCTCCAATTTCCCAGTATGAATTTTTTATAAACCCACAAGGAAATGTGGGTGAATATTGTTGTCACCACTGTCTGTCTGAATGACATCCACAAATGCTTGTAGACGGTCTAGAGGCTTAAATTATCATCTGAAAAATCCAATGGTTTTCAATGCTGTTGGAGTTATCACCCTTAATCAATATGACAAATCTTGTGGACGCTGTAGAAGCTAAAGTTATCATGTGATTGATTTGAAATTTATCCTCCAGTGTTTATATTCATAAGATGAAGAAGTCTATGGATTTATTAAAGTTATTATCTGATTACTGGTACATGTTTCGTATAATAAATGTTAGCACTAGGAAGAACTAGAAGGCAATCAAATTTTAATTATTTTTGATAATTACTTTTTGGATTGTTACTCTTGATCAGTTTTTAGCTGCTTTGGGTATGTTTTATTGGCTGGCAACGTATTTTCAATTTAGCAGAAGACACAAAATGACATTGTAGCAGACTAAAATTCAGGGTCAGTAATTGAACACCAATTTTGTTATCCTAGGGGGCGACCTTAGAACAATTTGTAGCATTAATATTTGTATAATAAAGTAACTGTCTATATCTTGATTACTATATATGGTATTATAATTAAGAAATTACTATAAACGGTTGTTATTTAGTAGATATTATTTATTTTTAAGAAATTACTATATAAGCCATTAATTGTTATTTTAGTAATTATTTCCTATATTAAGAAATGACAATACTAAAACAATGATTGTTATTTTGTACCTATTAGTTCTTTTATTTTAGAGTCTCATACTTGATTGTGATTATATACACGTTCTTTATATTGTAAATACATTTTTATGATTTGTTTTTTTAATTTAATGTCTGTTGTTATATATATAAAACTTTTATAATAAGGTATCCATGCTTCAGTGGACACATTAGCCGAATCATTCGGCGCCAAATTTTATTTTGTCAGAATGGGTGGACACAGGCGAATGCATCACCTCACAAATCACATAATTTAACATGGCGGCGTCTATATCTTCAAACAATCACGTGACTTCTCGATAGGAATGAATGGTGATTGGCTAATGGTTATAAAGCAGTGGACACATTAGGTGAATATAATTTGGCTGAATATTATATCAAACAATTTTTATTCGGGTGAATCATTCGGCGGAATGACAGTGAACACACTAGGCTGATTTTGGCCGAATCATTCGGCTAGGGTGTTCACTGCTTTAGATATTATAGTCCCTACATTTGTTATAATATAATCTCTACTGTTGTTACTTCTATACTTGTCGGTGAGCTCTGTACATTTCAAATTGAAGAGATGTTCCCCACTGAGTAATAGTATTTCATGTATTCACAAAACAAACACAATTTGTATTGTTCAGGTTAATACTGGTAGTCATGGTCACTATAGTTATAGATGAGATTCATTTAGTTCGGCATTAAACTAATATCTATCTACCCAATGTGGAAATATTGTTAGAATATAGCAAAACAATTATATGTGACCAATGCAATTAAAAACAAGAGGCATTATCACTTTGACAAAAAAAACATGCTTATCGAAGTATTGAAAATACCATTACCGACATCCTTATGGCTGTTTTCCATGTAAGCATTTCCGTCAGTTACATGTAAATAGTCCCATTACATTTGCATTAGACCAACTTTTTGTTAGAGAAAATGTGTACCTGGAAAACAAGCCTTAAATTAAGTCTGTGAACACCACAATAAATTATGTACGATTTAAAAGTTATCTTGGCAGTGGTTTTGCAGATTTGTCCTTAATCTGATTACCGAAGTGACAGTGCCTCTTTACACTTAGTCTTCCCGCTTGATGTGTATTAAATACTTGCCTACATTGTTACAAGTATTATAATGTATCTTTGTTGATTGTAACTTGTAAGGCTTAGTTATTTTTATACGCCCACATTTTCATGTGGACGTATATTGTCGTCGCCCCTGTCTGTCCGGATGTCCGTCCACAAATGTTTGTGAACACTCTACAGTTCACAATTTTTATCCGATTTCAATAAAACTTGAAATATAGGTTTATCACCCTAAGATTTTGGTTCCTTTCGATATTGGCATGTATTGGACTGTAACTTCATGGATTATGGCCCCTGATTGTACGAAAAATCACGTGTTTAGCTTGTGAACACTTTTATCCGATTTGGTTTAAACTTGAAATGTATGTTTTGTAACCCACAGATCTCGGTTCCTTTCGATATTCATGCATATCGGACCATAACTTCCTGAATTATGGCCCCTGATTGTACGAAAAATCTTCTATTTAGCTTGTGGACCCCATATAGGTCACAATTTTTATCCGATTTAAAAAAAATGTGTATATTTATTTATTTTACACCCTAAGGATGGTTGAGTTTGAATTTCGTAAAAATCGGACCGAAACTGACGGACAAAATGGCCACCCCTCGTTCGCAAATAGTGTCAAAATATTGCTTATCAGGGTTGTGGACCCTCTGGAGGTCACAATTTTCATCTGATTTTGATGAAACTTGAAATGCATGTTTATAACCCACAGATCTCGGTTCCTTTCGATTTTCGCGCATATAGGACCATAACTTCGTGAATTATGGTCCCTGATTGTACGAAAAATCGCATTTTTAGCCTGTGGACCCCATAGAGGTCACAATTTTTATCCTGATTATTACCCCTGATTGTACAAAAAAATCGCTTTTGTTTTTAGCTTGTTCTCTATCGATCTATTGCAAAATGTGGGCGTATCCTACCTGGCAGTCGCTGGTTTAAACAGAAACCACTATTTGATAGTATTATTTTAAAAAAAAAAACAAAAAAAAACGGGTTCAGTTGCATTTAATCTTATGGACATTGAAGGATTTTTAATGTGATTCAGTGTGCAAAATTAAACACTAAGAAATGGTCTACTACTGACAAGAACCTAGTACACAGAATTAATCAGTTTTATTTACTGAAATATATACGAAAATTCATCATTAATAATAATATTTAGGTAATCCACACTTCAACTTGTAGGTGAAACACATCTTATTGTAGTTAATGAAATACAGGGAAATATATTTACATACAGATATTACCACAAACAGGTAATTAAGCGTGGTGGATTTATTAAAAACAGACTAAAAGACTAAAAATCACAATCTCTATGCTTCTTCTTTTTAGCAGTTAAAAAGAATTCATACATAAATAGTAATTATTGTTTTTAAAGTCTGTAAATTTCTAATATAACAGTATGATAATTCAAATGGAATCTCACAGCACATAAAATCAGGTTAGTCGCAGATGATGAAGATTGATTTATTGGGAGATCTGAAAAATATATCCACTTCAATCCCAATTGAAGATATGGATTAAAGATGCATTATGTAAGATTTAGATACAGAAGATATATTTTGAAAATTTCAGTCAAATTTCTTTATTCTGAGCGAAGTTATGAATGTTTGAAGCTTTGACAGGTAAATAGTCTTGATTATGTCATTGTAAAAAAAAAATGTCTTAAATAATAATTTATATAACATTTGAAGTCAAAATAAAAACCTGCTCTAAGCAGATTTATATCTTACATAATGCATCTTTAATGATCTATTTGTAAAGGTTTAAAAGAGAAATAGCGCTCAATATGATTTCAAGTGTCTGTGATATTAAATTTCAAGGGTTATTGCTGGTTTCTTTTCTACTGTGTTTAATGTAAATATTCATGTATTGTTAATTTATATATAAACTTGCCATTAATGTTAGTCCTATTACATTTCATTTCTGTGATTTTCTAAAAATAAACTCTGCTAAAATAAATATTGATTGGAAAATATGTTATATGTTACTTCAGGCTAGGCACAGTTTAATAATACATATTTGATGTACAAATAGGTTAAAACAATATGTAAATAACTTGTTTAACTTTTTGTGGGTTTATTATGTATTTTGAGCCTTTAATTCTATTTTTACTGGTCATTTGAGACTGACAACACCATTTTGGGGCAAAATAGGTCATTTGGGGACTAACATAGAGTATGTCTTTACAGACAACCCTAATCCTGGTAACATACAAAGCTGAGAATCTTGAATTGATGACAGACCTTATGATCTAAAGTACATGTATGCTTTATTCCAACCCATCATAAAGTACAGCCCTACATACCAATACAAACAACTTGATTAATCAGCAAGATCAAGGTCTTGATAGAAAGTACCAAACGTGAATGTAATATAACAAAAACAGATCACAATTGAGATTTATCTAATTTTAATCACATTGTCATATTTCCTTGATATATTATTTTATGTAATTTCACAATCTCTCAAATGATATCACATGATTTTCAATCCTTTAAATATAAGTAACAGTGCACAATATACTGTATTGAAAAAAATAAACTTTCTTTTAGATTCAAACAAGCCAACAGTGAGGCTGATGTCCCCCGCCGAAATCCATAAATATATAGATAACACATATTGATTAATGGGGGGTTGGATGGCCGAATGGTTAGCACGTGTACCCTGTATCATAAGGTCTGTCATCGAGTCAACTGATGTGGTTTCGATTCCCCACCTGTCCAACCTCATGGGTTTTCTCCGGGTCCTCCGGTAGCCTCCCACTGCTAAAGATCCCCACGTGCAAGCGAATTATTGAAATAAAATTTGACCATATGTTAGTCCTGAAATGACCTAGTTTGTATGGAGTGGACATTAAACCCCCTCTCTCGCTCTCTCTCTCTCATTGAACTCAGTCAAGACATTCACTTAATGAACATCTACATCAAGTTTAAAGATACATTATGGGAGATTAGATAACAAGTTGGCAATTCTCACTATAATAGTTACAAACTATATAATGTAAAGGCAATTTGCTGAAAATTTCAGTCAAATTGATCCACTATAAACCGAGAATTAAGCGATTGAAATTTCCACCTAGCCTCGATCATCATTACTAAAGTCAGTACAATAAAAAGCATAGTCTCGATTATACATTTATTGATTTAATCGTGAAGGGAAGTTATGCAGTAAATCGGGTCATAATCCACTCAAGATCGCAGGCTAGGGATGCCATCGAGAGTTGATTATGGTACGGATAAGTTAATTAATGTCTAATTGATAACTTAGATAACATTTCAAACCTAAAGATATACCTGCAATAGGCAGATTTAGCTCTTGCAAAATGTATGTTTAATCATTCTACCTCAATTAAAAGCAGTGTTGTTATTTAAGTTCCAAAGTCTTGACCAATCAAATTGCTTATTGCTACATAGCATAAGCAGGAAATGTTCAGTATCGAACTTAGTCAAGGTATTGATGTAATGAAACTATACAAGTTTCATCACTCTCACTTAATTAGTACTAAAGTTATCTTGTACCAAAGCATCAACCAATCAAATGGCTTATCTCTGCTTACCCTAAGCAGAAAATGCTCATCTTCAAACTCCATCAAGGCATTGACCTAATAAACACCTACACCAAGTTTGAACATTCTGGCTCAATTAGAAGGAAAGTTATTGTGTCCCAAAAAGTGTGACTGACGGACAGACCCATTTTAATAGTCCCCTGCTTTCTTCAAAAGGTGGGGGACAATAATATCAGTTACATATAACAACAAACTTAACAATATGTGGTCAAACACTAACATCACATTGATGACTTCCATTGTCTGAGTATTTTGGATGCTTTTTCTAATGTTTCATCTTCCTGTAAAATATAACATATATTGGGGTTAGGATGTTATAATGAAGTAGTATGAATATGAAAGCTTACAGTCACTGAAATAGTAATTGCATTGTATTTATTTTAATATATAAATTGAATGTACCATAACAGTTATTGCTAATACAAAAAATTAAACAGCGGCTGCCAGGCAAGATATACCCACATTTTGCAAGAGATGGATAGAGAACAAGTTAATAAAAGCCCTGTGAATTTTTGTACAATCACTTGAATCAGGGCCCATAATCCAGGAATTCATGTGAATATCAAAAGTGACAAGATCTTTAGGATATAAAGATATATTTTAGGTTTCATCAAATCGGACAAAAATTGTGACCTCTAGCGTGTCCACAACCTTCATATTACATACATTTATACTATTTGCGTTAAAGGAGCAGTCATTTTGTCAGGCACTTTTGGTTCGATTTTTACAAAATTCAAGCTCAGTCATCATCAGTGTGTAATGGTAATATATGGAAACAATTTTTAAAATCGGATAAAAATTGTGACTTCTAGAGGGTCCACAAGCTAAAAACGTGATTTTTCGTACAATCAGGGGCCATAATCCAGGAAGTTACTGCACGAATATCGAAAGAAACTGAGATTGTTGAGTTATAAGCATTTATTTCAAGTTTCATCAAAATCGGATAACAATTATGACCTCTAGAGTGTCCACAAACTAAAAACGTGATTTTTCGTACAATCAGGGGCCATCATACTATCAAACTAACGTTTGAAATATGGTGAAAAAAACATACAACCAAACTCCACATCCCCCCAAAAATTGGTTAATTTTACTACGATTTTATTCTTCAGTGGTTGTCATGTTTGTACAAATCTGTGTTCTTACCTTTATAAAACATAATCTAACATAGTTCTCTCCAACAGATTGGTGTTCTTTACAATAAAATGCTGATGGTGGAATAGCTGTTAGTTTCTGTAAGAGAATAAGTCTATTTGAATCAAGGTATCTCTTCTATCAGTTTGGATGTTGAAAAAGAAATTTTGTACTTTTCAGTCCGGAATCTCCCGAATTCACAGAACTGCAATCAAGTGATCTAGAATTAATTTTTGTCACAGTTCTGCCGCAGAGGTGTTGGGAGTAGAATCATAACTTGGAGATACATTCTTATGCAGTCAGTGCATGCATTGTAGCCGAAACAAAATCCCCCTTTTCACTCGACTGCCATTTTGAACACAGCAGAGGGCAAAGTCCTCCATACAATTTTTTATAATCTAGTTGTTCATTAAACTATATAGGAAACCTCTGTGATACAGGACATAAAGGATTTTCTTAACAATTAAGGGGTCTGACAAGTTATTATAATTTTTCCAAAGGATATATGTATACTCAATTTGTAAATACTAATCAAACATACATACCTTATTTTTAGTCATCCACTTTACAAACTGGAAATCTTTAGGTTCATCTGCTGCCTCTTGAGATAGATCTATATCTAATATAACAAGACAATATTTTAACTTTATATAAGCAGAAGGCAATATGACTCAAATTGAGTAGAGAGAGAGAGAGAGAGAGAGAAATGGGGTTTAACGTCCACTCGACACAAACTAGGTCATTTCGGGACTAACATATGGTTTAATTTTTTATTTATTTCAATAAGTCGCTTGCGCGTAGAAGTCTTTAGCCGTTGGGGGAAATCGGAGGACCCAGAGAAAACCCACGAGGTTGGACAGGCGACCTTACTCCTTGTCACGTACAACCGGAGATTCGAAATCACGCCAGTTGACTCAATGATAGGCCTTATGATACAGTGCGCATGTGCTAACCATTCGGCCATCCAACCCCCCGATTCAAATTGAGTGAATATAGTGAAAATGAAAATTAATTTGGAAATCCCAAATAAATCGTATTTTGATTTACAGATGTGAAAAATCAATTTATAGTTTGTATTTAGAGTGAAAACAAGCTTTAAAGATACGTCAACATATTACAAGAGTTGGTCGGAAAACATTTTGACCTCTAGAGGGTCCACACGCTTTTCGTACAATCAGGGGCAATAATCCTGGAGATATGGTCTGATATGTTCCGAATTCAAACCGATTCTAGATCTTTGGGATATAAACATATGTTTTAAATTGTGATCCACAGAGTGTCCACAAATGTGAACAGCATAATCCGTCTGCATAAGAATGGGGGTGTATAAAAAGCATAGAAAGTTTGGTACACTTACTTAATCCTGTTATATCAGCTAGTAAAAAATATCCTCCTTGTGGTATTACAGGCCACATTCCCATCTCTGTCATTAAATTAATTAATTTATCTCGTTTTGGTTCTAACTCTTTCGGTAACTGTGAGAAATAACATTCTGGTGTTCCCATTCTCTTTAACTCGTGTTCAAATCCTACTGCTGTAGCTTCCTACAAAATTTACAGAGAGTTCTTTACTTTGCTTCTAGTATTTAGAAGATGCATGTGGGAGGAATTTTGTTTTTTTGCCACAAGGAATAATATCTATAACATGATCACCTATAGATATTGGATTTCAAAGACAAATTTGTTTACTCTTTATCAATCAGTGTCACACTCATACATGTTGATTTTTACCCCCAAATCTTTGTTTCTGTCGCCAATAACAAAACAATTATTGATACATGTACATCATATTTATTTGTAAATGGCTTCACCATTCACATCATATTGACCTCAAGTTAACTAAATGCCATTGAGCTTGATAGATGTAGGTTACTTGTCAAAATATTGTGCTTGTGTAATAAACCAGTGATAATTTACCATAAAAACTGTGTTTTGTTAATCGTTTCTTAATTACCTAATGTCACTTTAAAGATTACAAAGTTACAATAATATTAGCATGTATTATTTTACCTGTAGTATTGTTGGACATGTATAATTACAGTTCTGATGCATAGTTTTAGCACCAACTAATATATCACTTGGTCCTATAGTCCATCCTAACTTCCAACCAGTAGCACTAAATGTTTTACCAGCACTGCCTATTGTTAATGTTCTCTCCCACATACCAGGTAATGTAGCTAGAGATAATATAAACAATAGCCAAGACATTAATTTCACCAACTTCATGTTTTACTTTATCTTGATGTATACATGATTTAATTATTTAGTAGATGTTCAAGTTAAATAGATTTAAATCTGGTTATTGAGATAATCATGATACCTGATCTAATCAAATGAGACTGATGTCACTCGTCTCAATCCTAACATACATACAGTACAATCATTAATTACTTGCAGATTTATCTGTTTTTATAAACCTATAATGGTAAATCTCTTTGATCTTTAGGGTATATTCTATGTCCGGAATAACTTGCGGTCTGAAAGTCGGGGTGACTTTGAATATATACAGGGGAATTTGGGGTTATTCTTCTGAAAGTTTTTCTTTAAACCTGCAACAGGTTATTCTTCTAGGGTAGGGTTTTTTTTCATAAGAAACGATATAAGGTTTTTCTGGGATATTCTCATTTTATGTACATAAAGTCCTTGACTTCGGTTATGCTAGAGAAGAAAGACTTCAGAAAAAACCCTTGAAAGAAAAACCTCAGCCTGTCGGCCTCGGTTTTTCTTTTTGTCTGGTTATTTTCTTCAGTCTTTCTTTCCCCAGCATAACCTTAGTCTCATGCTTTATTATACACATAAAGCATGAAGGAACCAAATTGCTTACCACCCACCTTAACCAGAGAACAAAATGCTTATCATCAAACTTAGTCAAGGTAATTGATGTAAGAAACTATGAACCAAGTTTTAAAACTCTTAAAATCAGAGTCATAGTTTTCCAAAGCATCGACAAATCAAACTGCTTTTTGCTGCTAAGTTTAAGCAGAAAATGTTCACCATCAATTTCAGTCACCCTAAAGAACATCAACAACATGTGTGAAAATTCTAGCTCAATTAGAAGCACAGACCACCATCAAACTCAGTCAACCTAATGAATATAAACAACAAGAGTGAGCATTCCAGCTCAATTAGAAGCACAGACAGCAGGAAGAGTTAATAGTTCTTTGAAAGCTGGGGGTAAAAAAAACCATTATACAACAACTATTTACTCCCTGTCTTACCTATTTTAATATGTTTATTATCGTCAAAAACCAACCATTCGTAAACTTCATCAGATATACATATAACATCATATTTAATACATAATCTTGCTATTACATCTAATTCTTCTCTTGAAAATACCTATAATATACATAAAATACAGGTAAAGCCATACTAAAATGTAACAATTTCTGTAGGAAATAAGACCATTTTTTAAAAATATATCACAAATTTAAGTTGCCTCATAATATACAGTAGCAAGTGTTAAGGGTATGTGGTTAAAAAATATATGAAGTACCGATTTACTTTGGACATTCTCCACTGACATTGTAACAGTGCAAGTTTTAAAAAAAAAATCAACTAAAAATCCTGTTCCAAGCTTCAATAATAAAAATATGAACAGAAAGACAACGCTACAAAATATTAAAGATATTTTTTTAAAATTTCAATTGGTTCTTCCTTATGCTGCAATGAATAACCACACCCAGTTTCTTGTATTACGTTCACTAGTGAAGTGGGAGATTACTCCAGGGTTTACAATCAAATACTTTTGAATTTCGATATTCAAATGACCAAATCAATAATCCCAAGAAAAATGTCAAAAATCTTCCAGAGCTTTGACCTGCATAATGTTTACAACAAATTGTTGACATATTACGGATGAAGACAGAGACAATATATCTCCAAATAAAGTGCATCAAAATTGAATACCTAAGCTTTATTCATTTGGACGGACGTAAGTGTTGAAATTTTGTGCTGGTCCCTAAAATACCTTATTGCCCAGGTTGTACACCTAGGTTCAAACTCCAGGAGAGTCTAGTGCCCCTCTCGCCCACCCTTGTCTAATTAGAAACATTACAAACACTACATATGGGTAACAGGAATACTTCTTATTGTTTACCTTGCCTAGAGGATTATTTGGTGTATTAATAATAATTGCTTTTGTCTTTTCATTAAATTTACTTTCAAGCTCTTTTTCATCCAATTTCCAATCAGCACTAGATGTAGCCATGGATACACCAGTTTTAGTCTGAAATTATGGTATGGTATAATAATTGTTATTGATTTAAGCCTGAAATAAATATGTTTTATGATTATTACCTATCATTCAGTGAACTTGTACAAGAATGGCTAATCATCACAGGGTGAATGACGCCTTAAATATGCAACAAGAATAACCTCCAACCCATCATCTATCAGGTATATGCAAAAGAATCCGATTTAGTTAAAACTCAAATGATTTAACAGTGTAAACAAAGTTTATGGAACACACTTAATATTACTAATAATAGCAGTCCCCCTCGCCCCATTTTCCTAGATATATATATACAGTAATAATTACTTACTGGACGTAATGGAACAAATACTGGTACACCACCTGCTACTTTCACCATTGGGTCATAACAGTCAAAAAATGGTTCTATTATAATCACCTGTAAATATAACATCCATTAAAGCAGGAAATTTCCACATACGCATATATCAAATGAAGAAATTAGTTTTATTCAGGGAAATATATGTTAAAGAGGCATTATGTAAGAATTGGATAAAGAGCTGACCATTCTTGCTATAATAGTTAAAATAGATAATGAAAAATAAATATATTGAAAATTTCCGTCGCATTACTTTATTCTGATCAAAGTTATGAATGTTAGAAATTTTGACAAGAAATATACTAAATAGTCTTGATTGACAAGTACCATTACTACAATAATAATCAAAGTCTCAATTTTCCTGAGGTCTACAGAGTTGATTTTGAGCTTGTCAGGTGAATAAATGTCTAAATAATAATTTATTTAATATTTGAAGCTAGAAAAAAGACTTGTGATTGGCAGATTTAGCTTTTGCATAATACATCTTTATTAAATATAACTTTAAAAACATGGGAATTATAAATTATTTAATACATTAAACTTAAACTTTAGAAACATTACCTCATCTCCATCATTAATCATTCCTTGTAACGAACAAAACAAGGAACCATAAGCACCAACCGATATCAATATTTCTGACATAGGGTCTATCTTTCTTTCCATAATTGGAGAATATACATCGGCTATTGCATTCACTAATCGAGGATGTCCCTATAATTAATTAACAAATATACATTGATTCAACTAATTAATTTAATAGTCCATTATCTTTCACTAATCAAGAGTGTTGCTATAATCCATCAATATACACATCAAATCAATTAAAGCTACGTTCCCAGGAAAGTATTTATCAGGTGGTTATTTCCAATAAAAGTATGGTAATTTTGGTATATATGGAAAGTAGAAATATCCAATCTTACTAGAAAAATACTGGATTCGGCGAAAAACACTCCTGGAGCGCATATAGGACAAAAATGTAAGGGTTTCCCTAATCCTCAGCCGGACAATTAGGAGTGTCTGCACGCGGAGATTGAACGCTTGATGTACATTTTGATAAACTTTATGAAGAATTAGACTACAACACTTTCTAAGATAAAAATAATGGAAAAGACGCAGGCAGTGGATAATTCGAAAATTTAATTAGGCTTCGATATTTGTAATAAATAGTCAGCGATTAAAGACAACATCGTCTTGTGTATGCAATGAATTTTCCTCTGACTTGCTTGCGTTGCTAGGTACCGAGAGAGGTAAGTCACGTGACACAAACATGACCTCTTTTGATCGATTTTTTATTCACCGACAATTGCAATGTATTGAGAAGGATTTGAAGCAAAATTATGATAAATTAATTAGTTTGAATATGTTTTGAGTACAAATATATCATCAAATCACCCAATTTGTACCCGGGAATGTTTCTTTAATTAAATATTCCATTATCTTTCGATGTCCCAATGATTAATCAACATATTCTTCAAATCAATTAATTAATTAATTATTTAAATGTTCCATTTTCATTCACTAACCGAGGATGTCTCTGTACACCAAACCAATTTTAATATTCTATTATCTTCCACTAATCAAGAACGTCAATATATATAATCAACAAAAACATCAAATCAATTAATATTCCACTATCCTTTATTTCTCAAATGCTTCTGAAGTATATCTGGTAAGATATCTAACAACTATGACAAGAGCATCGCTAACGCTGCAATATACGTCCACATTCCAGCTTTGATTGATATGGTACTTTTTAAAATGAAGAGAATGAAATATGAAATGGCTGTAATATGATCAGAGGCAAAGAAGGCTAGGCGTCTGGTTTGTTTTGCCAAATTTACAGAAATGAAATGAAATGGGGTTTAACGTCCTACTGTTCTGCTCCTATACTGGGCTAATGAAGACGGGCATACGCCATACAGTGTGCTATGAGGGAAATTTTGCCCGGGCAGCGGCACTATCGCCTACTCTTATATCGAATTCCAACTGCCAAGGGATCTTTTACGTGCATTCTAATGTATACACGGGACCTCGGTTTTTCGTCTCATCCGAAGGACTGGACAGCTGTCCTTGTCAGGCCCTCCGTTCTGCACCACTGACAAGGGGAAACCACGTCGGAAAATCCAGATGAACTTTCTCGGCCAATGCAGGGATCGAACACCCGACCTCCAGGCTAGCGAGCCAGCGTCTTAACCACCCAGCCACCCCAAATTTACAGACAAAATACTAACAATAAAGTGGGTGTGACACTGCCCCAAGAGGTCGGGGCAAGTATCAAAATAAATAGTTGCTGTCTTTATGGTATAAGGAATAAATATGCAAAGTTCCAAGATGATCCATTCAGAATTGCAGCCTGTAGACGATAAATACAAAAATTGGGCATGGCTCTGCCCATGGGGGTTGGATATGGAAACAATATAAATAGTTGCCGTCCTTAGGGTATAAGGAATAAGTACTCCAAGTTCCAAGATAATCCATTCAGAATTGTGGCCTTTGGGCGTTAAAGGGAAAATTGGGCGTTGCTCTGCCCCTGGGCATTGGGGCATTCACCAAAATCAATAGTTGATGCCCTTAGGCTATAAGGAATACATATGCCAAATACCAAGTTGATCCATCCAGAATTTGGGCCTGTAAACGATAAACATAAAAATTGGGCATGGCTCTGCCCCTGGGGGTCGTGACATGCAGTTGTCGTCCTTAGGCTATAAGGAAAACATATCCCAAGTTCAAAGAAATCCATTAAGAATCGTGGCCTGTAGGCAACTCACAGAGACACAAAGAAAAAATGGGTGTGGCTCTGCCCCTGGGGGTTGGGCAATCACCAAAAAAATAGAGGTCAGCCTTAGGGTATAACGTATAAGTATAAAAAAGTTTTCAAGATGATCGATTAAGCATTGCAGGCTGTAAGTGACATACAGACACACAAAAAGAAAATGGGTGTGGCTCTGTCCCTGGGCATTCACCACAAACAATAGGGATGTTCCTTAGGATAGAAGGAGTATGCATGCAAAGTTTCAAGGTGATACGTTATGAAATGTGGTCTGTAGATAACAAACAATGAATACAAGAAATGGGCGTGGCTCTGCCACTGGGGGTCGGGCATGCACCAAAAACAATAGGATCATCCTTAGGGTATAAGGAATTCATATGAAATTTTTTCAAGACGATCGATTAAGAATTGTGGCCTGTAGGCGACAGACACACAAAAAGAAAATGGGCTTGGCTCTGCCCCTGGGGGTTGGGCATGCACCCCAAACGATAGGGGTGTTCCTTAGGGTACAAAGAATAAGTATGCAAAGTTTCAATATGATGCGTTAAGAAATGCGGCCTGTAGACGACAAACAAACAAATACAAGAAATGGGCGTGGCTCTGCCCCTGGGGATCGGGCATGCACCAAAAACAATAGGGATCATCCTTAGGGTATAAGGAATAAGTATGTAAAGATTCAAGATGATAACTTAAGAATTGTGGCCTGTAGGCGACACACAGACACACAAAAAGAAAATGGGCGTGGCTCTGCCCCTGGGGGTTGGGCATGTACCCCAAACGATAGGGATGTTCCTTAGGGTACAAAGAATGTGTATGCAAGATTATAAGTTAAGAAATGTGGCCTGTAGACGACAAACAAACAAATACTAGAAATGGGCGTGGCTCTGCCCCTGGGGGTCGGGCATGCACCAAAAACAATAGGGATCTTCCTTGGGGTATAAGGAATAAGTATACCAAGTTTGAAGAAAATCCAGTAAGAATTGCGCCCTGTAGGCGACACAAAGACACACGAAAAGAAAATGGGCGTGGCTCTGCCCCTGGGGGTTGGGCATGCACCCCAAACGATAGGGATGTTCCTTAGGGTACAAAGAATGTGTATGCAAAGTTTCAAGATTATTAGTTAAGAAATGTGGCCTGTAGACGACAAACAAACAAATACTAGAAATGGGCGTGGCTCTGCCCCGGGGGGTCGGGCATGCACCAAAAACAATAGGGATCTTCCTTGGGGTATAAGGAATAAGTATACCAAGTTTGAAGAAAATCCATGAAGAATTGCGCCCTGTAGGCGAACCACAGACACACACACACACACACACACACACATACATACATACACACACACACACACACAGACAGGGGCGACGGCATAATACGTTCACATTATGAATGTGGACGTATAAAAATCAATCAATTCCACAAGAAAACCTATCTACCGTAATAACCAAAACCGTATGGGTTCTTGTTTTTTTCCAGAATGAGACTAATTGTGTTATATTAAAATACAATTCTAACGCATAAGTTGATGGTGGCAATCTGTGTTTATATATTCACAGCATTTGAAATATGTGGATTTAAAGTATGTTTTAAAAACAATCCTGTTTTAGTTAAAGCAAGTAAATATCTTTGCTTATAACAAGTTACTAAAGCAACTTGTGACTATTCCGAACAGTTTTCATAATCATAACTGAAGGAGCAGTAATTCACCAGTTCAGAGAATTTAAAATTTATGTCGGGTTTCCGGGTTTTACCCAATAAATCTATTAAATATAAAGTATACTTACATAACCTCTAGTATACTGATTCATCAGATAATTGCCATTCGCTGCAGCATCTTTTAGGGCATCTAATAAAAACTGAGGAGGCTGAAAGTCTGGAAAGCCCTGCAAATCAAAAATAGAAAGAACTGAAGACTGGTCAAAATGTAATCGGGTTAAAACACCAGTGCAATCAAAACAGCAAGCAACATTAAACAAGCCCTGACATGGAATCCCCAAAACAAGGAAAGCTGAGGCCATCGGCAGAATGCCGTGCATGAGGATCTGACATCAGAGAGACAGAAAGTAATTGAAGAATAAGACCCAGGATGGAATAATTACATATTTCGGACACCTAATTGTATAAAAGCATTCCATATTTATGTTTCATAATGTGCAAAATTTAGAAACACGTTAAAAATTACCTGTCCCAAGTTTAAGGCATTATGTTCAAGAGCCAATTTAGAAAACTCCACCCTTAAACAGAAACAATTGAAATCATTACTACATATAGATGTAAGTGCATTGCAGTATAATACATAATACAATAACATATTACCAGTATTTTCACAAGTTCAAAACAAATGATTGCTGGTCATCAGTACCATATGCAATAATTGAGGAAGTTTCATAATGGATGTTTCAAAACACATACTCGAATCATTTGAATATAGGCATATGAGGTTGTTTGACTTTGAGGGGGCACAGGTTTGGCTAGTTACTTTAGTATCGGTGTCTGATAGAGGCTAGCCTCTAACCTCTATCAGAAAAAGAGAGAGGGAGAGAGAAATGGGGTTTAACGTCCGCTCGACACAAACTAGGGCATTTCTGGACTAACATATGGTTTATTTTTATTTCAATAATTTGCTTGTGCATAGGGGTCTTTAGCAGTGAGAGGAAACCGGAGGACCCGGAGAAAACCCACGAGGTTGGACAGGCAACCCTACTCCTTGTCACGTACAACCTGGAATTCGAAACCACGCCAGTTGACTCAATGACAGGCCTTATGATACAGCACGCACGTGATAACCATTCAGTCATCCAACCCCCCAACCTTCATCAGACATTGTTACTAAAGTAACCTTACTTACAGTGTTTCGTTTGATTAGACATAATCCCACTCAAAGAGGGATTTCTCGGGCCATTGCTTCAGGAATATGCATGTTTGGGTGTCTGAATTTCTTTATTTTTGCCCGAATACATCAATAAGTTTCATTGAAAGAGATAATTATTGATAATTTTAGTGAGAGTCTTTTTTATTACCATAGATAGGAATATTAGTCTTAAACTGAATTTGACATGACCCCGCCCCCAACGTTCAAAAAGAGTGGAATAGACAAAGGGCAATGATACTGCCCCCTTCACCCCTCCAGTCCAGAATTTTAAACATTATAATGATGCTAATTACCATAAACTCTTTTGTGATTCTAATAAACGCCTAGATATACCATGTTTACTGGATGCCATTCTCTAAAATCAACAATAAACAAAATTATGTCATAATAAACATTTCAACCTCATTAACATACAAATAATGGTAGCTTTTTCTGTCTATTTTCAGATTTCAGAAATTGATTATCTTCAAAGCAGTACCATATATAATGTTCCTTTATTTACGAATTTTAGTCTATTTCAATAGCTAATATTATTGATTTCCTTGAGACAAAATTACATTTGTTTTAATTAACATAATAATGCACCAAAATATCTGTTAAAATATCCATGAAGAATTATTTGAATTTGAATACTTATGAAAGTACTATTAGAGACAGATACTCAGACTAAATTATCTTTTATAAGACTCAAGGACAGACACTGATGTAAACTAATGACAATAACACAAAATTATTGTGTGGGCAGATTTTAAAAAGTATTGAAAACACAAAATATGAAAATAACTGCCTTCAGATATAACGATACATTAGTTAAGAATTTAATAAAGAGTTAGCCATTCTTGCTATAACAGTTCAAAAATAGATGATGAAAAAAGAAAATATTGAAAATTTCAGTCAAATTACTTTATTCTGAAGAACGTTATTACTATTGGTAGTTTTGACTAGAAATAGGCATCAACTGTCTCTGCACTTTCTCCGAGAATTGCCGATCGTTTGATTGACAGACGATAACTCAACCCACATATTATCGATTATCAAGTAACATTTTCAATGGTTACAGTACCCTCGATTGTCGGTCCTTTTCTTCGGCAGTCTCCACGAATGAGTGACATCAGTGATTAACAGTAAATGTTAGTTTTGTTAGCCATTCATTGATTTAATTATTAAATGGACAACTGTTCAAATCCAAATTATAATCTGTATCCAAGACGTCCGAGGGTCTGCAGCATTGATTTTGAGCTTGTCATGTAAATAAAGGTCTAATAAATAATTTCTGTAACATTTGAAGCCTAAAGTAAGATTTGCAAGAGGCAGATTTAGCTATCAACTAATGTATCTTTAAGATTTCGTTTTGAAGCAAAATTCTGACATTTGGCTAATATATCGGTGTACTTATATTATATTAAACAAGTATATAGTTAGTCTATAACAAAAAATTGAATATTTATTAAACAGTTTTAATAATTAATTAGAATTAGTTAGAGAAAGGAAAGACGTTACGTTTTTTATTACTCAGTTATACACATCTCTCTGTATAAATACCAATGTTCATGTATACTCATTTTCTAGTAATTTTGAACAGATCAAAATCTGTTCAAAATTACTAGAAAATGAGTTTAATAAAAGTTCTTGACCCAAATTTGATCAAATTTATATTGTTGCATCATGCCTGATGATGTGTCACATGTAATATTTGGATTTTGGCTTTACAACAAAAAAGTCAAGTTCTCTGCCAGTTGCTAACTGTTCTTGCTCATCTTATAACAGCTGATTTTAAATAACAATATTTTTTAAAAGGATTTATGTATTTTTTAAATGGAAGCTATTTAGATTCATTAAAGTCTCTGAAAATCATTTGAGGGATTCTCAGTCCATTTTGAAAGTTTTAACTCTAAAGGAACATCAAAAAATCCCTTTTGCTATTTACAAAGACATGATGAATTGAAAATTTTGTAACACGCGGCATCCTGTACAGACAATATAATCTGGATATGATCAAAACAGACATATCGGTAACCAAAACAGTCAAAATTCACATCAGTCAAAACAACCTACAATGTGGTATGTCCAATTTCACACAATTATTGACCTGCTATGGTCTAACACATATCACAGACCTTATAATAGCCTATATAAAGAAGTCACCACCATCTGTAAGTTTTGGTGAGCCTCTTTTTAATTTGATTCAATCCATGCCCGGGAAATATCTTCTACTGCCGATATTTTGTTTTTGATGCCTTAATTAAATGTTACATAATCAATGAGTACATTTTAGCATTCAGTTGTCGAATATTTGATATTTCCCAAAAATTGCAAATCATGGCTTAAAAAATGTCTTGTTACTTACAATAACCTTTACACAAGATTACCACAACCAAGCTAATTCCAGTCTTATATGAAATGGACACTAATCAACATAAAGTATATATTCACCAACAAGATCTGGCCTACTTAAAATATTGCAAACCATCTGTTGCAATCATAGATGGAGTCAATTTTAAATATGATTTAAAACATCAATAAACTTTAAACAAACATAGTTTGCCAGTTAAAAGGTATAATGACAATTACCTATTCCAAGAATAGTCATGGTAATACTGGGAAGGTAAAGATGTATAATTCCTTGTTCATGAATTGTTCTATGATTATTAAAAACTTGAAAACCTGTAAGCTTTCCATTATGCATTACTTTGAAATTTGATATTGAGTTCTACCTGTGTAAGGGTTTGAATATTGCTCTACGTGTAATTAATACAAAATACTGATTACAATTTACATGAGATAAACTTTATCATATACTGGTATAGTAATGTAAACTAAGATGACCAACAGTTTCTTACTGTACTAATACTACCAAATATTTTGTAAGGCTTTATAAAAAAACAACCTAATATATTTGTCATATTGAGACTAACATAAAGTGTATTTCTATGGTTATGTGCGAGGAGATTTTGACTGGACAGCAGCATTTTTCCTATTCTTCTTTGAATATTTAATACCAATTTGTAATGTACATGGAATCTTGTTTTTTTACCATCTGGCATGACTAAGACACACTATTGAACCATTGACATTCTAGCAGGGAGTCTATTGACTCTGTTATCCCAATCTGCCTAGTAATATTTCAATCCCCATCTGTCCTATTCAATATATTTTGTACTTATTACTTAGGAAGGCATCTAGGTGAAGTTATAATAACAAGAACATAAATGAACAATTTTACAGGTTATAATTATTTAGAAAAATACCTTTAAAACTAGAACTACAATACCAAATGGAATCAATATGTTAATATTTGAAATCCTTTGGTCATATACCTCCAAGACAAGAACCTATGTAGAGCATACAGTCTTCAAGATGAGATACTGTATGTAGTATAATTTACTATAAGTATGAAGTAACATGTACTACCTATGATAAATTGTATGATAAAAATAGATTAAACTTTAAACTGTTATTCTGATTAAGAGACAAGTTTATATTAATTTAAAGTAATTTCTTGTATAGTTATTCGGCACTACATAAGGTAATGAATCAGCTATGATGTCACATTCATGTTTGAACCAATGTTATGAAATTTTTATAATGAAAAGAATTTGGTGCTGTAAGATAAATTGTGCAATTATTATAGTAATTAATGAACTGAAAATCGAACCATATATTATATATATATATTCAAAAGTTTGTCACCATCTGTGTCCATCCACCCAAACAAATTATAATCCTATTTTAATGAAACCTAGCATGTAGCTTTGTATCCGCAGGCCAAGTTGGTGCAGAAAAGTAATATGTTAAACCTAATGTTATTTCTATCCACGAGCTATCTGATAAGTGAAAAGTTCAACAAGATTTGTTAATTTTCTGCGGAATTATTTCCCATAACTAAGTCAAAAATTTTGAGTCAACATTTTTGATGAGATTTTAATAAAAATTGATGAATGGCTACAAGACTTCCATTTGAGAAGATTCTGTAAAGTTAGAATCTGGGGTAATTGGTCAATTATATGCCTGAACTTGAAAATTGAAGAATGGAAAAGTCTGATTTCTCAATTTTGTCCTTGAAAATACTGGAAATGAAATCGATATGATGACACAACACAATCTACAGTTATTATCCCATTTTGATTAAATTGCAATTTTTGTGTTAACAGATGTGCCTTCAATAAGAAATGGAATGTTATGGAGTTTAACATATCATCACAATATTTCAGTCATTTTGAGAGTAACAGATGTTTATTTTGTGCCAAGGGGGGCATCAAATGGACACAAAACCAGAACCAACTTTTCTATAGTATAATTTTGCATAGAATGCGATGCTGAGGGGAGTCCAGCCATGAAACTATTCAATTGTTTTTTTGCACAACTAGTTTCATTATGTATAGCAAACGTTAAAACTAAATTGGAGAGATTTTGATTTGACAGTTTTTCCATATTTTTGAAATAGGTTTCAAAGTGTTTTGGTTCTGTTATGCAAGATCTTTTTCGATGTTCCAAAGTAAAGATCGGTGCTAAGACCACCTAAAGATAAATTTTAAATATTCCTATTATTAATTAGAACAGGTTTCGCTTTAGTTTTTATATTTTACGTTGACATTTTATTGTTTCAAATCTTCCTAGTGCAAAAACGGAAAACTTGACCTTTTGACACCCCCCGCTGCACTGAGCCAGACTAATAGGAAATAGTCCTATAAATCGTAAACTGTACATGGATTAAATTATTATAATTAACACACACTAGATTATCCCATTCCTATTAGATAAGACTACTTATTAAGAGAACTATGCTCCAAGATGTCATATCAATATTATGGTAAACCATAATTAATTAAACCATAGAAAGGTAATAAGATCTTGACAGACCATAGTGACAATCCAATGCCCAGAATGTCTTTACCTCCACTACTGAAGTCCCACTGGCATTTTCATCAGATAAGTAAGCTTATGTTAAATTAGGAACACACAAAGCAAAGATAGGTTGCCAGGCAACGAAACATACGCCCACAGCAGCTAAATCGTCCGGGCAGTCAACAAGTGTTGTCGCATATTTTTACTTCTTTCGGTAATGAAACATTTATAATACACTAAAATCTGATTAAGAGTAACAACTCATGAAGTAATTATCAGAAAACCATTAGAATTTGTTTGGTTTTTATAAAGTTCTGCCCCATGCTAACGTTTAGTATACAAAAACTTTTAATATCATGGATTTAGCTGTTTAAGTCATAAAAATTCATTGAAAATCATATACTTGTTCGTCTCAAGCTCTTAAACTCTGTGTATCAATCTGAAGTCAACTCTGGCAGTAATTATCGGAAATCGCTGAAAATCAATAGGCTTCTTCATTTCATGACCTTAAACACTGTGTATAAATTTAAAGTCCATCGGATATTAACTTTGGCCTTTAGAGCGTCCACAAGATTTTTTGAAGTGATCAAGGGCCATAACTCTGGCAGTAATTAACGAAAATCGCTGAAAATGAATAGACTTCTTTTGTCTCATGACCTTAAACACTGTGTATAAATTTAAAGTCAATCGGATATTAACTTTAGCCTCTAGAGTGTCCACAAGATTTTTCAAAGTGATCAAGGGCCATAACTCTGGCAGTAATTATCGGACATCGCTGAAAATCAATAGGCTTCTTCGTTTCATGGCCTTAAACACTGTATATAAATTTAAAGTCAATCTGATATTAACTTTAGCCTCTAGAGCGTCCACAAGCAATAAATTGTGGACGCCAGATCGCCGGACGGGGGCGATGACAACATACAACCACATTTCAATGTGGGCGTATAAAAACCATGTAACTAAAACCACAAAACTTCCCACTATTCAAATTAACCCTTTTCTAAAGAACATTAAACTATCTTTCATGCAATAGACTGATTAATCAATCAGCGAAAATAAAGATAAAAGCAAAAACTACTAGACACAAATCAAATTTTAATGGTTTAAACTTACTTTTTGACAAATCTGTGGTTTACATGAAATTATGACAGAAGCAGAAACAGGCAAGATTGTTGTTTGGAGGCTTGAAAGATTTTTGTTTGTTTGTAACAAAATTCTTCTAAACATTCTGTCAAACTACAATTTTATAATAAAATATAAATCTTAGTATTAATGCAGAATAACAAAAGAAAATACTGCAGAGAGAAATGGATTGTTTCATCCACTAGGTCATTTTGGGACTAACATATGGTTTTAATCGCTTGCACGTAGGGTCTCGCGGTGGGAGGAAACCTAATCACCTATGAGGTTGAACAGGTGACCCTACTCTTCCTCACGTATAAGTGGAGAATCGAAACAGCGCCACTTAATTCAATGACAGGCCTTAACCCTTGCCGGTGCACGTGGGGTCTCTGTGGACCCCATGCACATGTTTTATAGTGTTTTGTAATAACTACTGGGCATTGCTTTCTGAAATTTAGTGACTTTGTCTCCTATACATTTTTACACGTAGCGAAGAGTTCGGTATTCATCTGCTTCCCACATGCAGAGTTCTGTTAGAGAGAAATGGGGTTGGTCACTTCAAGACAAAATATGGTTCAATTTTATTTCCAAAATTTGCTTGCACATAGCAGTCTTTAGCAGTGGGGGAAACTGGAGTACCTGGAGAAAATCTGCAGGGTTGGACAGGCGACCCTCTCCTTGTCACGTAGCCTACAAGCTGGAGTGGAATCGAAATCACACCACTTGACTTTATGACAGAAATTAAACACTAGACCATCCAACCGATTCCACCACCCTTCCCCAACTATTCTTTTAGTCAGTCAATTATTCTACTTAATTAATTTGGACAATGAATGTCATATCATATGTCCTTGTACTTAAAGTTTAAGTTGCATCAAGTTACTTAACACATGTAGGTCTACATGTTTCATGCACCTATTTCTTGTGACCCATTCAGTATCTAAATACTATCCATAAATTGACAACCTCCATGATTTTGGTTGCTGATCATGGACTAAGAATACGATATTTGTTGGTTTATACTCTGAACTCCAAGGAATCGCGGAGTAGGTAAGATTACTTTAAAGGAGCTAAAAAAAAAAAATAATCGCTAGTATTTGGGAACTAGAAATTGACAGAAAAGGGTCGCACACATATATAATAATGTACTGTAATATGAATGTATATAAACTGATTTACATTCAATCGTTTCTGTTTTTACTGTAATTTCTAATCAGTTATGTTCGGCAAAATCCACCAGAAGTCTCAATCGAATGGTAATCTCTGACGTCTACACCGATAGTATTTATTGTGCATGCTCTCCAGATAAAAATATGGCGTCATAGTTTGACATGACTTGTGGAATATGTCTAGCCTCGTTCTTTGAGTTCCTTGTTACAAATGGCGCTGAAACGCATTATGATTAACATGATGCCTTTATCATGTACACGATTTGTGTAGGCACTGTAGGCCCTACAAGTAGCCTACCAATGGTAAAATGTTTATTTTGTTTTAAATATTGATATCAGAAGCCCATCTTTTCCCATCACAACATCAATGTTGATTTAAATTGACAAATAATTCGTGTTTTCAATGTCGAAGACTTTGGATGATACTGAGTTAGAGACTTAGCTACTTTAAATTTAGGCTACAGTAAAGTTGGCAACTGAGTTGGGCAACAGAACAGGCACTGGTCCAATCTGTTACACATAGAATTACGAGTAGTAATATCTCTGTCAAAGATGACTGCCTTAACACGTGCCGTCACAGCACGCAGGGTCAATCATTGGCTGAATGGCATGTGCATTGTTTACATAAGACGTTACTGCTTCGGGCGGAATGCTGCCTTTTAGTCATTTTAATACCCATTTACACTAAATAGGAAATAATTTTTACCTACAAATACGTCAAACGCCTTTATTTATTTTCCCAATACATAAAAAAAATGTTTTAGAATTTAATTTGTCGCAGGAAAAAAGTTAATATTTCTGGCTCATTAATTAACACGCATCTTTTTCTGTACTATAGGGGCAATGTGAATATGGTACCCTAATAAAAACAAGTCCACAAAAAATTAGTATGGACTGACTTTTTTTTTTCAAATTAGTGCTGAGGTGGAAGTTGACCACCCACTTTATCAGACAGGGTCAAAATTAGAAGGTTGCTATTAAACCATAGAATGCAATCTGTGCTTAAAAAGGGTGATAAAATAATACGTGAAAACCACAATTTCACCCATAAAATGACTATTTCCAGTACAGTCCTTTTTAGCGACATCAGTTTGTAACCACTTCAGCGTGTCACTTCTTGCCCCTAGGGGGTGTCATACCATAAGTTTGATCAAAAACTTCTGTCCGCCCCTCGCCCTCCCATCATCTTACTCTTAGTACTTTTTGCGATTTTTGCCTGGTCTTCTTGGGGATACACTCTTAACACAAAGTTTGTATACCATTACGAAACGTTGTACACCCTGCCATTTGTTATTTCTAAGACTTTTTTGGGCGTTTGTTTATGTTTAAAGGAGCTAAGTCGCTAATATTTGGGAGCTAGAAATTGACACAAATGGGTCGCAACGCACACAATAATGTAATATGAATGTATATAAATTGATTTACATTCAATCGTTTTTGTTTTTACTGTAATTTCTAATCAGTTAGGTTCGGCGAAATACGCCAGTATTCTCAATCGAATTTCAATCTCTAGCGTCTGGTTTTTCCAGTCTACGCCGATAGTATTTATTGGGCATGCTCTCCAGATAAGAATATAGCGTCACCGTTTGACATGACTTGTGGAATATGCCCAGCCTCGTTTTTTGAGTCTCTTATTACAAATAGCGCAATACCAATTGTAAAATGTTTATTTTGTCTTAAATATTGGATATCAGAAGGCCATCTTTTCCCGGTAAGATTACAACATCAATGTTGAATTAAAGCGAGAAATATTTCTGGCTCATTAAGTCGCATCGATGTCATCCTTATCGATCGATCAGTGATTGTAGTGGCCTAGCGAAAATTCACTGCTGATCGGTGTGCACGCAACAGTTTTGACAATAATAATAATATTTATAAGAATTTTAGCATGTTTTGTAAATATACCGTGCGCTGGGAACAAGCTATAATTCGTATCGAAATGTCTGATAGTATTTACCTTACTGTTGACCTATTCTTTTTCTGTAATTTAAAAAGTTTAATAATGGAATGTAATTTTAAAGACGTGTATCCTAAAATGACCTTTGACCTTGACCTTCATCAAACAACATCGTAGACTCGTCGTAACAGGGTACAGATCACAATTTCACTATATCATCTCCTCGTCCGGTTTTGCCTTCATCCCAAAATTTAGGTTTAATGCTTTCTACCACAGATGGAGCAAACGGGCAAGTCTTCCACAAAAAAAACACATACACGATTCACCACGGTTATGTCGTTGAGATAGCTTACGCAAACTGAAAGTAGCAGGCTTATTTTTAAACGTGATACTGATAGAAGGTACTACCATCAGATAATTCATTCAATCATCGATAGATAACTCAATTCAATAATAGCAAGGAAACCCCATATTATTACTTTGCTCTGTTCGCCCCCCCCCCCTCCACCATATCTATTTATTTGTTTTGTTCTTTTCTATAAACATTATTTTATTTAATTTTAGAATTGGGAACAGGCAAATAAATACTTGATAGTTCTTAATATCTTCACCAGAAACAACGCCTAACTCGTGATTAAACGAAGTCTAATTTATGCATGGTTGAATCGGAAGATAATAATAATAATAGAGTCAAATATTTCTAAAATAGTAAAAGCTACTGGTGCGGCTCTGGAGATCTGCTCCGAACATCACACTTCTCACAGATTAAAACCGCTCTTATTTTAAAGTAGCTAAGTCTCTAACTCAATATCATCCAAAATCTTCGACATTGAAAACACGATTTATTTCTCGCTTTAATTCAACATTGATGTTGTGATCTTACCGGGAAAAGATGGCCTTCTGATATCCAATATTTAAGACAAAATAAACATTTTACAATTGATATTGCGCTATTTGTAATAAGAGACTCGAAAAACGAGGCTGGGCATATCCACAAGTCATGTCAAACGGTGACGCTATATTCTTATCTGGAGAGCATGCCCAATAAATACTATCGGCGTAGACTGGAAAAACCAGACGCTAGAGATTGAAATTCGATTGAGAATACTGGCGTATTTCGCCGAACCTAACTGATTAGAAATTACAGTAAAAACAAAAACGATTGAATGTAAATCAATTTATATACATTCATTTTACATTATTGTGTGCGTTGCGACCCATTTGTGTCAATTTCTAGCTCCCAAATATTAGCGACTTAGCTCCTTTAAACATAAACAAACGCCCAAAAAAGTCTTAGAAATAACAAATGGCAGCATGGGTGTACAACGTTTCGTAATCGTATACAAACTTTGTGTTAAGAGTGTATCCCCGAGAAGACCAGGCAAAAATCGCAAAAAGTACTAAGAGTAAGATGATGGGAGGGCGAGGGGCGGACGGAAGTTTTTGATCAAACTTATGGTATGACACCCCCTAGGGGCAAGAAGTGACACGCTGCAAGTGGTTACAAACTGATGTCGCTAAAAAGGACTGTACTGGAAATAGTCATTTTATGGGTGAAATTGTGGTTTTCACGTATTATTTTATCACCCTTTTTAAGCACAGATTGCATTCTATGGTTTAATAGCAACCTTCTAATTTTGACCCTGTCTGATAAAGCGGGTGGTCAACTTCCACCTCAGCACTAATTTGAAAAAAAAAAGTCAGTCCATACTAATTTTTTGTGGACTTGTTTTAGGGTACCATATTCACATTGCCCCTATAGCACAGAAAAAGATGCGTGTTAATGAGCCATAAATATTAACTTTTTTCCTGCGACAAATTAAATTCTAAAACATTTTTTTTATGAATTGGAAAAATAAATAAAGGCGTTTGACGTATTTGTAGGTAAAAATTATTTCCTATTTAGTGTAAATGGGTATTAAAATGACTAAAAGGCAGCACTCTGGCCGAAGCAGTAACGTCTTATGTAAACAATGCACGCGCCATTCAGCCATTCAGCTGTGACGGCACGTGTTAAGGCAGTCATCTTTGACAGAGATATTACTAGACTCGTAATTCTCTGTGAAACAGATTGACTTAAAATATACAGCTTATTTACAAGTCCTACTGTTCTGCTCCGACTGGGCTAATGAAGACGGGCATGCATACAGTGTTCTATGAGAGGAATTTTGCCCGGGCAGTGGCACTATGGCCTACTCTTATATCGAATTCCAACTGCCAAGGGATCTTTTACGTGTATGCCAATGTATACACGGAAGCTCCTTTTTTTGTCCCATCCGAACGACGGCAGCTGTCCTTGCCAGACCCTCCGTCCTGCACCACTGATAAGGGGAAAGCACGTCGGAAAATTCCGATGAACTTTCTCGGCCATAAGCGATCTCCAGGCTAGCGAGCCAGCGTCTTACCCACCTAAGGCTTCAGGACCTGATAATATTAGTGGTAAACTTTTAAAAACAATTTCAGCACCGATTTCTAATCCACTCTATTATATTTCCAGTCTATATCTCAAAAGCCTTAAATTTCCCTCAATATTGAAAATTGCAAATGTTTCAGAGATTCACAAAAAAAGGAAATAAGGAAATAAATCTGAATGTTGTAATTATCGACCTATTTCGTGGCTATGTAGTTTATCAAAAATCTTTCGGGAAAACGCAAACTAACAAAGTTTCAAAGCGGCTTTATGCGTGGAGATTCAACTATCCATCAACTGATTGACATCACTTCTTTCTTTCAGCAATTGATAAAGGCGGCCATACAAGAATGCTGTTCTGTGACATCAGTACAGTTTTTGACAGAGTCTGGCACGCTGGACTATGTCAGAAGCTTGGCGCCTCTGGTTTCAGAGGTGACCTACTCCACTGGTTTTTTAGAAGCTATCTATATGCAACAGACAACAAATGGTGGTACTGAGTAGTGTTCACAGGGCTTCGTTCTTGGACCTTTACTCTTTTTAATATACATAAACGATATTATCAAAAACATAGTCAATTAATATAAAACTATTTGATGACGATACGTCACTTTATATATCAATCGAAGATCCAACCGAATGCGCGAGTATTTTAAATTCAGATATTGAGAGAATAAATGAATGGTCAAAGAAATGGTTGGTATCTTTTTATCCCCTTAAAACGGAAACTCTCACAATTAACCTCACCATGTTATAGTGTCGGTACAAATTAAAGAAGTAAACGAACATAAACATCTTGGTCTTTTCTTCCAGTCTAACGGCAAATGGGATTCGCATGTAAATTCAATCAGTAAAAAAGTATATAAACTATTGCCGAACTTCTCTCTTCTATTATTCGTTCTTTCCCTCTGCAGTCAGGCTCTGAAATTATTTATCCGATGTTGTTAAACATGTACCTTCTCTTAGTTTTTTCAAAAAACATCTTTCTAAATCTGATACTTTACTTCCAACCTTTTGAACTCTAGAAAACATCAAATAATTCATTCAAAACTCCGCCTTAATAAGAGCGATTTAAACGGTCACAAATTTCTCAGACTCATCAAAATCCTTCTTGTAATTGTGGGCATCCATTTGAAGACAGATATCATACTTGTTAATTTGCCCCTTGTATTTGGATGAATGGCGGATAACAATTAATACTCTGGATCTTCCGAACTTAGGCTACTAATGCTACCAACTACTCAATATTTTCAATAATTCATAGTTTCATAGAAATTACAAAACGATTTTAATTGGTTTAAATTATTATTTTATTTATTTATCCCCCCCCCCCTTAAATTTCACTATTATTATTATTGCTATTATTATTAGCCCACTTTGAATGCATGTGCAATTGATTGATTGATTGAATGTACATGTAGTTGTATTATATTGTAAATATACAAATGTACATATTTCTGTGTACATGTGAAAAGGGATTATATAGGCTTTGCCCGTTCCCAAATCCTAAAACTGAATAGTCCGATTGGCTGACTAAACAATGGGGGGGGGATTATCTAGTGGTTTTACGCTTGCGCGTGAAATCACAATTTCTATCATTGAGTCAATTATCGTGATTTCGATTTCCAGCTTGTACGTGACAAGGAAAGGGTAGTCTAACCAACCCCGTGGGTTTTCTCCGGGTACTCTGGTTTCGACCCCACTGCTAAAGACCCTTTCGCGCAAGCGAATTTTTGAAGTAAACTTGAACCATATGCCTTTCGCGGCTGTAAGCTTAATTCACTGGTAACATGTGTAATTTCAATGGACATCACTAGGCATTTCCCCTCCCCCCCCCCCCCCCCGCTGGCTACGCCTGGGCGGGGGCGCCAGATATCGACATTTTGGAGGTTCAATGGACAACTTGAACATGAAACAAAATGAGTTAAACTGTACCAGGCAGTTGTTTGGACTTGGTTTCACCCATTTTAACTTTACGGAATCGCATTAAATCCCTTACCTAAATTTCAGTTTTTGTCTTTCTTGGCTGGTTCCGCGAAGTCAGTTCAGGAAGATGGAATACCTTCCAGGGCGTATAATGGCTAATATATCTGGTCAATGCACTAGCAACAAAATCAAATTGGATTGTTGCGATACTTTTTTCTCTGCAAATATAGCTACCACGGGTTTCCCATTTTCAATTATATTTTTAACTTCCAAAATGTCATTATATAAACGATATTGGTCATATTTAACTTCCAAAATGTCAATTAAGAACGCATCCACGAGGGGACTAGAAATTGTTGTTTTGGGGCAAAATTTGACATATTTCGACCAATTTTTTTAACCCAATTTCAACACGCTCCTATACCCGAAATGTTGTGTCTCTAAATTTTTATACGACCACATTTTCATGTGGACGTATATTGTCGTCGCCCACAATTGTTTGTGGACACTCTACAGGTCACAATTCTTATCCGATTTCAACAAAACTTGAAATATAGGTTTATCTCCCTACGAATTCGGTTCCTTTCAATATCCGCACATATCGGACCGTAACTTCCTAAATTATGGCCCCTGATTGAACGGAAAATCACGTTTTAAGGTTGTGGACCCTATAGAGGTTATAATTTTTATCCGATTTCAAAAACAGTTTGAATATATCACCGTTACACCCTAGGGATGATTGAATTCGAATTTCGTAAAAATCGGACCAAAACTGACAGACAAAATGGCCGCCCATCGTACTCAAATAGCGTAAAAATATGATATATGAAGGTTGTGGACTCTCTAGAGGTCACAATTTTCTTCTGATTTTGATGAAACTTGAAATGTAAGTTTATAACCCAAAGATCTTGGTTCCTTTCGATATTTGGGCATACGGATCGTAACTTCCTGAATTATGGCCCCTGATTGTATGAAAAATCGCGTTTTTAGCTTGAGGTCCCTCTAGAGGTCACAATTATTATCCGATTTAAGAAAACGTTTGAATCACCTTTACACCCTAAGGATGGTTGAGTTCGAATTTCGTAAAAATCAGACCAAAACTGACAGACCAAATTGCCGCCCTTCGTACTCAAATAGCGTAAAAATATGGTATTTGAATGTTGTGGACCCTCTAGAGGTCACAATTTTCTTATGATCTTGATGAAACTTGAAATGTAAGTTTAAAACCCAAAGATCTTGGTTCCTTTCGATATTCGCTCATATCGGATCGTAACTTCCTGACCTGATTGTACAAAAAATCGCGTTTTTAGCTTCAGTTCTCTCTAGAGGTCACAATTTTATTCCGATTTAAAAAAAACCGTTTGAATATATCACCGTTAGGCCTACATCTTAATGACGGTTGAGTTTGAATTTCGTGAAAATCGGACCAAAACTGCAGGAAAAAATGGCCGCCCCTCAAGCGCAAACAGTATAAAAATATGGTATATCAAGGTTGTGAACCCTCTAGAGCTCACAATTTTGATCCAATTTTGATGAAACTTGAAGTTCATTTTTATAAGCCAAAGATCTTGGTTGCTGTTGATATTGGGGCATATCGGATCATAACTTCCTGAATTATGGCCCCTGATAGTACAAAAAATCGCTTTTTGTTTAGCTTGTTCTCTATATATCTCTTGAAAATGTGGTCGTATCCTGCCTGGTAGCTGCTGGCTAATATTGGTAGGGTATGGTAGGTCTAGTTGTCGTCTTAAAATCCTGCAGTCGTGTACAGTTTTAAAAACTATGAAATCCTAAAACGTATGTAAATCTGCTTCTTTGCAGTGGTTGTGGAGGGCATTTCTCAAAGTAAATGGCAGAAGTAAAAAAACAAGAACAAAAAAAACCAGACCGTAACGCAACCCACTAAAGCACTGCAATATTCTGAAAATGTGTAAATTCCTCTTTTCACGGATAACCGACTACTACCTTCAAGAGTTCAAATGACCGTTGATTATCAACATTAGTATCATATTTTGTTACCTGGATGTTGTGCCAAATATGCTATCTTGGTTAAAAATCATGAAGTTTTTGTGACAAAATCGGACGTTAGCCGTCATCGTAGGAAGGAGCGTAACTGGTATATAATTTTGCCGGATCAAGCAACGATTATTCTCATCTGTGTTCAGTAGTTAGTAGCACGGAAGTGCATAAATGTATGAGTTGGCATTGCAAGCATTTATATTAGTACAATTTAACCAAAGCAGCGCCTTTTCAGCACATAAATGTCTGGGCTGGCATGGCAAGCTTTCATATTAGCACAATGTAACCAAAGCAGCGCCTTTTCAGCAGTGACCAATGATTATCTTCAAAAGACTATTGATCATCACCATTACTTCTAATATTTCGTTATTTGAACGTGCCTCGTGTCAAATAGATCATTTTTTTTAAAATCATAATATTTTGTGACAAAAGTGACTTTCACGCTCGCTTGATAGCCATGGGGAAGGGTCATAAGTCATGTATAATTTTGCAGGTATCAGACCACGGTTATTACGACCTTTATTCAGGAGCAGATCATCGTATAGATTTATTAAGTGTTCAAGTAGGGACATTTAATGTCTGGTATTGAAATCTCTGAAGGGGAAGATGACATAGATCACAACAGGATTTATGGCACTCCAGGATAATGTTGACCGCATCTGCCAACCTCCTATGCATATACCTACGTTCGAGCAGAAGTGCGTAGCCTACTTAGATTCCTATGTTCGAGTGTAAATGCTCTCCGGCATTCCTTCAAGTTTTTGGACCCCAGAGTACTGTTTTATTTTGTAATACTGTTTTTGGCCTATGCCCTCTTCTCCTTCTGGGATTGAAATATTAAATTATCATAGCCTCCCGATTACCAAAGCCTCTCCATGAAAACTTCCAAATGTTTCTATATTAAATGATCGGCTTCTTAATACAGATGGGAATAAGCTAGTCTAATTCCTAAAATATTTTTGATCTAAATAACCTATTTGGCACCAGTAACGGTGGTAGAAAAGGTGTTACCCAGCGGGTGACTGGGGACATGAACCCACTAATCCTATATATGCTTCTTGTGTAGTCATCTTGCTGTTCGTGTGACTATGACTTGATGGCATTGGATCATCTACAATCACCTCGTCCTTAAAACCTGTTACAAGAGCGAACATGTACATCCCTCAGAAACACTTCAAGTCTTCAAGCCACGGGCGACTAACAGTTTGTGATCACGGACTTAGCTGATATGGTTCTCTACCACAATCGTGTATCATATTTCACCTTTGATTTATTCTGTGTAAATTGCATTAGACATTCATTCACTTGTCCCTGGTCTAACACATATGCTTTAGATCATAAGGTATGTCATTGAGTTAATTAGTGGTGTGATAGCATGCAGGTGACATGGTGTGGTGTTGTTTGTCCAACCTCATGGATTTTCTCTTTTCGCACAAGCGTATTATTGAAGTAAAATTGTACCCATTTCCCTCTCTTAATTCAAAATCACCCTAGTTATAAAAATATAACGACTGAATGGAATATATTAACTTTGTAATGATTTCCAAAGATATGCATTACCATAATTATGTTAGTCTCAAAATGACCTAGTTTGTGCCCAGTCGACTCTAAATCTCATTTTACTCTGTTCCTCTCATGTCTAAATCATCCTTGCTAATTATTAAATGGAATATATTAAATTTGTAAAGATGTCCCTACATATACTTCATCAGGGGTATTGATAAACGGAACATTTTATCCTACTTTTTGGTGTTTTTAATTTATTTCTCCTGTTTTATTATGCCTGTTCCGGTCATTTTTATTTTTTATTTTGTTAGTAGGAAGGTTGCTGGTTGTGGTAACATTCAACTTTGGTCCCTGCAAAGAACGAGCTATAACATCTCAAACATTGGTTTTCATTAAATTCAATTTTTAGAGAGAGTTAATACGGCCAGTACCAAAGTGCAATTAGCAGTAGAAACTTTAAACTCGGTGTGTAGGAGGAACCTGGGTGGCCCTATTAATGCCCAAAATTTTGTCTGTCCAAATCAATTATTGCCGAGTAGCAGATCATGCAAATTTGGTTCCAAAATTGCCTATTTTTCTATTTAAAAATATTTTTCCAATTTTCCGGGTCAATCTTATATTTTGTGGGGATGTATCTGGGTACTAACCCATCTCACAGAAAAAATTTGGTCCAAATCCCTGAAGTGAGCCATGGGTTAAAAAATCACCCCCGTATGGTGCTCTCGCAGGAAACGTACTATTATTAAGTCGGAATCTGACTGAACAAAGCTACAAATCATCTATAAAATATACTTCTCATTGCAATCAATGCAGAAAAGTTTGTTTGACAAGAGAAATGGATCAAAGGGGACCAGTCCACTTTCTTAACAACAACAGTGTTCAGCTATAAGGACGAATCCATTAGATGGGTAGCATTCATCGATTAACTGGGTTACAACTTCACCTTCTTAGCGTAGTATATTCGCTTCACTGTTGTAGCCCCGTAATGCTAATTTTGGCAACAAACAAATTCAACCAATAGCTAGTTGGTGACGCTTTTGGCATTCCCTGGGTTGATTTTATAAGGCGGGTGTCCATTGGTCATATGCAAGGATATATTTATTAGCAGCGTTGTGATTGGATAGTTTTGTGCGACGTACATGTAATTTATTTACCGCTATTTGGTATCGCGTCGGTTAGCGTCCTTTATCGTACAAAGTTGCTGATCTGCAAAGAAAGGAGAAACACAGGGTGAGTTGTAGTATTACGTAACTCCTCTTTGTTTACTTTACTTAGTTTAAATCACCTGTATGGACATGCGTTCCTTCAAAAATTTGCATTCACCTGGATACATATTTTGATTTGTGGATAAAAAAAAAAATAAATTTCGGGTTGTTCACAATGAACTCCACTTGCGCCCGCCATTTTCTTCACTGTTACACGATTTTGGAATTAACATAAACTGCACAAACTTGAGATTATTCCAACCCTTCCAATATGCAATTAATTACAGTACTTAGTAGCGCATAATGTTACGTAATTGTTGACTGATATTACGCGGAATTGGTGGTCAGTCAGTGTACATAGCAGGGATATAATTTCGCAAACGGACTATATAATCAATCTGTCACAAGCACTATCGTAATCTAAATTTCCTGTTGTCAAATTGGTAAACTAAATGTTCAAAATTCCCGGTATATATATATTAACACATATTTTACATGAAGTATCCGTATATTCTGTAGATGAATACGTTATCTATGTAACGATATAAACCATGGTTATTAGATGATACATACACACCCAGTGACTATAGCTAATATGTCGTGTATGTCATACGACTCACTCATAGACATTCCCGATTTGATATACAACACCGTTACATTTTAGAGCGTGTTATTTCAATAAAGTTGCCAATAATTCACACTTTTTAAAACTGTATGTCTGTAGTTGACTTTCTTTTTAAAATATTAATGTTTTTGAAGATGTCTGTTGAAAACAACCTAAGGTTACATACATGTATTTGATTCATTAACACATTGAGTCATTGAGATGCCCTCTTATTAAATTATAAAGCTATAACAATAAATACTGTGCACACACTTTCTTTGTAAACAATAATCATAACTACCTCCAATAAGATTAAGTAAGGTCTTCCAATTGCCACCATATACTACCTTATTATGATAACAAAAAATAATGACAGAATATCTGACTAAAGTATAAATTAAAATGTGGAATTCTGTCTCTTTTTTGTTGTTTGAGGGGTATTTAGGTGGAATGTATAGACATTCAGTGCTCAATACACTAGACATTTTACGCAGGGTATTGGTGTTTATTTTTTCACCTGTATGTGCTTGAACAGGGAATAGCAAATTAATAAAAAAAAAATTTTTTCAGATTTATTTTCATTATGGCAGCTAAACGAAAGACCAAGACAGAGAAGCCCTCAGCTGATAGTGCTGATGCTGCTGCTGCCCCTGCCCCTTCAGCAAGTAAGTTATCAATAATCTTAAAATACCACTAACCCTATATATTTTCCTTCTATCTTCATATGGATGTAATTAACTGGCATAACAACAATTTCCCAGAGGTGCTGAACAGATATATTTAGTAATGATGGTTATTATTTTTTAAAAGTCTAATAAATTATTCACAAATAAAAGCTAAGTGCACAGGATTCTATGGTTATGATTGAATTTCAAGGAACAAATCTCCCATAAATTGTAGTTGTGTAAACAATGTTTAGTACTTCCATGTAATGTGAACCTTTTAAAGAGTCTTTACAAACTGTTTTACTTTGCTAGGCAAACCCAAAGCCAAAAAGGCTCCCAAAAGGAAAGGTGTTAAAAAAGGTAAGTAGTATATACATGTAATTAGTGTTTTGGAGGGGGTAACCAAAAAGATTTCTAGGGTGATTAAAACTACTCTATTTATTTTTTGTTGTGTCTGATAATATACATGTTATATAGGTACGTTGTATTTAACAGATACAGGTCCACTATTGCTGCATATATTGTAGTCTTTAACCCACATTGGCAGTGCTTGACTACCACAGTTATTGTTCTGGATGAAATATCTCAAATTTTGTTCATGTATAAGCACCGACAGTGTGGTTGTTCTGTAAAAATGCACATATTATGAATAATGAACAATATTGTCTTGATCCATCAGTTCACAATCCATTATTAACCCTCCGATGCTAGATGATGGTCATTTTTTGTTTGTTCTTACAACCATTCTTGAGACTGATAAGGCATTCCCTTTCTTGTGTATATGGTACTGTACACGATTACTGCTTTTCTGTATTGGATAATTATTCACTGTAAAATATGAATTTTTTGTAAATACACCAAAATAGTTTACAATCTATTGATTTATCAAAAATTCTTTGTTTCTATTTTTAGGAGGAGTTAAAAAAGCCAAGAAAGGAGGTGCTAAAAAAAAGAAATAGACTTAATAGGTTTTAACTCGGGGAGCAATACGCAACTCAGGCCGTATGGAATCTCTACCATATATAGTGTTAATTATAGAGACAATTTAAATATTTACTCATCAATGTGGTTTTTTTTAAAAATCTGATCTATATTTTAAGTCACCACGAACATCATTTGTATTTTATTTATTGAACATCTTTTAAATGATTTAAATACATCATGTTTACTTATTTATTTTAATATTAAACTATCATATTACTGATGTTCATTGCACCCTCTTTTCTTCTAGAATATAGATTATATGTTTTATATTTATCGTGTAGAAAAAAAAATCACAATCATTTTTTTTGTACTAAAAAATAAAACAGCTCTAAAAAAATAATTTCTTTTTAACTTTTACCTTAATATGGATGTATATTGCAACCTATGTCTGTCAATCTGTCCAAATTTTCTTGTGAAATGAAATGGCGTTGAACAGTCAAATTTTCTATTGAAGATGCCCCAAAGTCATTGTGTCCGAAGCAGGCCCCTTTTGGAATTTAGAATATATGGTTCAAAATACTCTTTTCTAAAATAATTATCACATTACATGTAATTAACAACACTGATTAGCCTACAGTATAATTACATACACTGTTTATTTCAAGTCCAACAAAACCATTGATTTATGTGGTAAAGATGATGCAGTACTTTATTTTGTTATATTGAAATTAATATGACTGGTAACATTTTGCATCTTGTTGATTTATTGGATATTGTGAAAACCCTGAAATTCTGTTATAAATGTATAAGGTTTTGCTGCATGCGACTGAAGCTGCAGACGTTTTACCTTTTCAGCCTTTGGTCTTATTTACTGTTACCAGAGATAGGGCTGTGTATTGCTATCAGCCCCATCCATCGTTGTTGACAGTTTCATGTAAAACTCCACATTTATCATGTGATATTTTTAATGTATACTGTAGTGAGTAGCCTTTTGAATTTCAACAATTTGTTAATTTGGGGTGGTCGAAAATGAAATGAAATGGGGGTTAATGTCCTCCTGTTCTTCACCGACTGACATTTTAGGGAACAAGGAATAGTCAATATTATGTACTCAGTGCTAAAATAACAAGACAACAGTGACGATTGATGTCCCCCGCCGAAATCCCAAAATAAACAGATGACACATTAATTAATTGCACATTTATTTTCTTCAAAAGTATCGAGCAATCAAACTGGTTATCTATGCTTAGTCTAAGCATAAAATGTTCATGATCAAACTCAGTCAAGGTTTTGAAGTACCTGGTAGTGAAACTATACACTAAGTTTCATCTTTCTCCATCTGTTGGAATCAAAGTTATCTTGTCCCAAAGCATCGACCAATAAAAATTGCTTAGATTTAGAGGGAAATAGTAATCATTGAACTTGGTCAAGACATTCGCCTAATGAACATCTATCTATACCTCAGTTGTTATGTTCCAAAGTCTTGACCATCAAATTGCTAATCGCTACTTAGCCTAAGCAGAAATTTCTCATCACCGAACTTAGTAAATATATCGATATAATGAATGTATACTCAGAGTTTCATCAGTCTCAGCCAATTAGAACCATATGTTATCGTGTTCAAAAATCTCAACCAATCGAAATGCTTATCAATGCTTCGCCTTTGTGAAAAATGTGCATGATCAAGGCATTCATCTAACAGACACCTACACCAATTTTGAACATTCTACCTCATTTAGTAGAGTTTTTGTGTTCCAAAGTTTCAACCAATGAGATTGAAGTCTTTACTTTGCCTAAGCAGAAAATGCTTAGCATCAAACTTTATGGTATTGATGTAATGAATTAGAACTAAAGTTACTGCATAAACATTGTGACGTCTCGAGTGTCCACAAGCTAAAAACGTGGTTTTACATACAATCCAAAAAGTTACGGTCTGGTACATGCCAGTATTGAAAGGAACCAAGATCTTTGGGATATAAACCCATATTTCAAGCTTCATCAAAATGCCTATGGGATAAAAATATTGATTGGACGGACAGGGGCGACAACAATATACATCCACATGAAAATGTTGGCTATAAAAAATTAGTGCATACATCTCAATAATAACCTAATTGACTTAAATGTATAGTCTCCATTTGTTTATATAATTTTAAGCAACATAATCAAAGGGCTGGGAGTATGCAGTCTATGCATTCTTTTATTAGAAATTTTCTAGCCGATAATCTGTTTGCATTTTACGGAATAATCGACTTCAGTGATACAGAAATGAAATGAAATGGGGTTTAACGTCCTACTCCGACTGGGCTAATGAAGACGGGCATACACCATACAGTTTTCTATGAGGAAAATTTTGCCCGGGACCTCGGTTTTTCGTACCATCTGAACAACTAGACAGCTGTCCTTTTCATACCCTCTGTCCTGCATCACGGACAAGGGGAAACCACGCCGGAAAATCTGGACAACTTTCTCGGCCAATGCAGGGATCAAACACCCTGACAAGGGGAAACCACGTCGGAAAATCATGATGAACTTTCTTGGCCAATGCAGGGAATGAACATGTGACTTCCAGACTAGTGAGTCAGCATCTTACCTACTTAGCCACCGTGCTCCCCCCGGTGATACATAAAGACTTCGGTCCATCTGTGACTTCACAATCCGGTCCCCACCGACTATATATAGGCTACAGCCTACTCTTATATCGAATTCCAATGTCAGAAAATCTGGATGAAGTTTCTCGGCCAATGCAGGGATCGAACACCCGACCTCCAGGCTAGCGAGCCAGCGTCTTACCCACAACCATATTCTGAATTAGATTGAATAAGAACAAAACTAGTAGCTTACTGGAAGGGAGGAATCTGGGAAGGTTGTTCGCAACTGTTGAAAATAAGAAAGGTATGAAATTTATTTTAAAATGTATCTGTGTTCCACCCTTAGCGACAACTTTTGTGGACTGCACAGGGACTAAACTGATGTGGGCTAATGTTTTGTTGCATAGCAAGTTGCCATTGGCAACCTATATTTGGTATAAATTGCAAATGTTTTGCATCAAAAACCCATTAATATTTAATACAATTCAACATACTGCTCTGTTAGTAAGTTACAATGTTAATATCTAGTAATAATGTAATCTTTCCATTCAGTTTTGATCCTCAAAGTCACACACAGATTTTCAATCTACCAGATCCAAATCATATTTTTCATAAAGATCCTGGCACCTTACTCCTTCTAGATTGGCTGTAAACAGAAAATATTAATATTCTAGATAAATCTTCAAAGTTGAACTAGATCTATATATGTTCCTACTGGTCAGTGGTTCCCAACCTTTGTTGGATGCAACCCTATTCCAGAAACCATCATCTGATGACAACCCCTCCAAGAACTAAGTCCCTATTTACTATGAAACATCATTATTACTTACAGATCAAAATGATGCAATGAATGACTTTAGAAAACAAATTGTGGGCATGAGAGAGGAAAGACGATTCGCAATGTGACAAGAGGTGTATAGACGGGACCTTAGTATTTCATCCCATACGGACAACTAGATGCTGTTTCTTGCTAGGCCCTCCATCCTGCACAACTGACCAGGTGAAACCACTCTAGAAAATCATGAGGATCAAACCCAGGAACTCCATTTTAGCAAGTCACCACCTTACCCACTGAGCCCCTGTGGCTCCCCTCAAATAAATGGTCAGCCATTATTTAGAACAAAATGTCTTTAATATTATTTACATGTCATGAAAACCTAAACGATCATAAGCAGGCACAGATTTAAGGTGGGAGGGAGTTTGGGATTGTGAATGGCACCCTAGATTTGGAACAGCCCCCCCCCCCCCTATTCACAGCATCTAGATCTGTTACTCATATGATAAGCTTACCTATTCTTCCTAATATCATCTGTCCTACATCTTTAATCTCATTGTATTCATGTAATTTATCTATGTGAAGTTTTAATTCTTCTTCACTACATCCTCTAAAATATAGATTGAAATAAAATTATTCAAGATTTATATCTGATATCATTTAAAACTTGAATAAATAAATTATGGCGATCTTTTTTCAGCAATTATAACAATACTTACAAATTGTTCTGTTGTATGATTGTATACTGATAATTAGTACTGGACAATGGGTAACTCCTTAAATGAGTATTGTGACTAGGGCTGGCAATCGATACCTATTTTGAATATCGATATCGGCAACCATTTCGGCGATATCGATATCTATAAATTGAAGTTGAAAGAAATAACTGTTTGCATGCTAATAATGCATTTAAATGTGTTATTGATCAAATAAAAAAACAAACTATGATCCTCAAACTATGTTTTCTTAATGTTTGTTTCGTTGACAGCTTATCAGAAGTATTATGAACAAAATAGTAATCGGGCCACTAAGAAAATACGAAAAACCATGTGATCCCAATTGAGTATTCACAGGTGTCTACTAAGAAGTTTATAGCTGTGTATTTCCTTATTTAGTTCGAGTCATTCGATGTGTCTATGACTAGTCTCTGTCTATGGCTGTATGCCGTCTGACTTACCATGTTTTTATACTGCAAAATTCAAATATTTTTCATATATATTTAGCCAGGTGTGCCGCTATTTTTTCTTGTGTTCCAAGGTGTGCCGTTGGCAAAAAAGGTTGAGAACCACTGGTCTAGTGTGCCTGTTTTTAGTTTTAGCGTGTTTTGAATGATGATATGACGGCGATTATTTGACACAAAACATTCTGTTATTTCATTTTATTGAAGCTCCTTTATTTTTTATACGAGTATCGATATCAAGAACTAAATATCGATATCGATATTTTTCCGTAGTCGCCAACGATTATCGGCTATATCGATATTTTTCACAAGCCCTAATTGTGAACTTGTTAGGCAAATGTAGCGAGCACTTCCAAATGGCTCAATATACAGAACTGATAGTTCTGTATATTTGGGCTATATTTCATCAAAGGGTACTTTTTGAAATGTGATACTGTACCATTAACATTCAGGATGTCACAATAATTTGCCATTTTATGCTGACATCTGTTAGATTAGGTGTATATTTTGTGCTTTTTTTGATAAAGATGGACTATCATCCGAAAATAATATAAACCTAATTGCTACTTACTCAGCTTTGTGTAAGTTTATTTGATGATTGACCCCTGTCAATTTCTCTTTTAATTCTTTTATATTTTCTGTGATATTTTCTGCTGATGACGCTGACTTTTTGTCACATTTTCCCTGTGTATAGAAGAGATCGAGAATATAAATAAATTGGAGTGGATCAAATAACACACTATTTATGGATAACAATTACTGTGGTTTATTTCACTGCGACGTTTCAACAAGATTTCACAAGTCGTTATCAAGCATATAACACAAATAAATAAAATGAAAACAAAATAGCTATATATATATACACGAGCAGTGCGAACCCTCCAATGGGATGCAAAATCAGCAAGCATGAAATGAGGTCACTGTCCCTACATCTCATTAAAAAGGTAACACTGTTGCATGTACGTATATACTTATCTTCACACTTACATATTTGGTTAATAAGGTTGACAGCCACATCTCCATATTGATGTCTAATATATTCTTTAAATGGCATTTAGTAATTGGAACATAATCAAATAACACACTATTTATGGATAACAATTACTGTGGTTTATTTCACTGCGACGTTTCAACAAGATTTCACAAGTCGTTAAAGAATAAATTGGAGTGGAATCGTCTGTGATGTAATACCTTGTTGAGACATTTCTTAGGTAATTTTGAGACTAACAAAAAGCAATATCTTGGTTTTCAGTGGTGCAATGCAAGGGCAGCATTTCAGGTACTATTTTTCAATTTGAATCTGTCAAAATTTTGGGTGCTAAATTTCCAGAATAAACATGGTTATTGTCACAAAATCGTATACACATGTGTCACCAGACCCCGAACCAAGCAAAATGTGGTAGCCCTCAATTAAATGCCTTTAAAATACTGACCTGTACTGGGGATTTAAAATTCCCACAAGGTGATTTAAAATTGTTCATGTCTTCATACCAAAAGGTCTCAATTCTATTTTACAGGCTGTCTGTAATATAATAAAAGAAGTTATAGAAAACAAAATTGGACTTCATGACATACTAAATATATATGTCAACTATGATTTTATAATGTATATTACAACTAATAAATAGCACATTCCATAAATATGATTATTCTGTCTAATGATATTTATAAGTTTGTGTGATCAAATAACTACATGTATTTAATAAACAGAACAGTCACCATGACACACTGAGCAGCAGTGAATATTCACTAGGTGACTACAATCACTGATCGAGAGGGATAACATCATGGTGGGTTAATTAGCTCGCCATAATATTAACTTTTTTCCATCTGCAAATTAAATTCTAGAACATTTTTTTTTAACTTTTAAGTATTAATAAAATAAATAAAGGTGTTTGAAGTATATTGAGAGAGAGAGAGAGAGAGAGAGAGAGAAATTGGGTTTAACGTTCACTCGACACAAACTAGGTCATTTCGGGACTAACACATGGTTCAATTTTATTTCAATAATTCGCTTGCGCGTAGGGGTCTTAATACTCTTTAGCAGTGGGAGGAAACAGGAGGACCCAGGGGAAAAACCATAAGGTTGGACAGACAACCCTACCGGGGAATCAAAACCACGCCAGTTGACTCAATGACAGACAGTATGATACAGCGCGCACGTTCTAACCATTCGGACATTCAATCCCCCGTATATCTAAATAAACAAACCAACAGTGAGGCTGATGTCCCCCATTGAAATCCTAAAATAAATAGATGACACATTAATTAATTGCACATTTATTTTTTTTCCAAAAGTATAAGCAATCAAACTGATGATCAACTATACACTAAGTTTCATCGACCAATGAAATTGCTTATCTCTGCTTAGCTTTAGCTCTAAATGTTAATTATTGAACTCAGTCATGCAATTCACCTAATGAACAACTACATCAAGTTTAAACGTTCTACCGGTACCTCAATTAAAAGCAGAGTTGTTATGTTCCAAGGTCTTGACCAATCAAATTGCTTATAGCTCCTTAGCCTAAGCAGAAAATTCTCATCATCGAACTTAGTCAAGGTAATGATATAATGAATCTATACTCGGTAGTTTCATCACTCTCAATTAGAACTAAAGTTATCGTGTCCCAAGGCATCAACCAATCAAATTGCTTATCTCGCCTTACCCTAAGCAGAAAATGTTCATCTTCGAACTCCATCAAGGCATTGACCTAATAAACACCTATTCCAAGTTTGAACATTCTAGCTCAATTAGAAGGAGAGTTATTGTGTCCCAAAAAGTGTGTCGGACAGACAGGTGGACGGACAGACACACGGACGAACCCATTTTAATAGTCCCCCCAATAATACAAATATTAATTTGATTAGCAGAAAGTTATCAAATTTAAGGGAATCTGCGAATCAAGTTTCCTGTCCTAAATTAAATATACAAGCTTGATAATTATTCACAAAACAATAATTTTTATCTGTAACCATTTCCCTTGTAAGAATTGACCACGTGTTCCCCTCTGCCAACCTATTTGCCATCACACAACATTTTAATCATTTTCCATTCACTGAACAATAATACGAAAAATGTATCCAGTCGAATCCCGCACTGTTATTAGCTATACACATCAGTTTAATTTGTATTCGTTTTAACAAACTACTATTATTAATATTATTAATGTTATCATATTCTGTAAATTTCATGGATATCGGTTGATAATTGCGGTCTGCAGTCGTGCCACATAAAATATGTGGTAACGGTAACCTGATATCTCAAAAATTGCTAACCAGAAATGACCGAAAGTTTGCCTACTCTGAGATATTATAAATGTTATTATAATCTGCAAGTTTCATCGAAATCAGTTGGTAATTGCTGCCTGCAGTCGTGCCATATGTAATGTGTGGCAATCAGATGTCTCGGAAACTGCAATCCCGGAAGTGGTCGAAATTTTGGCTTCTCTGAGATATTATTAATGTTATCGTGATTTGTAAGTTTCATTGAAATTGATTGATAATTGCGGTACAGAGACTTACCACATGTGGCAAATAGTCCCTGAATGTGGCAAATCCCAGCCTATAAAAAAAAACGAACGTAATTTCTAAAGTTAAATATTACTGCTATTCAGAATCGTCAACAATAGATTTTTTTACGGCTGTAATGGGCTATTTAAAAGATGTGTTGGGAATTTCACCAGACCCGCCCAGTTTGCTGGCTGCGGAGGGGCAGTGAAGTTTTTAGGTAGGGGACAGTCTGTATACAGTAGGTATTTTAGAGCTATGGTCGGCAATTACTATTAGAATTTATACTTATAGACTCATAGTCATAGAATCTTGCCAGAAATCACTTCGAAGACAAGTCACTGAAGCGTGCACATTCGCCGTGTGGAGCTCAACTTTAATTTCAGTAGGGAAATCTTAGCAAAATTAACGGTAGAAAAAAGGCGGGAAAGTCATAGATAATTCCTGCAACTTACACTTACAGTAGCCTACACACTAGTTATGTTATGAGGATGGCTATGACTTCAAACCCAACCTCAACAATTATTATCAGTGGTTTTTGTATATCATATTTCTGGTTAGTTTGCCTTGACCCGACTAATTTGAACCTGGTTCAAGATAAAACAACTGATATTGATATTTTATCCGGCATCTTCTTTCGCCACTTCGAAAAGAGTGCGGAGGTATCAAATACCAAGGGAGACAACATGAATTTACTAAAACTTCAGACTCGTTGATCGAGATGTTGGCTGTGTTGGGATCATACTATTTATAACTCTATGGTTGGGTTCAAAGGGTAAACTTTTTTTTTTGTTGTCACATGACAATTAAGACTAACGTTATATAATTAATGATATTATATATCATAATATAGTATACAGTCCTCTGGCTACATAACAATAAGATGGTTGACGGTCGAATGAAGTAGAATATCTTGTTCTTTGGTAACATTATAACAAAACCACATCAGATTTCTTTCTACGTACTTAGTACTTAGTAGTTATACTTCTATTTTTATAACTAAGAAGGTACTACTACACTAGGCTGCAGATTTTCGCACAGCTTCCTGGAATCTTGGAAGAGCATAGATGATAGAGAGAGACGGAAACTGTATGTAAAGATCCGAGATAAGAAAACTATTAAAATCGTTTTAGGTAGGTTAAATTATTTTCCGCTTACATAAATTTAGATAAGTGATATATCTATAGCCCCAACCATTTAACTGGAAATTAGATTCAGAATAGTAGATTGTTTTGTGGCCCAGAAAAATATTGAAATTGGTTAAGACAGTGGTTATAATACCTTTTTTGTCAAGAAAAACAATTAAAAGCTATTATAAATTGTATGATCATATTATATTCGTGTCTGATACATGTTTTTAAGAAAAACAAAATAAAATATGTGCATTTTACCTGATAACGCTTGATCAACAAAGCTGTAGACGAAATGACATTCACTTCTAATTAACACAATCATAATCAAATTATAAATACAAGTTATAATCAATACACAATAATTTTTTCAATACAAAGAAATACAAATTACAATATTATACAATAATTGTGAATACAAAGAAATTGAAATTAAATTGTTTATAATGATCCTATAGAAAGAGTTTTAAACCTAGTGTAACCTACAAAAAGTACTTCTTATCTGAAAGAGAAGCCTAATATTTTGTGGCAGTACTCCTTTTTTGCCAAGTATATTGCAAATCAATGTATTCTGCATTCCCATCGGAGTGAAATTCATACTGAGGACACTGTCAGCATAGCGTACCAAAACGGACACAATTTTTAACTAATGAAATTTGTATGTTCCTTCTAACAGTGCTCATTCGGTTTTATTTTGGGTAGGGGGTTGGATGGCTGAATGGTTAGCATGCGCGTGCGCTGTATCATAAAGTCTGTCATTGAGTCGACTGGCGTGGTTTCGAATCCCCGGTTGTACGTGACAAGGAGTAGGGTCGCCTGTCCAACCTCGTGGGTTTACTCCGGGTCCTCCGGTTTCCTCCCACTGCTAAAGACCCCTACGTGCAAGCGAATTATTGATATAAAATTAAACCATATGTTAGTCCCGAAATGACCTAGTTTGTGTCAAGTGGACGTTAAACCCCATTTCTCTCTCTCTCTCTTTATTTTGGGTTAGATTGTAGGTCTGTCTGTGACTTTTGGAGATTGATGAAACATGGTGTATATAGTTTAATTACATCAATATCTGGACTAAAGTAAATTCGATAATGTGAATTTTCTGTTTAAAGTGATAAACGATTCAATTGCTAGATGCAATATAAAAAAATAAATGTGCAAGAAGGTAATGAGTGTCATCTATTTGTTATTATGGTTGGCAGTGGAGGGGGGGGGGGCATCAGTTGCACTGTTTGGCTTGTTTTGTAATGGAAATGTTATCTGATGGTCTTCTTCTTCTATTAGTGTTTAACATCCGTTACCACCAAGGATGATATCACAGACAAGTTTTCTTTTCTGTGGGAGGAAATCTGAGTAACCTGAGAACCTGGAGTTAACCCACAAGGTTGAGAAGGCTCGAAGTGAACACGCTTGACAACCAGGCCATCCCAACGCCCCATCTGACGGTCAGAGCAATGGTCAATTTATGTAGAGTATATTTTATGCTATGCAATACACATATCGTCGCTGCGCTTCCAAAACCTCGTATTTCGGATTTAGCCAAAAACCTTTTTGGGGCTTATTACATTCACATTTCATTTATACATGTCCTTTCAAAACCTCGGACCTCTAAACCAATTAGAAATGCTTATTTTTAGCTTGTGACTAATTGTCGTATTTCGATTGGACAAAAAATATTTTCGTCAAAACCTGGTATCTCAAGACCACGTTGAAACGACGTCAATAGAAGCCTGCATTTGTTTAATACGGTAAGTTTTTGTGATATTTAAACTCTATAAATCAACATCAAGAAATAACATTAATATTTTATATATAATTAAGTTACCTAGATGTGATTTAGTAGCAATTGGAGTTAATTTTAGGTATGTAATGTAGATATTTTGTCAGCTCAGCTAATATTGCCTAGAAAATTAGTCATTTTATTCCCACATTGACAAATAAACAACAACGTAGTACATTAAGGCCTTTTATATTTTAATTAAACTATTACAGTGTCTATTGTATTCGCCAACACTTCCAAATTTGAGATACGACATTTTGGAATAAAACATTTGGAAAAATATTTTACGACATACAATATTTTTACGTAATTTAATATTTACATTTAAGAATAAAAAGAAGATTTTAGAGATGTCTCAACGGCCTTTACTACCATTTTCTCGGGGGAAAATGATTCTTAAACTTGCTAATGCCAATTCCAACAACATAGGTTCGTCTTTAGAAAGACCACGAATAGCTAATAAATCACATGCAGGTAATATAAACAGAAATGGTAAACAACAGAACATAATCAACAACCACAACAAACCAGCCCATTTACTAAGTTCAAATTTAGATGAAAATTCTGGATCAAACATTATTGAAAATTCTTTCAAAACATCACCTCTGGTAACCGATGATAATGCTCAAACCATTGTTAGTTTAGAAGATATTGAGGTCGAAGAGGATATTGGTGAAATTAGTATATCTGATATAGGAGATATTGGTATAGACTCAATTATAACCAGCATAATTGAAGCACCGCCTGAAAACGTAACCGCAACCATAGAGTTAGATTATTCTGCAAATGATAAAGTTGTCTCCAAACCGAGTACTAGTACATGTAGTACACAAAATATTAAACAATGCCACAAGAGCAATCCTGCAACTGATCTTACTGATGTGTATATTGAGCCGGATATAATTATTAAACAACCAATGGTAAACAGGGGTGGACTAATAGAAGAAATGGATCTTGATGACTCCGTGAAAGATCCGGATTGGCAACCTAACTCTGGCACAGAAGAGGATGAAGATGGAAACAGTGATGATATACATGTAAGAACTGGCGAGAAGTGACGTACTTCAGATGATAAGAGTTTTTACTGGAAGAAAAAGGTTAACAAGCGTTTAAGGATGGAAGAAAGAAGTATAAAGGATAAACTGAAGTAGATGGGCGAGAAACTTGGACGGAAAGGTAATGAAATAAGTGAAGAATTAAGAGAGGGGTTTTTCAAGGGTTTTTGGAATGATATGAATTGGGAAGAGAAAAGGGTCTATGTATGTGGATTGGTTGAAAGGGGAGAGGTAAAGGAAAGAAAGACCGAGGGGGAGAGCCGACGACAAAGTTCATTTAAATATTATTTGAAATATAATAATCAACGATATCAAGTGTGCAAATCCATGTTTTTGAGCACACTCTGTCTTGGAGAAAAGACTGTTTACCAGTGGAAGGCGGACTGTAATGAGTATGGAATACCAGCCAAATTTCCAGACAACGCAATTTCAAAACCAGCACGTTCTACACTAAAGCCAAAGGGTGATACTGCCAGAGATTTTCTCAAGGACATCCCTAAACTACCGTCCCATTACTGTAGATCAACAAGCACCAAACTTTATTTGGAACCCACATTTTCAACAAGAGCCGATATATATAAGGTGTATAGAACCTATTGTGAATCCAATAACAAAACAGTTTGTGGCCGTAAATTATTCTTTCAGGTTTTTGACGAAATGAATTTGTCATTATATGTACCCAAGAAAGATCAGTGTGATACATGTATTGCTTATCAAACCAAGAACATAAGCGAAGAGGAGTATAATTTGCACATTGAGAAGAAAGAAGCTGCTAGAGAGGAAAAGGGTTGAGATAAAGAAAGAGCCTTAGAAGATAAATCGTTATTAATGTTAACATTGGATTTACAGGCTTTACTCATGTGTCCAAAGTTAGAGGCTAGTACACTCTACTATAAAACTAAGTTAGGGTGTCACAATTACACTATTTTCAATGTAGCCACTCGTCAAGTTAAATGTTACTTCTGGTTTGAGTCAGAGGAAACCCTTACTGCCAACTCATTCACTTCCTTTTTGTCTGATTATCTAGAAGTGGCCATTGATGATTCAATCACGGAAGTTATTATATACACAGATGGCTGCACATATCAAAACAAAAATCTAATTGTATCTCAGGCTCTTCTACTGCTTTCTTGAAAAAAAAAAATTGTTATTACTCAGAAGATTCTTGAAAGGGGTCACACACAAATGGAATGTGACACCATTCACAGTGTCATTGAAAGAGCAATAAAACGAAAGCTGATCTATTCACCTCAGAACTGTGTGACTAAAATCTGCGAAGCTAGACCCAAACAGCCCTATGAAGTGGAATTTCTCACTCACAAGTTTTTTAAGGAGTACTCCAAGCTAAAATACTATAACTCAATAAGGCCAGGAACAAGGACAGGAGAACCAGTAGTCACTGATTTACGAGTTATCTATACTAATATTTGTGACTGTCATTTGTCTGTCTGTTCGGGGTTGGCGCCTACACTAGGTCTGCCCCGAGTCTGAAATTTGGGGTATAGGGGTAGCTTGGACCGGGGAGTAACATAGGCCAGGTGGCGTTAGTCTACCACTTATGATCCCCGAGCGAATCCGGGCATTCTTCTAATAAGATATAATCCAGATGGAGTTATTGAGTATAAATTAAATTATGGTTATGAGTTTTCCCCCTTACGGAGGAGAGCCAAGATAGGAGAACCCTCGCCACTTGATGAGTACCTCAACTTCACGAAGATTCTCTACCAATCAATAAGAAAAAGTATGGCCACTTGCAGGAACTTAAGCTTGTCATCCCCAAAGACTACCATACATTTTATGATAATTTACCACATGAAAACTGATTTGGTTTAATTACATGTTTAACAATAACACAATTGTGTTACAAGTTTTAGTTTGTGTTGGTTTTAATGTATTATTATAATAATAAATATATTAAACAACATACTCTCCGTTTTTTTTCTGTCTGAATTAAAAACCAACAGAGACTGGGGAAACAATAAGGTTTGTGTTCTATTAATGGAAACGTAAATTTTGACTTAATACCCACTTTGATACCTGCCTTGTATCCCTAAATATGCACTCATGTACACACTCATTCGCTGACCCACCGACATCCCAAATTACTTATAACTAACCTATATCAATAAACTCACCCATGAACTCACCCATCCGCTCAGAAACTCATCCATTCG